AATACCATTTGCCTGAATCCCTTACAGTCACACCTTGGATAGTATATGTGATAAATTCACGACACCGTAGATCTAGTATGAGTTGTGTTCATGGTGTACGACGCTGTAGATCTAGTACAAGTTGTGTTCATGGTGTACGACGCCGTAGATCTAGTATAAGTTGTGTTCATGGTGTACGACGCCGTAGATCTAGTATACGGTGTGTTCATGGTGTACGACGCCGTAAATCTAGTATAAGTTGTGTTCATGGTGTACGACGCTGTAGATCTAGTATAAGTTGTGTTCATGATGTACGACACCGTAGATCTAGTATAAGTTGTGTTCATGGTGTACGACGCTGTAGATCTAGTATAAGTTGTGTTCATGATGTACGACGCCGTAGATCTAGTATAAGTTGTGTTCATGGTATACGACACCGTAGATCTAGTATAAGTTGTGCTCATGATGTACGACGCCATATATCTAGTATTAGTTGTGTTCATGATATACGACGCCGTAGATCTAGTATAAGTTGTGTTTATGATATACGACGCCGTAGATCTAGTATAAGTTGTGTTCATGATGTACGACGCCGTAGATCAAGTATTAGTTGTGTTCATTGTGTACTACGCCGTAGATCTAGTATAAGTTGTGTTCATGATGTACGACGCCGTATATCTAGTATAAATTGTGTTCATTGTGTACTACGCCGTAGATCTAGTATAAGTTGTGTTCATGATGTACGACGCCGTAGATCTAGTATTAGTTGTGTTCATTGTGTACTACGCCGTAGATCTAGTATAAGTTGTGTTCATGATGTACGACGCCGTAGATCTAGTATTAGTTGTGTTCATTGTGTACTACGCCGTAGATCTAATATAAGTTGTGTTCATGATGTACGACGCCGTAGATCTAGTATTAGTTGTGTTCATGATGTACGACGCCGTAGATCTAGTATTAGTTGTGTACATTGTGTACTACACCGTAGATCTAGTATAAGTTTTGTTCATGATGTACGACGCCGTAGATCTAGTATAAGTTGTGTCCATGATGTACTACGCCGTAGATCTAGTATAAGTTGTGTCCATGATGTATGACGCCGTAGATCTAGTATTAGTTGTGTTCATGATGTACGACGCCGTAGATCTAGTATAAGTTGTGTTCATGATGTACGACACCGTAGATCTAGTTTAAGTTGTGTTCAGGATGTACGACACCATAGATCTAGTATAAGTTGTGTTCATGATGTACGACGCCGTAGATCTAGTATAAGTTGTGTTTATGGTGTATGACGCCGTAGATCTATTATAAGTTGTGTTCATGGTGTACGACACCGCAGATCTAGTATAAGTTGTGTTTATGGTATACGACGCCGTAGATCTAGTATAAGTTGTGTCCATGATGTACTACGCCGTAGATCTAGTATAAGTTGTGTCCATGATGTACGACGCCGTAGATCTAGTATTAGTTGTGTTCATGATGTACGCCGCCGTAGATCTAGTGTAAGTTGTGTTCATGATGTACGACGCCGTAGATCTAGTATAAGTTGTGTTCATGATGTACGACACCGTGAGATCTAGTATAAGTTGTGTTCAGGATGTACGACACCGTAGATCTAGTATAAGTTGTGTTTATGGTGTACGACGCCGTAGATCTATTATAAGTTGTGTTCATGGTGTACGACACCGCAGATATAGTATAAGTTGTGTTCAGGATGTACGACGCCGTAGATCTAGTATAAGTTGTGTCCATGATGTATGACGCCGTAGATCTAGTATTAGTTGTGTCCATGATGTACGACGCCGTAGATCTAGTATAAGTTGTGTTCATGATGTACGACACCGTAGATCTAGTAGAAGTTGTGTTCATGATGTACGACGCCGTAGATCTAGCATAAGTTGTGTTCAGGATGTACGACGCCGTAGATCTAGTATTAGTTGTGTCCATGATGTACGACGCCGTAGATCTAGTATTAGTTGTGTTCATGATGTACGACGCCGTAGATCTAGTATAAGTTGTGTTCATGATGTACGACGCCGTAGATCTAGTATAAGTTGTGTTCATGATGTACGACGCCGTAGATCTAGTATAAGTTGTGTTCATGATGTACGACGCCGTAGATCTAGTATAAGTTGTGTTCATGATGTACGACGCCGTAGATCTAGTATAAGTTGTGTTCATGATGTACGACGCCGTAGATCTAGTATAAGTTGTGTTCAGGATGTACGACACCGTAGATCTAGTATAAGTTGTGTTAAGGATGTACGACGCCGTAGATATAGTGTAAGTTGTGTCCATGATGTACGACGCCGTAGATCTAGTATAAGTTGTGTTTATGGTGTACGACGCCGTAGATCTAGTATTAGTTGTGTTCAGGATGTACGACGCCGTAGATATAGTATAAGTTGTGTTTATGGTGTACGACGCCGTAGATCTAGTATTAGTTGTGTCCATGATGTACGACGCCGTAGATCTATTATAAGTTGTGTTCATGGTGTACGACACCGCAGATCTAGTATAAGTTGTGTTTATGGTATACGACACCGTAGATCTAGTATAAGTTGTGTTCACGATGTACGACACCGTAGATATAGTATAAATTGTGTTCATGGTGTACGACGCTGTCGATCTGGTATCAGTTGTGTTCTGGTTGTACGACGCCGTCGATCTAGTATAAGTTGTGTTCAACCATCCACAATGATGAACCTTCATTGAATCTTTTCTAATTCTTACCACTTCTTCACAGTTTGTATACACTTGCATGGCGCCTAGGGGATATCCGTATTACGGTACAGATGAGTCAATTAAACTAATACCTTACAATTAAATACCAATTCTTGCAATTATTGATATAACTTTTAAATATATCACAGATTCATGTGTAAAACGTGAACATGTATCTGTCATTTGCAGTAGTTTTGTTCTTCTTATTCTCCACTTTAAACGAATATTACATTAACTCAGAAAGTTTTAATATACCTACCCAAGAGTTATGTGAGACAAGAAACTTGCCATAATGCTTTTAAGATGTCATATTTTATATTTTCGGTACCTGTATTATGACATCATTATTAACATTTACTGATAAAAAAACCTCAATCAAACCCAGCAGTACATTTCATCTTCTATTACAAAATATGAATGATATTGCCTAAATAAAAGGACCTCTTAAACAGAATATTGCTGCGGTGTTTCGCTAACTCTCGTTCGTTGAACAACGGTACACTGTCCATAACCTCGTTCCTTTTTGAAGTGGTAACGCTGAATATGTGTCTAAATTGTCATGAACATCTATCATCATTATCCTACTCACGGTACATTTGTTTCGGTATTGATATGCGTAAGATGATACAATAAAGAAAGAAAATCTAGAGCATCTTTTATACAATTTGTTTAATTTATACAAGATTTTTTTTTACTTTATTTTTCATTGGTCAAAATAAGCAGTTCATCAGGTTCAGCAAGTCTGAAAATCTCTTTTGTAAGTTGCATTTTTATTTAATATTTAAAAGCAAAACATATTTCCTTAATGATCTAGAATACTAGCGGTATTATTTTATTGAATTGTATACAATAAAGAAGGGAAACAATATTTTAGTAAATCCCCATTTATAGCACATCCCTATACCCAAACACCATAAACTCCTCGCACAACCTACCACCACCCCACACAAATACGACACTTCTGAATAACCATTATATGCTTTCTAAACAGGTATAAAACATAGATGTATAAATGTAGTTTTTTTAAAGTAAATCCTAATAAGTAAGTAAGTCCATCATATAACAAATCAACAATTACGTATATGTGTCTATGCCTTGGTATACTTAGATGAAAAAGTGTAGGAAAAAGAAGTAGTAAAAAATACGTTGTTGTTACTCCGTTGTCAAAATACGTTTAATGTGAATCGCTTGTGGTATCAAGCATATCAAAGAAAAGTCTTTTCAATTTCAAAGTATTTTATTGACAATACATATATAATACAAACATATAAGTTAACATTAAAGGAGATATTTGAACAGTATTGACAAAAGAATAAGACAACAGGCTTTGCCTATATCAGTCTTCTTCTAATTCCGGTAGATATGTACAATGCTTAAATATATAAAATGTTGTGATTCGTTTCCTCTCACACTCATGCACACCCACACCCACTCCAGCTTATGTCTAATACTCGTTATTTAAGGGCTAAAACTTGCCTGAATAACAATAATTATAACAATACATGAATATTCATTTGGAAATTTATCTAGCACGTATAAGTAACGAAACGTTTTGATGATTTAATATAAGAGTCAACATGTATAAGAATAGTTTTATTTAATTGGTTGGATGCATTACTAATACCATATACTAAACAGTGCAGATTTAAATATCCTACTAGATTATAAATAGTGGTAATATGATGCCTAACATTAGAATACAGAGGACATTGAAAGAAAAAATGTATTAGATCTTCCCTCTGTACACCACATACACAGGAAGCATCATCAATCAGATGGTCTTGTAACTTATCACAGTTAAGATCACTTTTAAAATTTCTTAGCTGACATAAAATTATGTTAAGTTTCCTCGGAACACAGTTAATAAAAGTTTCTGAGACGGATGTATCAAAGGTTTTTTTAAGTTTCTTTTTAAAAGATGAAATTGAGATGGAGTCTCGTACAGTGCTATCAAGGGCATTCCATTTTACCATTGTAGAAGGGAAGAAGCTATTCATATAAGTAGTAGTTCTTGTCTGTGGTATATTAAAGAATCTGTTATTTCTGAAGGTATAGTTATTATTTACATTTAGAAATGGTTGAATGATATTATCGAGATAAGTTGGAGTGTAATTATTAAGAATCTTATACATTAATGTTAGTTTATGATTTTGTCTTCGTGTGTGTAATGTTTCAAGTTGTGTTTCAGTATACAGAATATGATGAGATGTACCTCGTCTGAGGCCAGTAATTAAACGCATAGCTTCTAGTTGAACTGATTCTAAAAGATCTGATTCCGATTTGGTACAATTAAAAGTCTTTTCCATGAACGCTAGAAATGCTTGATCATGAAATTCCGTAGGGGTTTTCCAATTCGAGTTGCTTTGCTTCATTTGATGCAATGGTAGGTCTATGGATTACTTTGAAAAATCAAACTTAAAAGAAGAATCTTTCATCCTGTCAGCGAATATTTCGTCAAACTGTTCGCTCTGTGCCACTGTCATTGTGTTTTTCCAGTCACCGATTTCACCTTTTATATAACAAAAGTAAGATCATGTTAACACAATCAATATCTAGAGAACAAAGGGTAACGCCATATCACACAGGAGATCATTTAGAATGCGAAACTGTAGTTTAATATCAATATATTAACAACCTGCATATTTGTCAAAACGAAACATGGATACCTGAACATTTTAATAATTTATTATCTTAAAACATGTTCATTATATTTAATAATGTATATCTTTATTTATGTAAACTACCCTAATATCGGTTGAGTGTTGGTTGATTTTTTGTTTTTCTTTGGTACCACAAACATGGGAATTGCATTTTATGTATTTTATGTATCTTATTTCAAGGAATTAATGCTCAAGATGTCACACAACTAACTCTTTCCGTACCGTTGTCGTGTACACACGACAACAATATGTCATCCTGGTCCCCGTTGTCGTGTCCAGACGACAAAATAATAAACCGTCTCATCCCCGTTGTCGTGTACACACGACAAAAGACTTTGTTGTCACTTGTCTAATGTTTAGCTTGTTATCGCACAAGACAATCGCGTAATACAATTATTTGTCGCTAAAATCAGCACCAATCCGTTTGAAAGAAATAGTTTTATAGGTGCAGAGTACGCAATTTATATCTTGTGACGCATTGTTTTCGAATCTGACGCAAGATTTTGCGTTTGGTGATTAAAATATAAACAATATGGCGGCAACTTAACTCGATATGAACACTCGTAAATTCATCACCAAATATTTATTTAGACTTATGGAAGTAAATATGAATATTTTATACAAATCTTAATGAAATCTACGTGTAATTAGAAAAAAACATCTAACGACTTCGTATTCGTAAACAATAATCAATCCCTATTAGGAACCGCCACTTTAACACTGTTTTGAAAACAATGTTTTGTATCGTTTGTTGCCTAACAGATATCGCTTTATCAGTAATAATTAGCTGCCAGTTGCTCATTTTTCTGCAAAAGTGAAGAAGTGTGTGTCTATAAGCAACAACATGAAACAATAACAATATTTGTTCACGGTTACCTGTTTAATTCTTGCAGCAATTATACCTATATTAATAATCCGCCATTTTGTTATTTGCGCGGGGGCGAGTCTAATAAGGACATCCGGTACGGAATCCGAACCGGATTTGCCGTACGGAAAGAGCTAAATCAGCCAATCAGCGAGAGTTTTATACAGTTGTAATACAGTGCCTCTGAGTACTTTAAACGGATAACTGTTGACATATTTATCATTGAAAGAAATCTGCAACTATTTAACTTAGGTAACACGTATAGTTTTACTAGATTTTAATATACGATGGTGGATTTATATTAGGTCAAACGTTACAGGTGATTCCCGCCCCGCTTCACGGGTTTGACTTGTTCACTTCCGCTTGTCAAATGGGGAAGCATGTAGCGCTCTAATATATCATTAAATCTGTCAAAAGATGCCTTTAACTGTAGCCTTTGTCAGGTATGCATCCATGAACCTAGACAGTTATTGCTAGTGCTGACCTTAAAATATTAAAGCTATTAGCTCAAAAGCTTAGTAATAATATCAATTAAATGATTTAGTTGTGCGAGTCCTAAAAAGAGAAAATTATGTTTTATCATTTTTTGTGTAAATGTCGTTAAGTTCCCGTATTGTCGTGACACTATTTATATTCAGAAATATTCGTGCGTTTACCTTTCCGGTAATGTCCCTTCATTATCTCCTCTTCAAACTTGAACTTGTCCTTGATCTTCACTTCTTCATTTGCTTTTTTCATTCCTTTGAAGCTGCATTTGTCTGCTACTTTTGTGATAAATTCATCATTGCGGTCGGTACCGAGGAACTCTGAAAGACGTTTTATTGTGGGTACGGGGTCCTGAAACACAACAGTGCCATTATGTTTATATTAAACATGAGAGTGCAACGATATCGTACCAAATATACAGTTGCATTTCTTATAAGAAATAATTAATAAACTATACAAATCTGTAACAATACGTTCTATTTTTTTCTTTTCAATACGCTTGAATAAAGAAGCGTTGAATACAGTTTGATCACATATATACCTTAACAATAAACCTACAAGATATCTCAAACGGTTTAAAAGTAAAGGCCCGGACAAGATTTTTCCTAAAACGTTTGCACTTACTGGACCTTTGACCTTGAGGTCATGGTTAAAGTGGCATCATGACAATACACTGCACATCGTTTATGTATGATGCAGACATACTGTAAGTTTCATCAAGTTAAACAATTACTGCCTGGACAAGAAACTACTATTATTATTAGAAGAAGTACAATAGCATACATAAAAATTACGAAATAATCCAGTTTTCAGTATTTCTCACATCATATATATTACCTTTTTCAGTTGTTCATAGCTGATAACATGCATATCTAGCTCCTTATCTTTCATAGCTTTTTCTGCCTCCAGGGTATAGTCAAACCAGTTTACCATTATACCTACATCAAAAAATAAAGTCAAAGATTTTAAGTTGATTAATGTAGATGAAAGACCAACTGACTTGACGGGATACTCCATATAGCGCGTACCTTTGGGACTACTCACTAAACAATATCTTTTTATGATAGATATATTCACTGTGTAGTGGTTTATTTTTTCTCTTAATTGAAATAAGATCAAACCAAAATGAAATAAACAAAATAATGTGAAAAAGTTCTACAAATGTAATTATTCAAAAAAACAAATTGATTTGCGTTCATAAGTTCATGAAATACCCACATGAATCAGTTTGGCACTGAATACCATTTAGATTACACTCGTATTAAAAATAATCCGCGCTGGTGAAAATAAAGCTGTTGTGATTTTGGCTTTCAATCGATAACCATAGTTTTTTCCATATCTATTCTATATATTAGTATGTATGATTTTGGTATGCTGCAAGTTCTAAATGATTGCAATTATGGCATGCTATAGTCAACCGTACTTTTTATATATTTATATATCTATTATTATATGATTACATATGATGTAGGCATTCGGTCATGTTTGAAAGATTGCAAATATGGCATTCAACGGAAAAAAAGAGGGTAACGGGCACCACCAAGTCAAACTGTATTTTAACGACTGTCATTATTGTCGATATTTGTTAAGGGTCTTTTCAAAAGAATTATTCCATAAAATCAATTGTTGTCGTGCATTTTACAACTGTGAAAACAAAACAGATAAACCACAGGGGTCGAACTCAAGACATCCCCTAGCGAAGCCTTAACTTTATCATTGTTGCCATTCGGGAGCTTTATTCATAGCATCAACACGAGTTCCGAATTTAATGGTCTAAAAGACTGTGAATGATTTGACAGTGCAGTTACACTCCTTTCTGTTGCTTCAGCACCTGTATAGAAATGTTAACATTCAGTCAAAATATACGCAGTACAGTGGTACCATTTACCTTATATATAATCATATGGTATGATGTTATGGTATTAAACAATGTCATTCTCTTATTAGCCTTTGCTTCTTACCTAATGTGGAGAAAAGCATAAAGTATTCTTCAAAAGTTCCTTCGAATGGCACTATTTTAGCTTTCTGCAAAAAGTGAAACGATGAAACCATCACATCCTTCGGGTTTCTTTGGACAAAAATTACTTTAAGCTTTTTATCCTTCACTTCAGTTGGAAGTAGTCGAAGTGGTATGTGAGTGTTCAGAATTCGTCGTGATGGCATCTCATCAAATTCTTCGGGGTAATTGAATTCCATCATTGCCGACTCCTTCGGCTGTGTTAGATAATCCAGTTTGCCTGTTGTCAGCATGTTTGCGATTTCCCAAACCCAATGTGTTCCTGAAATGATGGATGCATTTAATACATCATCAATATACTTTAAAATGAAGGACTAATAGACAATAACATATATGTAACAACACTAACACATGAACCTTTGACATGTACAATGTAATATGTATAAAAAGCAAAGCGTTGTTGAATATTGGCGCACTTATATCTCCACACATCGGCTACATATTTTCATTTTTTTTCATTATGATTTAGCACTAAAGTAACATATAACATATATAAGTAATTCAAACTGTATGAAATTACGACGGTTGACCCAAGTTGATGCAATACTTTTAAAGCATATAAACCGATGCTTTAACAGGAAAAAATCAATTTCTACAATATTTAAAACATCACTGACTCCTTGAAGTTTACTGATTATAACAATGTAATGCAGCATTCCTTGTTTTCTGAGAAAAGTGTTATGCAAAAATCGTATCATACTTACCTGATCGCATGTAAGCACATAGAAAAACATCGTCCTCTCGACATTGCATTGCACGGATTTTCTTAAGGTTGTCCCTCATGTCTGGAATGTGTCCACTTTTGATCATCTTTATAGGAACCACCATATCCTCAACGTTGATAACCTCTTTGATGTTACCTTTTCCGTCCGGAATTCGGACAATGTCTTCCTCTTTGATCTCGCCTTATCACAAAACAAAAGACGCATATTCAAATTTGCTTTTTTTTTTTTAAATTTAGTTCTTAATTTTTATTCGCCCAATTTGTTTTTTCAATTCGAATAAAGTTGAACTTTATTTTTCTAAACTTTATATACAGTGTATTTTTCTGCATCCCATACTTTTGGAGATCACTTTTAAAATTCCTTAGGGTGTTACAAACAAAATCAAAATGGCGTATATTCTTTTGTTCAAGCTTCAAACCTTTTTAGATAGTTTTATACGTCTGTCACGGCACATCACAGTTTACATAAATCAATCCTTGTTCCTGTCTGAGTAATGTTGTGAGAGTTGTTTTCCCTTACACAGTGGTAACGTGAAGCAGCTTTCTGCGTACAATTAGGTCTAGAGTATACATCCCCATCTGTGATTGGACTTAAGAACAAGATCTGGTCAAGGGGAGAATTCCTATAATGCATATCATTTTATTTTCACCATTTTACACAAAACATGTAAAATTACACTGAAAAAATAGAAATGCTCTCATGTTATACAAAAGGTTGATTTTATCAAGAAAACTTGTAATTGTTTTTCGTGCTTACTGTACTTATAGGTACCTCGCATTTTCAAAGAATATATCTCAAACGACAGGAAAGAATACGACACGGTACCTATTTAATAATTTAACAAGGAGCTTCGATGCGACAATCCGTTTTATAGTGTGTTGCTAACCCACTGTGGGAATAACGGTGGTCGGTAAGATCAGTAGAATGCTAGGTCTTCGTCCTCGTCCCTATTGTTCTATGCTGATATAGTTATTATAAACATTTAACTTATGGTTACTATGGTTACTGCTGTTAACGTATGTATATATATCCATGTAGGGGGTCAGTAACAAATAATATACAGCTTATAGTATGGCTTTTTGATATAGTTTATCTCAATTTAAGGTATGACCACAAGTCAGGGTTGTAATACTGTCTGATGTTTTACTCTAAAAATAAGAATTCAGAAAAAAAGATACAATTATTATTTATGTCGGTACTTTCTTCAAGGGTAAATTAAATACGCAAAAAGATAAATCTGTTCTGTTCGATATAAATGCAAAGCGTGCTAAATAAAGCTAAGCATTTATTCAGTTGTTGACGTGTTGATTAATATTTAGTTCACATGTTAATGTGTCAATTTCATTTCATAATGTCATCGTTTTATAGACAGATAGTTGGTATATCTTTACATTATGTTTGAGGAGGTGTCTATAGCTGCAAAGGAGCAAAAACCTGTTTTCCTTATCCCGTTTGTTTGAACACCATTTATGCATGTATGCTATTGCTACATGTATGTAACATTTATTATTCACATTAGCTTTTCCCGCAAGTTTTTATATAAAACAAATAATGCAACCCATTTGTTGGTCGTTACAAATAGCCTTATCAATCATGTTCTCACCTATCGTGTATCTTGGTTTGACGTCTGCCATTTTTGCGGATATTACCTGAACAATAAAATAAAAGACACATGTAAAAGCTTTTCAACAGCAAATTATTAATATTAGAAAATATATGAAGACGAAAAAGCCATCTTGAATGACATTCCCCTTTTAAAAACCCAGGAAGAAATAAATGGTAAGAATCATTACATTTCTGTTACCGGAAATTAAAATTAAAATTAAAATGAAATTTCTGTACGATGGACAGTACTAAATATCAACAAATCATTGAAACAAAAGTGAATATACAGTGTACGGGTAACATCATGCTAACGACCTTCTCCATTCTTTTCTGACGAATACTTAATGAGAGGAAATATAAAAGTTTATCAAAAACTACATAAATATATAATCATATCATACCAAACTCATGCCAAAAACGTTTTGTAACATCTTCTGGTGCAACAATTCCTTGTAAATAAGATAGTGGCATTACTTTTAAAAACATGCTTATGCCAACGAAAATGAACGTGTGCATTTATAAGACATTTAAGTGATAACTTTCGCAACGGCTGAAATTGAAGATTTATAATGTTAACATTGAGTGTGTAAAAAAACCACTCACCAAGTAGGCGTAATTTATTTTGATCTGGAGTCATCTTTAATCTGAACTGCGTACAATATGCCTTTATGTAACAGCAGTACGGTGAAATGTATTTCATATTTGACAAACTATTTTTATAACCACATGTTAAGTATAGGCAACCACCATCGGACATGGAAGTCACAATATAAACGTGGTATGTGTAGTAGCTCTTATCATTTGAAATTATCGTTAACATGTACCCAAGTTTCACATGTGTACATACAATGATGTTATCATCACCGTTCTCAATATTCAACTGGGTTTCAGGTCATATGAGCTAAATTGTAGATATCAAAAACTGTATCATAGTGTGTCGTTCTATATCCAGACCTGGTTTCTAATCAATATAATATTAGTTTTGAAGTCATCTTCATATGCTTATTTTTTAATCTTTGCCACCAAATCCGATATTTTTAGAACTACATGTACGTTGTCAACATGTTTGTATTTAATGACTAATGTTGATGCATATATTTATATTACAATCTTACTGTAAACAAAATAATGAAATAATGAGCAATATTATCCTCGTTGAGATATTACAATTTATTTATTTACAAGGCTTCATACAAAATCATGTAAGCATTTTATACCAATCAGTAAACTTGATGCATCATTTTGGTTTAAATCAACGTTCTTACCTGGAAGCCCTGTGCAGATCGTAGTGTCGCCCCGATTCACAAGTTACAGGTGATATATGGAGATACTACGTCAAGCTAGGTTATACAAACAAATGATAATGTCATGCGGGAGCAGGTTAGCTTGTATGTTTTGTTTGGCTTGCGCAAACAGTAGTTATGGAGGAGGATTATTGCCATAGCTCTACGAACTTTCAAGTGTTTAGAGCCAACTTGTTATAGCTAAGAGTTAAATTCCTACATTAAATTGTTGAAACATTCCACTTAAATTTATAATATGTGTATTCTATATTATGAATTCTAACTCTTATTCTCAATTCGGAAGTGCAAATTTCTCTTTTAATGAATGTTTAAAATTATTACTTTCGATTTTCAAGTCTTAACTTTTGGTTTTAACTTGTTATTTACATTTTATATGTATTCTACATTGCAACGTATTATCCTTTTTGTTCAATTTCTCTTTTGTACTCTTTATATATAATCGCTATCTTTTTTATTTATATACAGTTTAGAATTTAGATATTTTATGAAACATAAAACGTATAAGAAAAAAATGCATAAATAGAAGATACATGTATTACATTTCCAAAATAGAAATTAAACCATTTAAATTACAATTTCTGCGATACAACATAGGAATGTTTTGAAAATGAAAATGAAAATTTACAACCACAAAACATTCGAAATTCCGAGACAATTACAAACAAATTAAGAATTATAATGTAAAATATAACAAAACGAATAAGAAAAACTGAAATGAACAAGTTAAAATAGAAATGTAACACTTAGAAATTAACTGTATGCGTTATGGCAACAATCCGCCTCCTTACGCAGCAGGATACATGTAGTTGTCTATACATCTGATGGCATTGATAACGACAGTGCATATGGAAGTTCTGTTAGGAACGTAACGAGAGCGTTTTTTTTGGAAATAATCTGCTGCTCGAGGTTATATACGCCATTAAAATACATAGTATTACATAAAGAAATCATATTAAGGAACCCTGGCCTGGCGCCCTTCAACCTTTACTATCAGAAAACTTTTGAAATCTTCGTTTTCTAAATTCTTATGAATTTTTAAGAAATTATTTATTTGAGCGATTGGCATGTCAGTGACAGCATTCCGGGTTACAGTTAATGTTTTGGCAGTGGTAAGGGGATCCTTATTTTTTTTTTATAAAAAAAACCAAACACAACATTCAAATTAACTGCTGTGCTTTTGTTAAGTCGCAAATAGTTGTTAACAAAAAGTACAGTTTCATGTCATTTTGTATTCGCCGCTCCTGATTATGTCATTTAGTCCGTTAAACTGCTATCTACATGTATTGGTAAATGTTGATGTTTTGCAACAACGCCGCTAACAAGCAAATAGACTTAATCCCCAATCAAATGCTCATCTAACCCTAAAAGATGAGAACTGGCTATAGCATCATCCTAACATCAAAACGGAAATAAATGTTTTGATATTGTAAACATATTGTACTCTGTTTGATGGTGAGAGTAGATACAGCTAAATCTGAATTCAGAAAACACCTGCAGGATGCTAATAACGTGGTCTCTTATCGCAAGTGGTAAGTTCATCCAGTGTCAGCTAAATGACGAGAACTTAATCTGTTTTTTTAAAAGTGACGGCTTACCATATTAACGTTAGTAATTTGGTGTTGACAAAAAGTACAACACAAAATACTTAACTTCTCTACATTTTGACACAACTAAATGCAACAACAACAAAACATTATGGAACGGCAGTCAAATACAAGTAAACTACCAAACCAACAACAATACCATGTGAAACACAACTGAATATAACAGTAACAACAAAACAATTACTTTGAATATATGAATGTTACTCTAATATAATTTTACCATTGCAATAAAAGTATACAAAAGGTTTCTACTACCTCGCATATAGTGTAAGCACCTTAAGGATCCCCGTCCCTCCGCCTAAAAATGTAATGAGGCATTGGTGGTTTTTTTTTTTTACGGCATAGCTATTGCACAAGCAAATCATTTCTTAACAATAACCCATACCTTGCGGAAGCTTCTTCAATTTTTTGGGAAAGTATGAGATTTCGATTTTTTTTTCATTATTTTTTCCAATCGAACACAATGAAACAAAATACATATTATTTGATGCAACAATGTTTATAAGAAATATAACACATCAGAAATAACAACAATGTCAATATTGATGAACAAAACACAAAAAAATAGTAATTTTCTAACAATTATACTAAAACAACAAAAATGCCAATTACATGAATCAATACAATTCCAAGTGCCAATGAAACACGTTAAGGACAACGTAAAGAAAATATAGGTGACAAAAAATAAATGGCTTGCGGACTTACTTATTATCCAAAAAACATAAAAATTAAAGATACAAAAAAAACTAAACAGAAAAGAGAGACAACTCTTACATTTGTACTAATAATAATTATAAATCCCAAAATGTCAAAAACGCACATTTACTGTATCTCTCAACTAAATACTACCCATTGGTAAGTATTTGCGACCTCTTGGTTGCCTTCTACAGCCCTAACTGAAATCAGCTGGTGTATCAGACATGTGACCCGTTGTAGTATGGTAATATGAAGGCCATGGTGAAATGAACCGCGGTTCATATTACCATTATGGTAATATGAGCCACCCCGTGGAGAAATGAAGGGTTCCAACGATTTCTATTCCGACAACATTTTTCCATTCATTTTCTTCAAGATTATTTCAATTTGATGTACTCAATCTGAAATGACAAAAACTAAGTCAGTGGTAGACCAATTTAGGGTGGGGCAGGGGCGCTTCACTTTACCATAATGGTGAAATGAAGGGTTTTAACATTTGTTTTTCGATTTTATTTTTTTAAACCAAATCTGGTTTAGATTACATCAGTTTGATGTCCTGAATATGAAAATCACAGAAATTAAGTCTTGGGTAGAGAAATGTAGGGTGGGGCATGCGCAGGGGCGCTTCACTTTACCATTATGGTGAAATGAAGGGTATTTTTCTGTTTTTGCGGCATGATTATAGCTTTGATAAATCATGTCTGAAAGGAAAGACATACCTTGCATGACTTTAATAAAAAGTACTAAAGACGAATAAACACCGAAAAATTCACTGGGACAGAGATCCTTAATTAAAATAGCCTTCTGAAAAAGACTATGTAACATGACAGCATATAAATGATGGAGAAAACGCAGGAAACAAATCTAACAATGTATACGTGATCAAATGTGTAAGTAAACGCATAATATGAAGGGTGTACAGTGTAATACATATTCAAATCGACGTGTTTCAATATCACGCTATGAATGTGTGGACCCGTATCATGATAGAAGATAACGTATCGCTGGAAGTAACTTTTGTGTAAGTGTGATTGATATAGAAAGTCAATAACATGCTCACAGGTAACATGTGTTTCTTTCAAGATGGTGGACCTGACCTAAATCTTCCTGTGTTTTACACATTGATCGATAGATCACTTACGAAAATTATTTGAATGTTGGATAAGTCTACCTATGTAATCTTTAACAACTGCATGTGTTCAACATAAACAAAAAAAGATAATATTTCAGACATTCGCAGACATTTGTCTGCACCCAGGTTTTCCTGATATACTCGAAACGTATTGTTCTGATGTTAGAACAACAAACACAAGCAAACAACGTGTGCCACTGACCCTATGCAGATATATTGGAAGTTTTCTAGTCGTTCAAGGTATAAGAATATCTCGCGTAGCCTAAGTACGCACGTTCTTCTATTCTAATCGGACGACTCTGTAGCTACTCTATACAGCGTTGTTCACGTCTATCGTTTCAACCAATTTGAAAGGATCTTTGAATATCGTTGACCTTGTTTCTATCAATTGGAGGTGGTCGGCAATTTTTATTTTTTTGAAGGGTGGAAGTGGGATGTGGGGGGTTAAACAGCCACGATCTTTTAAAAGCGTTATCAGTTGTGGACGGAGCAAAATGAATACTTATTTGAAGTACAGAATCCTTGCTTTGAATAACTTTCACCTTGACATGAGATGTATAAGGAGCTTGATGGTATTAACGAGTGACGGGGTATTACTATAAGGAATTGTTAGATAAAAGTACGATGAACTCCAATTTAACCTTGCATTTTACCCATAATATTTTTTTCTTGTGAATTTTTTTGTATTGAGTAACATTTGAATGTGCCCAAAGAATTTTATGTGGGATGCCAAAAACATTAACTGTCTTAATTTAAGGGGCAATTTGGTGAAGGAAGTGTTTTCTTAATATATTATCTTGTCACAAAATTCTTCATGATGATATAGGTGATACTCCTTATGAACAATTCATGTCTAGAAATTGACAAGAGACAATGATTTCTGGGCGTTCTTAATCTGTTATTAGTAATCCTTAACTATACAACCATTCGTTTTAGCGTCGACTGCAATTCTCCCTACCGTCCCTTCTTGTGTGCGTGCTCTAAATAAACGTGTTCCGTATTGTTGGAATATAACTGTGAACAAAATAAAATCGCATTAGCTTTATATGATATCTTTATAATTCTTGCTTGTGATGTATTGTGTTTACGCGTTATGTGCAGAATCAAGGCCACTGACATTGTTCTTTCGGTCAACAGCTTAGTACTTTCTATGTTTATTTCTCACTGAAAGGCCCGGATATTGCGCTACTGCGATCGTAGCTATTTTAATCCCCGGCTTTCCCAAAAGAAAAACTGAACACACAGGATTTAGGTTGAGGTCATGTCATTATCGACTACGTAAAGTTTCGTTAGGAGATATATATTGTCAGTATCTAATCGATTTTAAAAGGTGTTAATTGACCAAACAGCCCCTTTAAACGTGTGTTAATTAAGATAAGTTATGTGTGCAAAGCTTTTGCCGATAGTGACAAAATGTATTTAATGTACAATGTTTTCAATGGGGTTCCGGAACAGAACTGGGTGGATGAGTGTTTTGAATACTCCAAATATGCGCCCATCGACCTAGAGACAGTTATTTGAATATCTATTTATTAAGGCCAGTTTTCGGCCCCTCAGAAACGCTCGAAATTTTCAGGTAATTTCATACCTAATAGAGTATTAATATGATTTTGCGTGTATGATCAGAAGTTCGATGGAGAATTAGAGAATACAGAAACCATCGATACCTCGATTGATTTACTTCCGCCGTATCTGGTCAAAAGCTCCAATACACATTTTTCCATAGATGAACGCCGAGCACATTGTCTAACACTCCTAAACACATATGATAGTTTGATAAATAATGTTATTATGTGTGTATTATGATAAGCTGAATAAGAAAAGTAAAACGTCACTCAGTGAGATCAGCTACACATGAAATTGACAATATTCTCGTTTACAAACATCAAATTGACTATGTTCTTAATACCCTGTCATAAAATGAATTGTGAAACATGAATTCCTGTTTATAACAATGAATGTATAGGGGACATACGTATGTGTTATCGTTCACTATTGACTATAATAGTTTAATTCCTTGTTATATTCATTAAGGAATATTATTGCATTTGGCCAGCTTATTGGACTAGTAATACTTAGTGAATGGAATGTCTCTGAATGGGAATGGCATTGTGGATTGATGACACCGTGTAATTCAGATATCTCATTACACGTTTATGTTACCGGCAGATTCTTATCATGGTCCAAGTATTTCTTTACAAACCATCGTCACCCATACACCTGTAATTTGGAAACACTGTGTAAGCCCGGTATTTTTACACACAGATGTAACCCATACACCTGTAGTTTGGAAACACTGTGTAAGCCTGGTATTTTTACACAAAGATGTAAGCAATACACCTGTAGTTTGGAAACACTGTGTAAGCCCGTTATTTTTACACACAGATGTAAGTCATACACCTGTAGTTTGGAAACACTGTGTAAGCCCGGTATTTTTTACACAAAGATGTAAGCCATACACCTGTAGTTTGGAAACACTGTGTAAGCCGGGTATTTGTACACACAGATGTAAGCCATAATCTGTAGTTTGGTGACACAGTGTAAATCCGGTACCTTTACACTCAAATATCACTCATACACCTGTTGTTTGGTAACACCGTGTATGCCAAGTATATCGTTACACACTAATGTCACTCGTATACTTAGTGTGGTGAAACCGTATATGGTATGTCAGGTACATCTTTCCACACGGATACCACTAATACACCTATTCCGTCTTTGCATATTGCAGAGTTATCTTCTCTTGTGAGCAGGCATTGATTGTTACGTCATTGGTTTGTGAGAGTAACGGCATCAATTTTTGAGAAAACGACGAAATTTTTTCACACAAACCAATGACGTAACATTCAATACCTGCTCCCAAGAGAAGATAACTCTGCAATACGCAAAGACGGAATAGTTTGGTGACACAGTGTATACCATGTATTTCTTTACACTTGAATATCACTCATACACCTGAAGTTTGGTAACACCGTGTATGCCTGGTATTTCTTTACATTCGAATGACACAAATATGGTTCCTGTGCCTGCCTTTCTCGCCGTCAGGGGAATTGTTATATGCCATCGATCACGAGGTTTTAAGTTCCTACAAACAAAATCCAATTTACAGTTTTATTTTAATATCCAAGGTTTATTGTAGACGTTTTTGAAATGTTGTACGTATTATATTGACCACTGTTGACAATCCTGAATATTTGTACTATTAAAATATATAAGAAGTAGTCTAGGTTAGTTACACGTAAGGTTTACTAAAGTTTTATTAACTTTACGTAATATGCGTTAAAATGATAAGACAAATCAAAATACCTGATAGTTATCTATAAACGATACGAGTCATACCCGTCGAGTGAAACGTAAATTGAGTTCTGCACTAGTTATCACTGTAAGAGAAATTAAGTGCATACAGAATAAATGTATTCTACAGACTGGCTCAAATATAACATCTACACTGTGTATAAGACACATGTTTGTATGCTTACTATAGATGAATAAGTGAGGAGGATTATGAATGTCACTGTTTTCTGACATTGATCACCTGAATATGGTACGATATAAGCGAGACCGTGCAGGTTGATACACACCTATATATATACTGTATAGTGGGTTATTTAAGTGATGTGAATGTGCCAAAATCAAATGAACAGGATTAATAACAGCATTTTGAGCAACAAGTCAGTGTATTTTGTTAAACAAATCATCAACAAAACTATAAGATTTGTGATATGATCTATTTGCAAACATCATTACCCTTTATGTATATGAATAGTCACACCCATATGCGTGATACATGTTTATATCATGGCGACATCACGGTTATGAAGTTAAGGAGTATAGCATCAAGTTGAGTTTAACACGAATATTAATTATATGTGTGATCGTTTCAGATTGATACACAACTTACTATATAAAACGTTCTTTTGTTGAACCTTTAAATATGTCTGCCAGTTCAAAATTAAAAACAATATGTTGTTTTTGCATGACTATTTAAAATATTCCGTCCAATATCTATAGAAAGCAAGACCACGCTGTTCAAACTTTAGTAAGCTTAATGAATCGCTTACTCTACTTTTCTTTTTTTTCTTTTTTTAACAAATTGGCAAAATAATCTCCGGGTACTCATTTTTAATAAATATTCGCATGCTTTCATATTTTATATTTGAATATACAAAAATGCACAAAATGTATTCAAAATGGTAACATACGGCTGTGTAATTGGTGGAGGTGTTCCGAACAGATTTCCTTCAATAGATACTACACAGAATGTCAACCAGGTATCATGGAAAGGATTCCGAAGGGTCAAATGGACATCAGTCGGTTCATTCATCTTACAATGGCTCTGTGTCTGCAATTTAAGAATCATTAGAGTAGAGTTATACTGACTGCAGTTAAAAAACATTAAGAACAGAATGTCATAGAATCCTTAGCATATTTGTTTTCGTGTAAATATAACTCTTATTAACGAGTACACGCCATATGAAGTTTGAGATGGAGATATATAGGATCTTACATGAGTTTCCATTTCATATGAGATTCATGAAACGAGTCTAAGAATTTTTCAATTTAGGCGAGCTAAAATGGAAAATTCGTGACGAGTTGCAAAAATTTCATATGAAATGAAAACGAGTGTAATATCCGTTTTATCACATAATCAAGATTTGAGTCATTTATTCGTGTAAAACGACAATTTGCATGCAACATTGAAATGTAAAATGCCGCCATTTTGACTCCAATGCCTAAGTCTGTGACGACATGTGCTTGTCCTATGCGTGACGTCACAGGCCGGATAGGTCATATTACATGAATTATTAAGCAAAAATATATGACATAGGGATATTCACAGGATAACACAGTACATTATGTGATAAACAATTATGCATGGTATCGTTATAATATATGCAAAAGAGAGGAATAATGTAAAACTTACCTGTATACCGACCGTAGGGAGCGTTAAACTGTAGTCTAGCGTGGCTATCACAATGGTACCCGTCTCCTTAACATTGGCTGTAGCCTCCACCTCAAATAGCAGAAGTGGTTTCAGATTGAGGTCATAGTCTGCTGGGGATACTCTTAACTGGTAGCTTAATACTGAAATTAACACACAACAAACAACGTAATACTAACTGTTGGCAGAAACAAAATACCGACACAAACGTCGTCTAAAAAAACACAACATCGGCATCAAATATTGCGATTGGCAAATTGGTTAGTGAAAATCATTGATAAAGGTAAATACGTATTAACATGATATGCACGTTTTCTACTTTCAGTTCACTATATAGGTTATACATTATACCCACCCTGTCTGTATTTGAGGAGAAGATTGTTGTAGACAATCTTCTTCAGAGGAGTAGTGTCGCCACCCGTGTAAACGTGACTGGTTACCGTGATTACCAGATCACCAATGGTCACCTCGTCATTCTGTCGACTGATGTTTGTCAATTTGATTGTAAAGTAGACGTCGGAGCCCACCATTTCAGCGCGGTCAGAGACGATATCCATCACTATATCCTAAAAGTAGAACAAAACGGTAACATGTCCGATCAATTAAGTTAGCTTGATGGTCATCTGTCCCTGAAAAACAAGAAGTTCGAGAATTGCTTTCATTTCATTTTTCTATTAAATCTAGTGCTTCCACTGTTTTGTTCTCGACATTTACACATGATTACCACTCTACTGCATTGTCACTATATACAGGTAAGCTTCGATATAATGCGAATCGATTAATTTGCCACCTCGTTTACTGCCAAATATTCCAATGCCCGTTATCACATCTTAAGACCCCCTTTATACATTTTCCTCAATGCATCGGCAAATCCCTTCATAACGCAAAATTTTCTTCTGAAACATGGCGGCAGTACAATGAGGTTTTTACTGTTACTCCAATCAGTTGGAGGTAAACAAGCCTCAATGCATGAGTCTTAATAAGTGAAGAATGTTTTCTATGAGATTAAATAATACAAAATGGTACATAAATGTATTGAAGAACTTTCAGTTGACAATTATATTAACTTTGGATGTCATCAAAAAGCTTTTCAATGCGTAATAAAATGTCAATAATGGTCAACTCACTTTCAAATTCTAGTAATATCGCATTTATAACCCACAGATATATTTTTAATGTCACAATTTAAGTTCGGTGCGATTATAAATCCAACAGTTCCACCATAAATTACCAAAACACACTAGTTAAACGGACGTGACATAATTGTCCATGCTATTACTCACTATTTGTGATATCATAAGGTTGGTTCCCATCACAATTACAGCACTGAGATTATTACATATATCCAGTTTGTTAAAAAGTGTGTAAAATTGGGTTGCGATAACAAAACACATGTTAGATATAAGGAACACGAGAAAAATAGTATATTACATTAATTTTGTTATACCTGATGCAAAACTTACTACCTTGTATTGACCTCGGACGATATTTTACTATGAATGAAATATAGTTCAAAATTGGCTTATGTTTTAGTAAGGTTATGCAATACAAATCTCCTCTCAATACGTCTCATATGGTTGATGTAAAGAATTACCTAGTAATAACATTTTCACATTGTATTAAAGTACGGCAACAATACATAACCGTGACGTCACCATTGCATATAAGACAAAGCTCAAACGTTGAGAGAAAAAAATATCATTCCCGCCGACACCCTACACCCATTTCCGATCGCCTTGGATTTGAGAAGATGAATTTCAACACTGGAAGTGATTTGTCATGCGGTAAACACTCCGAAGGCCTCGTGTTTGGCAATTAACATCCCTCAGATTAGGGCAGGGGTCTAAAGTTTCTCTTTATTCCTCCTCACTTCAAAGGTGCTTTCCCATTTCTGGCTAGAGAAAACATATGTTTGTATCTATCCGTATATTATAAAGACAACTCACATGCGATTTTATTGTAAAATAATTACCGTGTAATTGCGTCATCATTGTATGTAACGTAACCATACAACAACAGGATCGCGTCATCAATGTTGCCATACAAGCCATTCGCCATTGACGATAGCGCCGTGCACTGGGTTCACCATTACAACCTTTTCCCGTTATGTTATGCATATAAAGAAATTTAAGAAATGATATCCCAATCTTCCTGATAAGATTTTTTGAGGTTCAGCGATTAGCAAAGCCTGAATCTGAACCTCAATTTAAGGGTTAATATTTCTAGCTGTCTACATCGCATTAAAATGATGATATTCAAAATTACTCTTTCTTCAAAGTTTTGACATGTTGAACATATTTCAGAGGAAACATGACGTCCTATAATCATTTCTGGTATGGTGTAATAATTTAAGCAAAATCAGTCTGTCCAATCCGGACGTCGTACTGTTGTCACGTGATGTATACCTGTTTTGCAAGCTCGGCTTTCTCCGACAGACGTTGTACCTTCACACTACGTAAGGCGTTTCTCATCACGATCTCTGACTCTTCACTGCCTGGTTTATATAGGAAAAATATGTAAGTCACATTCATCCACTCACACGTTTCATACATAACAGTACATGATGATACTACGTTTAAGCCATATTCTAAGCTTCTATTTTATTTCTTATCTTCATAAACTAATGTTTTTTTAGTGAATAAAGGGATGGTTTAAAGTTATTTTTGTTCTAATTGGTTTTCAGAAAAGAAATCAAATGTCAAAGATGTTCAGGAATAGAAGGCCTCATTTGCGATAAACAACATTTCAAATAGTAAACGTTACAGACAAGTAAGCAGAGATGAATCCTGAAATAGTTGTCCTCACCTGTCGGGAATTTGTACAGTAGAGTAAGGTCGTATTTAATGGATGCTGTGTCCCCTCCAGTATATGGATGACCATCCGGGTACTTTGTGATTATCAATTTTCCTGCACTAAAACGTAGATTATTGTTGGTTAAAAACCTCCTTCATCAGAATAAATTATGTAGTTTATTAATATAAAAAAATGTCGTATTTTCTTCCTGAGACGTATAAACCATTTATTTTTCTGTGTAATCAATACATGCTATCCCTAAAAGGTATGCCTACCCTATCTAAAAATTTATTTTTTACATTTCTAACAGTAATTCCCGAAACATCGAAACGATATGTTTTGGTTTTGTGTGTATCCCACTTTTCTTTAAAAGTCATCTTTTTATTATTAAGGGCAGTAAAAAAGAAAATCATCATTATCATCAGTTTGCATTGTAATGTACAAACATCGGTGAAATCTCCGTAATAAATGTATCCTGTGTTTTCTCTCTGTCCTTATGCATATGTAAGATATGTACATGTCGTCTGTGAGTTCTGTTAATTTAAACATACGTACATATTCGAATCCTCTTTTATTTTGATCCAGTTTACTCCAGGTCGTCTCTGCCATATGGTCCTTCCCGCATTTAGTTCGGCGAATATGAAAGCAGTGTCATAGGGGAGATCACAAAGGCCCTTCCTCACGGCTGTCACAGAGGAGGGACCACACACGTATATATCTATAATAAATAGGGTTGGAAGACAACAAATAGGTTACCAAAATCAATAATCGAAAAGTCGGACATTTAATTACCCCTTTGGGGAGCCCCACGTTTCTTAGCTTATATCTAGAAAATCGGATAGTTTTGTAATACAAGCAGTGTTTATCCTTACATGTTAGTGTTGTATTGCACTCTATTGCAAAAATTGACAAAGAGATGACGCCAACACCATACAAAATCGTAACAGAATTTATAAGGAACTTTCAGAGGTAGAATGCGCTTTTACATGCGAAATGTAAATGAGAAAGCACGTCAAAATTTGACCATTTTCACTACCCTAATAACATATAATGATCCTGCCAATCAAACTATTCGGGCGGTTCACTTTCGCAACCATCTTTTCACTAGAGACTACTGGTTGAACCATATCAAAATAAAATTGTCAGTACGAATGTCTATATATTCCAGATTCGGGACTTGTCAATGAGTTTGAACAAACTGTTGTCGGCGTCATAATGTTAGTCACAGACTCCTATCGAATGGTTTCCGAGGTAGTTTCTAAAAACTGACATTTTGTTTTGGGTGTTGTACAATAAAAATAAATCAAGTTCATACTTATTTATTTTGATGTCAATTCCGCTGCACATCGTTACCTCTGGCAGAAAAAACAAACACGAAATACGCACATGATGCACATATTGTGTCTTTTTAGGAAGTCTGCTATATTTCTAAATGACAATCAAGCTAGAAATTGTGCAAAAACACAAAAATGCTGCGGAAAGCAATCAGAAATCCGGAAACCTACTTTAATGAAACAATACTTGGTTATTATATGTATACAGCGTATCTATTGACAAAACCATTAGACAACCTCGCGTGGCGCGCGCCTAATGGTGTACCTGTACAGAGTATGTTGATACCATATCCTTCTATTATTGTATTCGGAAACGCAGTTCTTCTTACAAGTAGTTGGTATATGTATTTATAGGAACGGCTATGCACAACGCAAAACTAATGGAACGCTACCATAAATGTGACATAATGAAAATGCCATACTCACGGCCAGAGGGTTCCTGTGGGGTGGGGTCAAGCACTTGCCAGCCACTAAGATTATCAGGCTTCTCCGGGAGGTCGGGCCTCTTCATCCATACCTCGTTCCACACGTGGAAATCCCTATCAACATTCGGAACACCATTCAAAACTGTTCGTATTAATTGCAAGGACAATCTGGAAAATGCTAAGCCACATTTCAATATATATGTTATACATGTATTTAAACATATCTCTACACTAAATCCAAATCCTTCATTTACACGAGTTAAGTTTTAGTTAAAGGTAAGTGTTTATCATTACACCAGTTATGTTTTAGTTAAAGGTAAGTGTTAATCATTACACGAGTTATGTTTTAGGTAAAGGTAAGTGTTAATCATTACACGAGTTATGTTTTAGCTGAAGGTAAGTGTTAATCATTACACGAGGTTTTTTTTTAGTTGAAGGTAAGTGTTAATCATTACACGAGTTATGTTTTAGGTAAAGGTAAGTGTTAATCATTACACGAGTTATGTTTTAGTTAAAGGTAAGTGTTAATCATTACACGAGTTATGTTTTAGTTAAAGGTAAGTGTTAATCAACCAGCTGACTAACACGTTCACTCGCTTTGATTGGTAAACATTTTGAGATGTGGAAATCGTTTGAAGATTGGCCCCATTTTACGTTTGTGCTTATAAATGCTTACATTTTACAAGTAAATAGGAAAAATTACATAAAATTTGGTAAACTACTTTAATTAAAGACGAATCATTTTGCAAACTATTGTTCGACATATTAATGTATTGTAATGGTTTATTATTAATCAAAATGTAATGTTTAGTAAGCTCCTCGGGTCTAGAGTAATTGGTATTCCTACAGACGAATTACTTGAATTATGAAATTTTACCACTATGTGTCAACAAGCTGTAAAGTCCTTAATCTCACCACAGCGCATGCGTATCCACCACCTTCTGCACTCCGTTAAATGGGTCGATAGTGTATCCCTTGTCGATAGACAGATTTCGGTCAGGATCATGGGCAGACACAAAGTTCGTGACGCTTCGACAGGGTAGCCCGAGCGCTCTACAAACTGAGATAATGAAACTTGAAATACAGATACATATTTATTACACTTACATTGCGCTCATGTGGCATTTTTAAACATTTTCCATAAGAGGGAGGGGGAGCAGGAGACTATCAAAGAGTCAACAAAACCTCTCCACGTTTGCAAAGACGTCATGTAAATACCACCCTTTATTTATTCATTTATGTGCACATTGCGACGATTATGTGATTGCTTTATGTATAAAAGTGATTGTAAGCCTGTGATTTTGTTTCACAATTATAACTAAAATTAGATTCCATATGTTGTAAAGCGCTTTAGAGTATTTTTACCAATTATGTAGGGCGCTATATAAATATTGTATACTAAAACCATAATAAGAACTCAAAATTGATAAACCTAAAATATGAACAAGGGAAAGATTTACATGGAGACCCTTGAAAAAGTTCAATAAGAATAAGACATTCATGAAACCATTATCATGTTCAAGCATCGATTCTGTACTCAAACCAACTTTCGTGTTTATCGCTTAAATCAAATGACATGGTAAAAACGTCAGGAGTAAACCCTAAAAACGAAGGTGTGCTTCAAGCCTCTCTCGAATTCTTCCAAATTATTTTCAGAACGTGAAGTATTATATATTTATTACCGAAGCAAGAAATTGGGCTTGAGTACAAAGTATATTATGAGCATGAGAAAGGTTTCATGAATACGGGCCCAGGTGTTCCGGAAGGGAAAGTTAAGCAATAGAATAAATGGCATACTGGGACACCAGCCTGAAACCTCTGTACTTAAGACGGATATTCTATCCAACTTAGCTTCACTATACCGAGATCACAAGCAATATATCCAATACAGAACGGAATTTGAAACCAACATGCCCATAAGACTTTACCCCTGCGATAATACTTTTATCATAAGACGAACTCCAAGTTGTCTATATAAATAAAATAACCCTTTATTCTATTTCGATGTAACAAGGTCAATAACTCCTGCCAAACTTCATATGTAGTTGTCTTCCTCTCGTTTACTGCCATTCACTTTACCATGTATATACAGATTTCTTACCGGTAGTGAAAACTGCGGAAAACACCCACGGCTGCCCGTATTTGACCGGTATGCCGTTTTGCATATTATACATTTTTAATATCCGGGGACTCCCAATCCACGCCGTCGGCCGTATGCCGTCTGCAAACGTTCCCCGGTACTTTCCAGTCATCACGCCAGTACCATCAATGTTATTTATCTGGTATTAAAAGGTGTTATCAATAAATGTGTATTGAAAGATGAACTGTTGATGCATAAACCTTTTTCCATGTATTTCCTCAATTTAAGTCTGTATCCAATCCGTTTTTCTTATATTCTTGTTTTTCAGTTCAAAATCACACCAAAGAATGTATTTCCCTCACATCATAACGCCATGATCTAGAATATGCACCAATGTATTGTGGTGTCGGTTTTTACAATAACTTTGATTTAAAAGGCAAGTTTAATTTTTTTCATGAAAGTCCTAGTGTCAAAGTATTATGTACCGTTGAAATGACCCTATACTGTTGCATAGAGGTCATTCCCGAACAAAACCCCTCATGCAACCGAATTGCTTTCTTTACTTATTCACAACAAAAATGTGTTAATGATCAAAGTGCAGAAAACTTTCTGTAAATTGATAAGCTTGCCTTTCACCAAACTCCCACGGAGCTTAAACTACTTCACTTTACGTTGAATTACCTATGCATGAACAATTAATTAATGGTAAAATATTGAGCAGCAGGTGTTTTGCTATAGAAATAAAAGTACAGACATGCGTAGGGAACAGGTAAGGTTGACTTCTGTCCTCTACCATTTATACTCACCACCTTTGTGAGACCCCTACACACCAGTACGGGGTCGGACAACTGACTCGACACCTCAAAGTTGAACGCCTTCCTCAGTAAATGAAGGCTTATCTTCAGGATGTCTTCATCAAACTTAAAAGAATCGATGAGAAAATATGATCAATGTATTCGGTTAGTGATCTATGTTGGTGATATTTTTGTACATAAAGCTTATATGTATGCTTCTTATTAAATAAGGAATTCATGCATTTTTCCCTCACCTAAAGACTAAAACATTTCAAGAGATCTGCAGCCGCATTGACGGCTTCAAGTAAAATTTCATGTGAAAATGTAATATCTTTTATACTGACAATGTGTATAAAAATACATATGTATGCCCCTGCACCCATAGCAGGTAAAACTCGGACAACAATATGAATGAAAATGGCCACCAGATTGGTGACATTGCATTTATTAAAATCAATACAGCCACACTAGGGCTCTTAGCATAATATCCATAAAATATGGAAAATTATATGAAAAATTGAATAACACAGTAGCTCCCACCACACACGCATGGCAACCACTACTACAAACTATAACAACTAGCCCAAGTGGGGTTGCCAAAAACGCCAAACATTGGTCAATGGTGGTGTTGCCGAACCCATCTTTACATGATTACTGCGAGCCGGCTGTCCCAACCCTGTTAATTGGGGGAGGTAGGTTTACCCAATGCTATGACCAGTCGGTAAGTCTTTTCTTCCTCCAACATAAACAAGAAACAACCTACCAGGTTACCAACTATATACATCTAATGGTACACAGTACATAGTAATCTTGGTCAATGATAAACACTATAAATGTACAACAAACGCTCATTTCAAACAAAGAAACAAAATATTGACAACAGTAAGCGTGGGAAGAGGTGGGTTTAAATTGATTATCCTGAGAGCTTGATGAGTGTACAAATACAGTGGCTGCCTGATGCGGAGATATGTCCCAGAGTGAGATAGCGTCACCTCTGGCCCTTTGGCCAATCAGTGACTAACCTCAGAAACCCTGATACTGTCATCGGCAGCCAATCACTGAACCGTATATTGTGCCCACAATTCAAGCTTCAAAATTTAAATCAAAATAGCAGTAAATCTAAACTTGTTATGACGTTACGAGCACCAATTAAATTAATTGCGTAGCTGCTTTTTACGGGTTCCTCTAGCAAACTAGCAAGATATGAACTTTAGGTTATCCATTTTAAATCCTGACATATTGTGTCTACTCTGAATGCCACTTGAAAAATAATTATTCTATATATATAATCCATTGCGAAAAGAAATATATAGAGAGCATATTAACGCTACTATGAATCACTTCTGAATTACTTTATTGTTCAAGTAAAGTTACACCATTGTGCCATTTATAATCGCGACGAAAAATTCCAAATATATTTTCCGGTTTAGAGTTTTCAAAAACTCATATTCGATAAAATGTGAAAGTGTAAAATACGTCAAAAGATATGTATGACTTATATGGAATACTTTCACAGATAAGGACTTGAAGAAATGGTTCATAATAGCGTTATTGGCAATAACACATTTTGTATTTAACTTAATGATACGCTTAGCCTAAAAATCTGTGATAAAAATCCAATACAATAAGATCTTGTTTGTTTTCAATACAGTCATAGTTTTACCTGTACGGTCAGACTTAACTGTACGGCCGTACTTACCTGCCCAAATTGCAATGGCTTGGCTATGATAACCTACTGGTACGATGGTTTGGCTATGTTTGCCTTTGCGATCATATACTTACTTGTCCGAAGTCCAATGGGTTGGCTATGTTTACCTGTACGATCATACTTACCTGTCCAAAATTCCATGGTTTGGCTAAGACCTTGTCTGCCCTCCCAAGGAAGATTATGCCACAGTCATTAAGGCCATACTCATCGATAGGGTCGGTGTGACCCCTAACCCCAGCTTCCGGGCAGACAACTCTGTCGATATAAACCTGATCCGCTGCCATAGAAACCAAATGCCTGCGTGACATAGACTGTAGCAAGAGCAATATTTGTTTATATATATTGGTACGAATTTAGTTGCCTTAAATATGCTATCTTGCATCAATAGACAATCGACTCTTTATAAAATACTAAATTCTATATCAATCAAAAGTCATTATATTGCAGTCACCATGATTATATAAAGAAATACTGCGAACTTAATGATAGAACGTCATAAGAACCCACCTTCATATTAAATGCAGGCTCATAAAACAAATTTGTAAAAATAAAAGTCAATTTTGAAATTAAGATGAATTGAAAATATTGCTAAAAGAACATACCGGGGTTCCAAGGGTTGAACAGAACGGCGATGTCACCTGGGTGTTCATATCTTAGCTCCCGTTTAGCAGGAACGTAAATCCCAAGTGTTGTTGAGAATATGCTGAGTACCCATTCTCCGATTGTACAAGTAGGGGGCGTGGTTACCTCGAGTACCATCGACTTGTTCGATGACCTGATGACGTACATCCGCCAACCATGTACCTTTTTGTGCTTGTCAAATTCGTCTTTAACATCCAGTAAGACCCATGTGCCGTCCGCCGGGTCCGGTCGGTCACTTCCTGTTAAGATGCATGTCATGTTGATGATTGTTTATATATTTGAAGATGAAACGTTGAAAGGAAAGCTCGTTGAATACCATTTATTCAATCCCATTTCGCATTAAGAAAATAAGTATCATATTTATACATAATTGAAAATTTAGAAGTATGCATGGAATGCTGATCTTTTACTTGTAGTGCAAGTGTGTGAAGTGTATATAATACAAGTATCAACGCACTGATGTCTTCAAAAAGTCTTAATGGTTTACAACCCTAGAGATCCCCCGGAACATATCCGTAAACCATCGGAAGTTATCATTTAACATGTATGAGCGCATTTTACCTTTAATGACTATTAATGAATTTGGTCAAATTTACCAATTATACAAAATGTGCACCAGGTATATTACTTAGCAAGCAAATACAGACTTTTCTTGAAGTATGTATTTATACATTAAGACAGTATTAAATAGAGAATATGGAGGACAATGAGTTAATCAATAACAAAACAAATGTTAAGTGGGAGAAAGCAATTGAATTGATGCCAGGTGACATGACAGGGAGGACACACTGTTGAGGACAATGTGCTATTGTGAGACAAAGGCGGAATTGGGGGGGGGGGGGGGGGGTTGATAATGAAAGGACAAAAATCGAAGTAAGCTTTACAGTAGTAAAAGGGACAAATGAGATGTGCATCCGTAAAAGTAATTGACGTTACAGACTGAAGCATGGGAACCTTCATGGGCTAGTGGATCTGACCACCAGATGGCTGTGTCAATCTCAGGAAGATAAGTCAACCTTATTGTACACACTTGGCCAATATATGTGTTAGTTAAGGTGCATGTTAGATACATCCATATTTGATAAAAAACTGATTTAACAAAAACCTCCCTCAGTAAAATTGCAGAACAGATTAAGAATATTGCTCTTCATTGGAGAATTGGACATTAACAAATATAAATCAGTATCAATTTGTATTATACTTCTTTTTCGAACGAGCACAACAAGCGTAAGGGACAAATTTCCGGACTGAAATGTATCTTTTCAATTTTTGCCGGTATGCCACAAAGATCCGTTCGAATATATTCCATGATGCGCGATAGCGTATATTGGAGACATCAAAAATACATAAGAAGACAGTCATTCAGAAACCATTCGGGAATTCCAGTCATTATTTAAATTCAAAAGCACGGCATGATTGGCTACCGATTACTGTTAGCAGTTTCCGACTGGAAACATAATTGCCATTACTTGTTTATAACAACAGTTTTGGTTACTGAGAAGTTTTTGATTACACAACCAAATAGATTTTCTATGTGACGTTTCGATGACTAGCACGATATGTACACTGTCACCTTCATCAGACAAATGACCAGTGAAGCGTATGCACACAAAGGTGTAAAATGTGTACGAGTTGTCCACTACGCTGTATGCTATGTGCAATAGTTGTTATATATGTACCGAATGACTCGATTCGGCTACGCTTTGAAAAAAGACCCATACGGACCAATTCCTTAACTTCAAATCTCACCATCCTTTGCACCAATAGTTAGGCGTCGTACGCATTTTTCATTTTATTCTTTAGAAAACAAATGGATTGGACAACAGGCAAGCCTTATTTGGCAATGAAAGGAGTATAGCTCCGCAATGAAAAAGGAACAAAACACCACCGAATAGCATTTAAATGTCACGATTTAAGGAATCGTCCAATGCATCTAGGTAATGAAACATCCAACCAATAGGTACCACATATATACAAGTCAAAGTGAATAAAGTAAGTAATAGATATCATAGACAGTAATGTATATATATAAAGAGGAATAGATTTTAACATGAAAGCATTGATGGTAGTATTACACAAACATTCAGAGAGTAGAATGATTACACCCTCAAAGATACAACACATATATATAAGATGTGTACTCAGCCTAAGTAAGTAAGTAATCTACATTATTACAAAGTTACATTGTACTACATATATATGTCATAGTGAAATATATAATATCCAGACTGTACAATAAAAGAGGTCTTCAGTAGATTTCAATCATTCAATTATTATATTATAATCTTAAATCGTTCAGTACCATTTATATAGTATTGGATATTAGTGAAAATAAGCTCATTAATATCATCCGACAGGGTAGTATCACCTGCAGTTAACAGCTAACCAATACGGTCATGAATTTCATGAATTAAATACCTAGAATAAGAGCAATTAGGACAAGTAAAAAAAAAGTATTTTCAGTAGGTGAACCACAGGCACAAACTGGATCAGGGATAAGATGATCTATAAATGTATAATGATTCAAGTCACTTGCATCATTTCTTAATTGGCACAAAATAATTTTTAATTTTCGTTGGCTACAATTTTTAAAAGTATCAAAAATAGCTTCAATAGGATAAGCTATAGTATTTTTAATATTCCTTTTGAAGGAACTTAAGCTAACTGATCTGGTCAGCGAAAGATCAAGACTATTCCATGCCTGCATGGTACTAGGAAAGAAGCTTGTCTTATAAATATTAGTTCTTGACCTTGGGATATTGAAAAATCTGTGGTGACGCAAGCAATGAATATTTTGCTGATGATTAATGAATGGTTCAATGATATTAAACAAATAATCAGGGGTGAAATGATTTATAATTTTTTACATTAAAATTAATTTGTGCTTATGACGCCTAGATTCTAACTTTTCTATGCCAGTTTCTTGATATAATTTATACTGTGAAGTACCATTTCTTAAACCATTAATAATCTTCACTGCATCACTGTGTACAGATTATAATAAATTTGATTCACCAATAGTGCAATTGTCCCAAATGGAATCTGAATATTCCAAATCTGGTCTAACAAATGAATAGTATAATGTTTCAAGAGTTTTCCTATCCACTTTATGTTTTAATATACGTAACAAATTCAGCCGTGTACATGCTTTATTGTATATATCATTGATATGATCCCCGATGTGCCTTTTGAATTAAATATAACTCCTAAGTGTTTATGGAATAAATTTTCCTGAATTACTTGATTATCAAAAATCAACGGAGGGTGAACCCTATTTTTCTTACTTACAGTTAGTGCAAATGTTTTATTAGGATTAAAATTAATTTTCCATTTTTAGCCCAAGTATTAATAGATTCAAGGTCGTCATTTAAATCAGTAGTTGGAGTTACAATATCATCATCAACAATAGCATAGAGAGAGGTATCATCAGCAAACAATTTTATATTGGTATTAATTTCATGAGTTATATCATTAATAAAATGTAAGAATAAAAAAATGTCCAAGTATAGAGCCTTGTGGAACACCAGCAGTTATATGTTTAAATGTAGAATTATAACCATCAAAGATAACTCTTTGTTTTCTATCAGTAAGATAACTTTCAATTAACTCATACAAATTACCCGATATGCCATATTTTTTAAACTTATACAAAAGACCCTAATGCCAGACTTTGTCAAAAGCTTTACTTATATCACAAAACACTAATAGTACATTCTTACCTTTATCAATGTTATCCATAATTAAATTATATTTTGATATTAGTTGGTTGACTGTAGAGTCTCTAGGTTGAAATCCAGATTGGTGCTCACTGATAATATGATATTTGGTTACATAATTAATTAAAGACATACTTAAAAAATATTTGTTTCTAATACTTTACTTAAAATGGATGTTATGGCAACTGGTCTATAATGATTTGGATCGTCAATAGCTCCTTTACATTTATATAGAGCATTAACCTTAGCAGACTTCAAGGCTAGAGGAATAGCGCCAGAAGTAATTGTTTTATTAAAGAGAATTTTAAGTGGTAAAATTATAGAAGGTAGAAGATTTTTTTATTACTTTAGGAGCAACATTGTCAGGCCAAGGAGGTTTATTATCCTTAATTAGCTGGACTTGATCAATTATGTCTTGATCTGATATTACAATTTCACCAAGTTTGATATGACTAAGGGGAGGTAAATCAATATCAGAATTGTTAATATTATTAGTATCATCAACAGAGTTGAAAATAGAAGTAAATAAATTATAAATAGCTTCTGATTTATCAAACGGATGAATAAAAAAATCATTACCAATTTTAAGAGGATGAGAAGTTTCTTTTTTATTGGAAAGACCACTTATGGACTTAGCAATACGCCACCACTTACTAGGTGGTACGGTCTTATCTACAAGAGAGTTTTGAAGTTTCCTAAGATATGTACCTTTATCTTTTCTTATAAGTTCAATTCAATATTTCTCAAAATTCTAAATGTATGCCAGTCATTTATTTTATTAGTATGCTTTACTATTTTATGTAATCTATTATTTTTCCTTAACTGGGTTCTTATTTCATTAGTCATCCATGGTTTATCATTTGGCTTTATTCTTATTACTTTACATGGAATATACTTTTCAGTAAGCAAGTTTATTTGATTTATAAGTATACTATTTATCTAAGTTACATTATGTCCAATAATGTATTCCAATCAATTGCTAGAAGACATATATTTATTTCATTCCAGTTAGCCTCACTAAATTTAAAAACAACCTTTTACAAATGATTTTACTTTTAATACTTTGAAACATAAATTCATAACAATAGGACAGTGGTCACTACATAGCGGTGATAAAACTTCTGAACTCTGCACTATGTTTAGGTTGTTAACATAGAATATGTCAATACCAGTTGTTGATGTATTAGTTATTCTTGAAGGACATTGAATGATATTTTGAAGCTGGTATTTAGGTAAAATTCTTGCAGGATGGGTATTAGAAGAAAGAGAAAGCATATCTTGGTTAATATCACCAGTAATAATAACATTACAGTTAACATTAGTCAGTGTATCAATTAAGTGATCAAATGTATTCCAGTAAGCAACATTTGAGTTTGGAGGTCTGTAAATACAACAAAGAAAAAACATTTTGTTAGATGATCTAATTTCTAAGACAATATTTTCAAAATTAACTGATTCAAGATCAAATATTGTAGCATGAATATTATCTTTTGTATATATCATGACTCCTCCACCTTGCCTTTCCTTCCTATCATTTCTAAAGAAAGTAGGATGTGACTCTAATTTGAGATCAGTATCATTGACAGAATCATCTAGATGAGTTTCAGAAAAACAGAGAATGTCATTTTCAAAAATTTCTCTTTTAATAAGTTCAAGCTTATTACGCAAAGAACGAACATTAAGATGAAGAATCGATACATTGCTTAATTCATATTTATCTTGACAATTGGGACCCGGGTTAACATGTGCATCACCTGCTCTCAATATAAGAGACAATTGAATAAATTTATAAAACAAGTCATTATCAAAAAACATCAAATAAGTAGATCTGCTGAGTGATCGCTTTCTCACACATACATACATAAACCATTCACACTGAAACATGGTATTGATATTGTAACAACGCACAACCTCATGAGGGAGAAACGAGATTACTAGTATTTGACCGAGCTTAAATATCTACTTGAATATGAATAACATAAACAAGGCCAACTAATATAGAGAAAAAAAAGCGAAAAAATATAAGACGACCAATGAATTCATATCATTCAAGAGTCAAAATACAAAAAATATAGTGTAATTAATATTTACACATAAGTGAAATCTACATATTGAATAGCACCAATGTCATGATCAGTTATCATATGTAAATTAGGTACTGATAGAATATTTGTCAGTTGAAACAGGGATGGGAGAGCTGAATTCTTTTATCCCTTGGATGTTTAATCAAACTATCAAAATTAATTCAATGTATAAAGTAATGAGTAGAGTTGTTACAAACTAACAATAAATAGTCGTATTGAGTATGAGAAAATTGACAGAGCTATAGCTAATTGATCATATGATAAATAGGAAAGTGTTATATATATATAGCATCAACAAATTGGCTCTGGGCTACATGACAACAAATGAAGTAATTGATCACATGATAAACACTGAATAGTTTTGTCAACATAGGATATCTACAATTTGACTCAAAGTTATATATGTAGTATGTAACGAAGTAACGGTTATCGAAAAAATTAAAAAAAAGTGAATATTTGTGCAGACTATTAACAATTTGACTCTGGACTAATTGACCACAAGTCACAGATCACATGTATTAAAACACTAAATATAGTTAAAATGGTCATATAAATAACATATCAACAATATGACCCAGACCTATTATGATCCAGACCTATGTCAAATCTGGAAAAAATGATTAATTTCACTGATTTCATTAAGATAGGAAAATAGGGACAGACCTCTTAAACCCCTTGATGAATCAATCAAAATATAAATTCAAAATATTGAAATGTTAAGGGTTGTTACAAACTAAAATGAGTAGTTATACAGTCAGAGTATGAGTCGTACGCACATTGCTTAACAGATGTGATACAATAGTCACAGAACAACAGGACAAAACACAAGAGCAGAATCACATCGCTAGGGCAATGAGAACATGTGCATATCCGGAATGGGCCCTAAAACGGGTACAAAAACAGTGTCAAGTAAGGAGAAGAACAAGAAAAGGCCAATCAAGGATGAGAACAAAACCAAAGGTCAAGTCATCATCCCGTAATAGAGGGTCTATACGAAACCGTCCAGAGGATATATCGCGCCCTCAAAACGCTTCTCAATAACCTAGTACACCCTATGGATAAAATACCTAAAGAGAACGTCGCAAAATGCATATACAAAATCGGATGCATAAACTGCGACGCATCGTATATTGGAAAGACTGGAAGGCGATTTGGGGTCCACCATGGTGAACACCGGAAAGATACGTGCCCAAGAAGGTAGGAAATTCACCAGATCAAAAAGAAAGCAGTCGGACTCCCAGAAAAATAAATCGGCAATCACAGACCATGCCACACAGAAAAATCATGTGATCGACTGGGATAACTTCCAAGTTTTGGACAGAGAGAGCAATCTGTTCAAGCGGCAAATAAATGAAGCCATCTGGATACACCGCAGTGGGCCGGTTCTAAATCGAGATGAGGGGGCTCAAAGACTCTCGCACATCTATGACCAAGTATTAAACAACGCGTAGCCGAACCGAGTCATTTCGGTACTTATACACTGCGTAACAACTATTGTCCATACGCTTACAGCGTAGCCAAATCGACTCGATTTGGTGGATAACTCGTACTCATTTTACATTTTTGTGTGCATACGCTTCACTGGTCATTTGTCTGATGAAGGTGACAGTGTACATATCGTACTAGTCATCGAAACGTCACATAGAAAATATTATCGGTTGTGTAAAAAGAACTTCTCAGAATCCATTCTTACCAACATGAAAAATAATTTTAGAAACAGTTTTGGTTGAACCAGAAAAGACCAAAATGACACTTACCCCACATGGATGATATTATACCTTATTTATTTAACAGTGTGTCTAATTGAATAACTTTATCACTTATATAAAACGTCATATTTTCCTCACACGCTAGTCGCATTTTGGTGTACTAGATCTTTTATTGCCCTGTTGGTCGGGAAACACTAGTCTTTGTTTTCCTCGGGCTGTGCCCTCGTAAAAACGATTGATCACGGGAAACAAAGACTTGTGTTTCCCACAACAAGGGCAATAAATGTTTAAAATGTCGCCTACCTGTCGAGAAACTCAGTTGTAAGTCGTGCTTTCCTCTATTGAAAGTTTCGTTTAGACTCAAACCGATGATAAACGGCTGACCGCGCCGCACAATCAAATCCGGTTCTGGTTCCTCCTTATTTTCATCTACGTGATCTGACCTCGTTTTATTTAACATGAATCGATCTGTGTGGTGCTCCTGTAGTGTCCGGTCAAGGAACAGATTGACACCCATTACATACAGGTTGTCCCTCAGGTCTTTATCCCGGGCGTGGACCTCGAACGGTCGAGGGTCTGCAGATGATATATTATACATTAGAAGCATATAATTATGTAAACATATATCAATTTTCTACTTGGAATTTGTAGGGTTATTTCTTAATTCGTACCTTATGAACATTTCAATTTATTTATACTTTAATTTATATTTAAATAAACAGATTGAACACGGTGTATCACAAGATACTGGGGATGTATCCATTTAAATTTAGCCATTTTGCGCTTTCTAAAATACTTAATAGTTTTTTTTTTTATATTGTTGGGTAACTAGTTGCACCTTTTTAATATTACATGAACTTAAAAATGATTAGTTCAATGCTTAATTTGATAATAACTATTTGTGCACTTACATTACCTGTGTAATCTTCAGGTATGATTGTAGATTTATGGAATGTGTATGCTGTACATGTAACATCATGTATAGTATTTAATTGTTAGAAATATACACAATACTGAAGGAAATATCATATGGAAACAATAATAGGTTACTGCATATCACTTCTTTTTTCGCGAGATATTAATGTTCACATTAGTTTGCGAGGTAACCCATTAACAAAGTTAAGCCTTTTGCGAGTTTTTTTTATCATTTGATTATTACTAGCCGAATTCAAGTATTTGCGTGTGAAGGTATATATACTAGCTCGAATAGTTCACGAAATTAAATACGCGCAAAAATTTACGAAAACCAGTAAAAACATTTAACATTGCTGTGAATTGTCACGACGATCAGTATACATACGGCCACGCCTCCTGAGTCTCATGTCCCTCTCCCAAGGGTACTCCGAGGTTCGTTCTGGGCCGTACCGTAGGGCGTTCAGTCGGATTTTGGGAGACGTGCGGGGGGTAATGTCAGCCGGGGGCATATCCGGCCAGCGGAACCCTAGGTCCTCCTTCTTAAAGGGCCGGACCTTCTTACCCCTGAGTTCGTGCGAGTTCTGCAACATTAGAAGAAGATTTATCATGATCAGCGCGAATTTATTCATATTTTGGGGTGAAACTAGTATATTTAAAATAATTGAGAAAGAAGAGGACAAATCAATGCTGCAAAACAATTTAGGCATTACGGGACAATTAAGCAGGCAATTGTTGTTACAAGTATACCAACAAAAAAGCCAACACACTCATACTGGGGGAAATATTTGCTGCATTTAAGGAAGAACCCCATCATACTCAATCAACAAACTACACAGCAGTCCTGTGATAAACAAAATCAGAGAAAGATATTGACATCACATTATATTCTAACCTGTCATTTGAAGATAATCTAGGGGAAAAGGTAAACAAGGCCATTTCCATATTTGCCATGCTGAGGAGCACATTCAATTACATGGACGTAGACACATCTTCGCCACTGTATAAAACACTGTGGAGGACCCACCTGGACTTATGGTCTGTGTGGTCACATTTCAATATTAAGGGTATAGAAATGGTGGAAATACTACAAAATATTACCGGGAATGAAGAAACTTACATGACCATAAAGATTAGCCAAATTGATGCTACTAACATTAGCCTATCGATGTATGAGTTTAGATGTGATTGAGGCATATTAGATCATTATACGGCATATACGCCCGGGAAACCAATATCGTACTAAAGCCATAGGGCAGTGTGACAGCCAGGAACAGCAGGGAAGGCAACTCGAAAAAACATTCTCACGAATTTTTTTTTTTCTCATTGTGAGTAAACGGTACTGTACCAGAAATGGACTCAAGCTAGATTCATTCAATGCCTTTTAAAGGTAATTGATATTTGAATTGCTAATATAAGGATATCACTATTCTTCAAAACCAATATCGCTATCGTATATCATCGCTTAGAACCATGCTCTAGTGAATATTTATGTTTAAATACGTAATTAGGACCATCTTTATTAACAGATATAATCATGATTTTTCAAGTGATATAACATAAAACCTACATGAAAAGGATGTAAACAAAATTTCATTGGGAAAATACTAGCATGATCCTAGTGAAGATCGCTCTACAGATTCTTTCAGGAAATTCTTTTTAGTGAAATACTTCCAAAAAGAATACGTGAATAAGGTTTTTCTATGTTGTGCCACGCATGGTTATTGTCAAGTTGTCAAAATTGGGATGTATTGACAGTATTCATGAAAACAACGGCCCTTTTCATACATAAGTCAAACAATACACTAATCATCTACTCTTGCTTTTCTGGTTTCTTTTCTTAAACCAAACATTTCATAACAAAGATAAGCATTGATACACTGTTGTACTGCAAGTATTTGTTAAAAATGCTTTTCATGAAAGCTATCTGAATTCTTAAGATTTCGGACATATATTAATTAGAAACTAGGTCACTTGCTCTCTATTTAAAGCCGCGGTCACATCATACGGTCACGCACGTAGTTGACCGTAGTGGGGGATGACCGTAGTTGACTGTAGTAGACCGTAGGTGACCTTAGTTAAACGTAGTTCCCTAACTCTAACTCCTTAATTCAACATTCTAATTCCTTAACCTTAATTCGCCCTAGTTGACCCTATACTAGTTAACCGTACTTACCGTACTAAAAAGTACTGTGAACGTACTTAAAACGTAGTGTTCACCGTAGTGCCATGTTACTACGGTCAACTAAGGTAAAGACTACGATGAAGTATGGTCAAACAGGATCAACTACGCTCAAACTATGGTCAAAGTAGGGTCTTGGCATTTAAACTCACCATAGAAATATTTTGAACATGTTGAAAATTGTTGGGCTAACCACGGCCACATCATGGGTTTCTTGATGTTCAAACTTCTTTTAATACATTTAACTGAAGTCACCTACAGTCTACGGTCTACTACAGTCAACTACGGTCATCCCCCATTGTACGGTCGACTACGTGCGTGACCGTAAGATGTGACTGCGTCTTTAATAAAATGCTTAAGATTTTTCACAATTGGTCTTTTTTTTTACTTCCCATTAACAAAAGGACCACATCAAAACATATATCGAGGGGTTTACATCTGCATGCAGACTAATGTTTATGCCTTAAATCTTGCTCAGTACAAATGTACTGCACCTCATATATTATTAGCATCTAAAGGGTTGTTTGAAATAACGAAGACATCTGAAGGAGAACAGGTAGTGAGGTACCTGTTTTAGCCTATTGTCTGACACATACCTATGAAAATACAAGAGAATACCGAAGTGTTAATAAAACCGTTATCCGAACTCCAAACCGATAAAACTAGGGGAAAACATGGACAAAGAAAATATTAATACGGAGGCGTTTGAAAAGGCAAACGGAATGTAAGACCATGTGTTCCGGAAGGGCGAGTGGCTTCTGCTCCATCGATGGCTCCCAAATGTATATATAAGTGCAATCCAAGTAATGTCACGTCCTACGATCTAGAACCGGGGTATGGTAACGAAACAAGACACACTAAAGAGCATACATTAAGCCAAAAGCATCTACCTTCAAATAAACTGTAACATAAGTTAATAACATAGTTCCTAGTGAGATCATAATGAAGGCCATGACAAACCCTGTGCTGCAATTCTGTCTGTCAGTACTCGACATCTCTCACATAAATCATAATATTCGGAGCAGGCTCTTGAACACACGATACGTGACTACACGTTTACATGTTATGATAAAAACAAATATTTTATTAACGTGTCACACATTTCAATTCATGTAGGTATCATCGAATACTTTTTGCAATCTTTAAAAATCATATATAAGAAATGTCCGGCCAGTGTTGACCTTTTAGACACCGTTATCATGATACTACCTAAATCACAATGTTATATAAACAACCATGTACATGTATTTTACCCAACTAAACGATGCTATAAATAGACAGCACTGTGTCACAGCAGATTAAAGAATACTCATATGTTATAAATGGTAACTAGCGAGGGAAAACACAGTTAAGTTCAAAACATTGTAATTTCGTTAGTGAGAAAGGAGGTTCTCTAGAAAACTGCATAAAGAATATGAATTGTTTAGAATTCCAGGTAGTAACTTCACACCTAGTAATATAAAGATCACGATTGAAATAATATAAAGCTTATATACTTACATACATACCGAATCCTTTCAATCAGAATTCAGACATGATAAATAACTTAACAATTGCTATCAATTGAATATATTAGTTTAAATCACACGTTCATGTATGTGTGTTAAAATATCACTGTTAACCCTTGCTATAATGCTACACGAGTGTCTGTATTGATATCGAACTATCCACAGGTATAAGTAACTAAACGGTATTAGTAGTGCGATGTATAACCATTGGTGTGTATTGTTTTAATGTAAGGTTTTATAAATCTACGTACTAGTATTGTTGAGACGGTGTAATATAGGACATACGGACTTAATGAGTCGTCACGCTCCGTGCATATATACTGATAGTATAGGTACATGTAGATATATTTGTCTATTGTTTCATTTCTGATACACAAATACAGGCATGAAACTGTTAACAGTTAAACATTAAATATACAATGTTCTGTAAAATTCAATGGTAATTTATCAGGTCATGAAAACATTAAAATGAATGAATATCGTCAGAATTATCGTAATGATTGCATCTGTTTCTTAAAGGGTTTTATCTGGGCTGGTGGAGGTAGACAGCAAGATAAAGATACCAAGCACCATTAATAGTTCACATCATAAACAAGTACAGTAGATCTAATGTGAATAGGACTCGCTACACTTATCAGTTTGTCAGGACCATACAGAAAAAGTAATCTTGCAAGACGGTAATTTTATATAAATAAACACGTTTATGAAACACTCTATGTAATTTGCATGTTATTTTACAAATCAAGCCTAAATACATGTATGCAAAAGGTATATACACATAAAGAAAATGGTTTGATGGTCACACGAAATTGCTAAAGCTTTGCACGCTTTTGGTGGGAAATCCCTGTTAGGCCGTTATCCTATGATTTATTCTCAAACATTTTGAAGTTGGTATATAAGATTCTAAAACAAAGTGTATCAATTCTCCGACTTCATAAAATGTTACTTCATAAAACACGTCACAATACCGTCCAGTTGTCATTCTTGGTTTTGGTTTGTTTGTGTTTTACGTCCTATTAACAGCTATGGTCATTTAAGGACGTGGCAATGTTTTGGTTTAAAGGAAAAGGTATTTGAAATAGATTTTAAAATTGGCTACAATATGTGCACGCTCTCTTTATATAAAGGGCAAAGTTCTGGTCCATTTGACGCTACAACGTGAACTCGAATACTTTCGGGTGATCGTCGAGCCTATATTCTTTATCATTTCACATTTTCATAGTATTATGCATTAATTCAGGTGGTAGGGTCTGCAATTTGTGGGGCATCTAAATTTTGTTTGATGATCTACATGAATATATCCACATGCAAAATAGCATCACTAACGCTCTGCAATCACTTTTCAAATTTTACTGGAATCTGTTTCAGAAAATGATTAAATCATAAAAGGCAAAAGGCAAAACTGTATTGGATAGCAGTATCTAGAGCCTCGTTTTGGCTTCTCTCACGGGTGCCCGACACACAGAAAATCCAGTCACTTCATACATGTAACATGCTTTAGTAGGTCTTCGTCCCTTCATAATTCCTGTAGCCGTCCCCTAAACCATCAGTTCTGTAAAACTACAGTGTATTTTACGATAAACATAGGGATGAAAATAGTGTCAATAACAGTCATGTTAATCTTACCAGCATGATACATACACAAAAAGCACAATACGAAATGTATACTTAGAGGTTATCATATGACCATTTCCATATTCGTTACCCCGGATCAACTCGAGAATCCCATATCAGTCCGATGGGCCGGAGGGTCATATATGAACATGTCTTTAGATTTTTCTAGACAGGTCTATAGGTTTCCTTGTGTAGAGAATTGTTCTTTTTTAACATAAGAATGACTACAGTTTGTTTGAGTGTGAGTGGAAATCTATATAGGTCAGTAACACCGTCCAGTTCCCTTGCTATGATACTAGCAACATTACAGAAACACTTATTGAACACTGTACACGTAAACAAATTCTTCTGAAAAGAAATAATTGAGTCATTTACCTTTAGAACATATTTGTCAATTTTACATCTATCAAAGAGGACAAGCTTTACAGTCGGCTAAAAATCTGTATAAATTGGCACTCCTCCACATCATTCCTATCAATATTTTCGATACTCGAGCTAGGGGTCACAAGGGTCCTCACTGAACACCAACTCTGCTTAAAATCACATGTTTACATAGGTGGTCAGTTGTGATGATAGTGAGTTATAGTCTATTGCAGAAATGGTGTACAGGTAAATTGCACAGGTAAATTAACTTCTGATAACTAATAAGATAATCAATAACTGCTAATAATTGCAAAAAATAATAATTAATATTTAGAGTTCCGATCCCAAGCTGTTAAATGGATATTGTATAAAACAGCAGCACATTTTGGAGTATTATCATATTTCGCTCTGTACTTTACTCAGAGAAATTTGTGTGAATTGTCTTATAATTATTGTCATATAAAACTTGTACTTATTTTCAGATTTTAACTTGTGTGACTTCAGTTTGATATTATTATCCGTTATTGTGTGCTTTAATTCATAGATATTAGTTAAACTTGTATTTTCATATTTGTGTGAATTCTCTTATAATTATTGTCGACGAGGAACTCAACCAACTCCGAGACAACGACTTGGATGACACCTCCAAAACCGTGGTCCAGCGACTGCCCACATTTTAAACTGCCAAATCATCTCTCTACCGTGCTCGCCGCAAACAGACTCCTCCACTACCAAAGACCTTGACCGACATCACCTTGGATGGTAGATGGACAGAAACATCTACAGGCGAACCCTTCTCCTCTTCGACGACGGTGAACAGAGCAACAGAATGATCGCATTCGCTACATCAGAGAACTTGGCCGAACTTGCAGCCTCCGACGTAATCTTCAGTGACGGCACCTTCTACACCTGTCCTTCTATGTTTCACCAGATTTACAGCATCCACGTACAGATTGAAGGCATCATGACCCCAGTTGAAGATGCTGATGATGCTGACATACCACATCCCGTGCTGCTTTTCACAGACTACGTCACAGAGCAATGGGTAGAAGGAGACCGACCAACCTGGAACCATTCTCAACAGAAGGACCTCGGACTACCAACCATCTGGAGTACTGCATGCCCAACCCAACATCTACACCGTCATCCAGACGTTTAAAGACATACAGAACGCGAATGGCATCAACCGGATCCAGGGAGATGCAGGAGGCACTACTCAACCCCGAAAGAAGAGATATGCCAACATCGGCAGACGCCTGGCCACCCTGAAAGACCGTTATCAGACAGGAACTATCGACCTGATGACCTACGCCGATTCAGCATCACAGCTTCTGCATCTTGGATAGAATATTTTGTTCTAGAGACTAAGTATATATAGAGAATGTGATTTGTGCTAGCAACTTCAGCTTCATTTAGTGGTTTACTGTTTATATTTATATTTAATAATTAACTTTTAGTGCTGTATTAAATGTGTATTACTGTTACATGTATGAATAGAAACTTTCTTTTATTGCTGACATTAGTATCAATGTGGCTTAAATTAAGGAATTTTATTTTTCATATAATGTAATGTTATTTTTATTTTTCATATAATGTAAATATAAATATGATTATTTTCTATTACTTATAGTGCTGTATTAAATGTGTATTACAGTTATATGTGTGAATAGAAACTTTTTATCCATTTTATAATTGACTTTAGTATCATATCTACAAAATGAGTTGACATTCTTAGTTGAAACGGGCTATAACTTAAGGATTTCCTATATAAACACCTTCCTTTCAATTCTCGAGAGTTGATGTTCGGGGAATGAGCCGGGTCACACTCTCTGCGCCCAAGAATGGGCATATGTCATAGCAATTAAGGTATCGGGTAAGTCATTCAGGTATCAGGTAGGTCATAGCAATCAAGGTATCAGGTAAGTCATTCAGGTATAAGGTAGGTCATAGCAATTAAGGTCTCGTGTAAGTCATATCAATTAAGGTCTCAGGTAAGTCATAGTAATTAAGGTATCGGGTAAAAAAAAGTGACCAATCGCTGGGCCATTAAATTATGTCGATACATTTTTACAGTTTCCGAGATATTTTTGCCGAGATAATCAAGTAGGTAACTCGGCTCTTTATCGTGTTATTACTCAGTTGTGACATCGACTTGCCACTTATTTATGCAAAGCAAAAAGGGTACTTAACCAATCGGCGGTGATACTGTCTTTTGCAGATTACAGAGGAGCGACACCCGATTTCAAAGCCAGCCTATTTTCCCGTTCCTTGAGCTACAGATTCTTTTGATGTATATCAAAAGATCAAAGTAGTCTTCTTGTCTCATCCACAAAGGGACGTATAGTGTCCCTGTGTACAGTGAGCCTTCAATTTTGCTTTTGACATATATATATTCCAGGAGTACAGAGGGCGAAAGTGTGCATCTTACCGTGAAATAGTTTCTTACATTACCAACAACAATATAGCAAGTCAACATATGTTAGGCCTACAATAAACCGGCCAGAAACCTAGAAAAAACAAGCAAGAATCCAAAGTAAAGAGAATAAAATGCTAAAAGCCATCGAATAAAAAATTCAATGCATTTGCAAGTGTAACTAACAGTAGAATTTATATAGGGTGGTATTCGATTGAAAGATCATGAAATAAGTTTTTTTTAATACGAGAGAGATTTAAAACACATAAATTTAAATAAATTAAGCGTTACACCAGAGACGAAGACGTATATATATGGCTTTATATGTATCAGCTAAGTAGACAGCAATATTCAAGACAGATCATGGAACAAGTAGGCCTACAAATCCGAAAAGTACTCATATTTGTTAGATTCGAGTGGTATTCATTTGCATAGTTCTCAAACAGTGGTCAGATTGTTCACCACCTAATTATAAATATCTACTCACTTAATACTTTTAACGTAAACGTTACACCACTTTTTAAGTTATTGTTTATATGATAACAACTCCTGTTGTACCAAAAATAGTTTCTATGGTGTGTTTTTTTAAATTCTATAGATGTCTCTATAATTTTTGAAATTAAAAGGGAAGAAAACGGTGTTTGTGTTCATTTATTTTTTACTAAAAAAAATATAATAAAAAATATCTTTCCTATCAAACGGCGTCGAACCATTGGGATTTTTAATTTGCCTAAAATCAATAGGCCTATATACTGATGCATGATGTGCAGAGGTTTGCTTTTATTCTAAATACTGCATAAACATGAACCATCAAAGTTATATTGGCTGTATTATAAAATATTTTTTCCAATTGCATGTAATTTTAAATGAAACAAAATAATTCCAGACTGACTTCGAATTCGGCTACGAAAATAATGCAGACTTCGAATTAGCCCTCGAGCATGCGCCTGGCATATATTTCACGAAGATGGCGGCTCGAGTGTTGAGGCGTGCGATACAACAGCAGGTTTGTCTGCACAAAGTGTTATCTAGCAATATTCGCGTGTGTCGTACGAATGTGAGGATGATCAGCACAGCTAACAGACTATTGTCAGGTTAGTATTGCAGACAGATTTTCTAAAGTAAAGTTATATAAGAGTTTGCCAGGCATTTTTGTCCTGTCGATAACCTTGTACTAAACGGTAGGGTCACTATATTGTTTACAATCACATGTACATGTGACATGCGCCCCTGTGCTGTATCGGTCGGACTGTTTTTTTGGGTTCATTTACACTGATTAATACACGTGTATGTCAAATATTGTTTTAATTTTCACGTGATGAAATAGGAGAAGAAATCTTATGGTCTTGGACTTGGTCATTGACCCCCTGACTTCGATCGGGTATGTTATTACAATGTTTAAACCTTGAACTTTGACATGCACTATCAGTTACATAGAGGTTCCCCAACGAGTGATGGTTTATCTAACTCGAGTTAGTTAATTTTCAAATTATATAAAGACACAAGGTTTTCCGAGTGTCTTTTACAATTTAAAAATTAACTAAATAACTAGAGTTGGATAAACCAGGGACGTATAATTACTATATATATATACTGTCCCCGGATAAACATGATAACCTACCATCACGAGTTTGGAATCGTTTTTCTCCCAAAAACGTTCATATTTTATCTTGAAAGCCATATGTTTCCCTTGAAAATACACTATGTAGGCTCCCGATGAGGGAAACAATTGGTGTGAATCATGACGTCACAATGGAAGGTGACATCGCAAAGCATTGTTACGTGACGTCATAAGTAAAAAATTGACCAATGAAATCACATCCAGTGGGTACAACCAAAATTTATTTTTTACGAACTCCTAGCAGGATTATCCAATGAATCGAGAGTAAGGAAACCTATAGTGGTTGTGGGAGAAAAATAATAGTCCAATATGACGTAACTGACATGACAATTGTTAAGGTCTGAAGTAAGTGGTGTGTGACTAATTCAGGTATTCCATCTGTAATTGGAACACCATAGGGCCCGTATATATATATATATACACAAATATATTCAAATATGGCTGCATGATCATGAGGTCACAATTGTCTCATGCACAATAAAAAGATGATGGACCAAATCTGTGAAACAAAAGATTTCAATGATATTAATTAATCAATTGATGATAACTTTTTAAAATTTCATTGTTGCGATAGTTGATAATTACAATTTACATCCCTTTATTATTCCTGCTCTCTTTTATGTAGATGGAAAATTGTTAGGACCAATTTCTTTAACGAAACAGCACATATCTCGCTGATCTCGTTACCAAAACAACCGAGCACAGAAACATCTAAATCTGTACCGCATCAAATCTATATATAGCCAGATTTACATGCGCTCAATAACCTAGATGTTAATGTGTGGTTTTGTATAGGTATTGCAGAACATTTTTATTCTATTTATAATTTTTCCATTTTTTTGACAAAGCAACACCAAACACTTTCGGTCACAGAAATCAATTTCTCTTACTGTAAACAGGTGTGTCCACACTTTTCCTGGTGTAAGATTAATAAATTTCAATCTCTCTCTCCTTTCAGGGTGAGATAGAGGAATCACAACCCGAGGGGGGAGATTCTTTAAGTCGTCAAGTCAAACACGATGCTTTGTCAAGTTTTTGGCAACTTATGAATATTTCCCTGAGGGTTGATATTCCCCTAGCTATCTCATCCCAAAGGGGGTGAAGGATTCTTTTTCTCCTATGCGGTTCTCCCATTGTGTAAAATAAACATAATGTACTGTTAACGTTACAGGCTAAATTCAGGGTTGATGTGACGTTGATCGATTGTTGACATGACGTCATTGTATTGTTGACGTGACATCATACTTTGTTATGAATAGGGGAATCCCCCAATCTTAACCCTAGAGTGAGACAAGGATATCTCACACCAGTAAAAGTTTGGATACACTTGTCCAGGGTAAGAGAAATCCTTGTCTAACCCCAGGGTTGCCATTAGGGGATTTCCCCTTTCATAACAACTGTATGACGTTATCAACATTGTGTATGGAACCTGTAACATTAAGCTTTGTGTTTTTAATAGCAACTTAACATTAATCTTTCCCCTCAAGTCGAGATTCACCTATCTCACCCCGAAGAGAGTAAAAGATCCTATTAGTCTTGATCCAGTAATTGTGTTCTGGTCAGACACATAACGCTAACAATTAACATTATCTTTCAAAAGTTTAATGTGAACATTTGGACCAGATCATGATCAGGTGGTTACAAATTATGATCATGAATATGTATGTCAATACTATGCTTAAGTACATCACAAAATAAAATTTGGACAATGATTGGATAATTACGCTAGGATTTTCATTTTTGAAACATGTTGCCTGCTCCCAGGTACATGTATGTAATACATATTTAGCTCTCTGTGTGTATTTTATATTTATTCGGTCGCTGTGTACTGTAGTAAAGCAATTGTTGCCTCTTGCTGAGTGGTAAGATATTGTCCTTATTGCCTTAGCTGTACAATGTCTTCCTTCCCTTAAATGACCTTAGCTGTTATAATAGGATGTTTAACAAAATGAAACCAAACCAATCCCAATCTTAATTACACTTTAAAACGATGTCAATTTGTATTATGCACATAAATGTTTATGATTATACATACAAGCTCTTATGTAAATTATATATAAACTGGTAATAAAATATGCAGCAATATAATTATGTTATTCAAAAAATGAATTTGGCATATTTGGATATATTTTTTTTAATTATTGCTGATGTAAAACTGTTTGTTATTTCAGAAGATCATGACATTTAAAATGCTGCATTATTGATATTTTGTGCTAGCTCAGTATAAAACATCATAACATGTGCAGACTCGCTTTAATAAAGTTGTCATGCTGTAGGACTCAGAGGGGCTTGAATGTTATAGACCTGCATTTATTTATTTAAAATGTGCTTTCTTCAAAATGTACGTGTATATACACGTATACATGTATACAATTTAATTAACTTAATTTTCAGTGAACTTTATTTTCACAAAATAAATCGCTGTATTTTTGCAGAAAATTTTAAATAAAAGAAGTATGTAACAAACTAGCTAGGTTACTGTTTTTCTGTTATAGATCTAGAGTTATAATGGTTTAGTAGTTAGCTCACCTAGTCCGAAGGACCATGGTGAGCTTATGCCATACACCAGCGTCCGTCGTCCGTCCGTTAACTTTTCCTTTTAAACACTACTAGTCCTGAAGTAGATTTTGACTAAATTTAGTCTGGACGTAATTTTGTATAAGCGGCGGGTGTGGCCCCCCTTGGGGCAGTGGGGCGGGGTCCAATGGGGGAAATAGAGGTAAACCTTTAATATATTGATATTTAGTTCAAGCAAATTCTTATTTGTTTGTCTGAACATATATTCATTATGATATATCCCAAGTTTTGAATATTGTCTTTATTTTATCAAACCAGACAGGACTATGTTAAGAACCACAAATCATTGTTGTACATTTTATGTAAATAAAATGTATCCCAGTAACACTACACCCATCATCTGATACCCACGTACAGCTGATTTCACTTCGGTACGCACTCAACGAAATCATAGCTGTGGGTATTCGATGATGCTGTACACCAGGCTTTTAATTTTCATTGCAGTGAAATAACATTAAACAAATTTGACAGGGTTATATATGATTTCCTTTTAAGAGTACTATAGCTAGCACACAGGCAACTTTGAAAAATTCTATAATTAAGCATACCTAGCTATATTTCCACAATTTATATGAACAATTTCTAGCACCGACATATATACATGCATGTAAGTCTACTAGCCCCTGTTCCGAGATATATTTATTCAATATACTTATATATAATTAATTAGATTTAAATTACATAAAATCTTAAATCAGTGGATTCTACTTTTAATACAATATATTTTTCTAATTTTGTGTCGTACATGTATATATACAGTATAATGATATCTTTTTTGCTATGTGAACCTGATTCTTTGTACTGTGACTGTTTTCACATGGAATTTATGAAATTGAGTCTCCATTCTATGTTAAGTTTAATATCTGCATAATTAATTTTTTTTTTTTTTTCAGACAAACTTTTTTCTGACAAACATGAGTGGGTAACAATTAATGAGAATGTTGGGACTGTTGGTATATCCGACTACGCCCAGGTGAGTCCTTAAGTTGTGTATTTTATTTACAATTTACTACTCTGAGATTTTATGATCTTCCGTGATTGCAGACTTGCAGTATTTACTGTGTCTTGATATGCATGTAGTATAAACAATCATTGATTTTATGACATATACATGTACTTCTCTTGATTTTATGGGAGATAACATCACAATGAGCTCTTCATGTACATACATGTATAAGGCATACAAATATTAACCCATACAGGGTACCTGGTTCAACTTTTAAAGGTCGATTCCAGTTTTGTCTTCTGGTGATGACATACATGTATAACTGTTTTTTAAACTCTAGTCCGAAGGACCATGGTGAGCTTATGCCATACAGCGGTGCCAGTCGCCCATCCATCTGTCAACTTTTCCTTTAAAACGCTACTAGTCCTGGCCCAGTGGAGTTTGACTAAATTTGATCTGAAGCATCTTTAGGCCAAGGACACTCAATTTTATATAAACAGTGGGTGAGGCACCCCGGGGGGGCATAGGGGCAGGGTCCAATAGGGGATTAATAGAGCTAAAACCTTGAAAATCCTTCTTCTACAGTTGGGATAATGGGATTTTATCCTAATTTAGTCTGGAGCCTTATTGGGCCAAGAGGACTCAATTTTATATAAACAATGGGTGTGCACTTGCACCCTTCGAGGCAGAGGGGCTGGGCCCAATAGGGGAAATAGAGGTAAACCTTTTACATCCTTCTTCTACCACAAGGATTAAGGAATTTCATCCCAATTTGGTCTGGAGCATTCTTGGGAAAGGTCACTCAATTTTGTATTTATAAATGGTGGGTGTGGCACCCCTAGGTCTGGGGTCAGAGGAGCCCGGCAGAACAGGGTAAATAGAGGTAAAATCTTTAAAATCCTTCTTCTACCACAGGGATTAAGGTATTTCATCCCAATTTGGTCTGGAGCATCCTTGAGCCAAGGGCACTCAATTTTATGTAAACGGTGGGTGTGGCCCCCCTAGGGGCAAAGGGTGGGACCCAATAGGGGAAATAGAGTAAAATCTTTAAAATCCTTTTTCAACTAAAGGGATTAAGGGATTTCATCCCAATTTGGTCTAGAGCATCCTTGGGCCAAGGGCACTAAGTTTTGTATAAACTGTGGGTGTGCACCCCAGGGGGGCAGAGGAGCAGGGCCCAACAGGGGAAATAGAGGTAAAACCTTTAAAATCCTGCTTCTACAGTATGGATTAAAGGGATTTTATCCTTATTTGATCTGGAGCATTCTTGGGCAAAAAGGACTTGATCTTGCATGAACAGTGGGCGTTGCCCATTTGGGTGCAGAGGGGCCTGGCTCAACTGGGAAATTTGAGGTTGAAGTCTTCAAAATCCTTCTTACTCTGTACCTTTGAGGGATTTCATCCAAATGGGACCTAATTTTGTATAAACGGAGGGTGTGCATGGCCCCTCTGGGTGCAGAGTTTTGGGAATTTGAGGTTGAATTCTTTAAAATCCTACTTCATCTGTACCATTGAAGGGGTTTTATGTAATTTGAATAATTTCACATGGTTGCTTTATTATCCAGGTGAACAATTACAGGCCCTTTGGGCCGCTTGTTCTGTCCCACAGTCTCTCTATCAAAATATTTTATGAAATGTTAATATTTTTATATGAAAATCTTCCATGTCAAAATTTATGCTGTGTCCCATACTTATTTTGTCCCATTCATTATTAAAATCTTTTATTTGATAGATAATTAAATATTACTTAACATATAAATATATATCGTATTTTCGTATGTTACACAGTGATATTAGTTCATAAGCTGAGAACCCAGTCAATTTAATTCTGTGTCGGCTATCCAAAGATTTCCTCTCTTTACGGATCGATATAGAAACATTACAATTTTGTAAATTTTTATGCCTCTGCTGTCAATAATGCTATGTTCAATTCATAAAGTTTACAGAGTTTAAAATGTGGCACCAGATCATTAGAAAAAAAGAAGTTTGAAGAAATCACTTGCTGAGAGTTTCCTAATACTTAAGATAAAAAATAGGAATCGGTTTAATGACAAATAAAAAAAAACTTTGATATAGCACATTTCATTATAATAATATAAGTTGCTTTCATAAACATGTTCTGGACGTCGACACTGTTTTCTGTTTTCAGGATAAGTTAGGAGAAGTAGTGTATGCACAACTTCCAGAGGATGGGACAGAGTTGGAGAAAGATGGTAAACATGTTTCTACTTCACATTATTTACTGATACAAGACACATGTGCTAAACAGTGTACATAAATGTCTGGTCTTGTTAATGTATTGCCAAAAAATGCTGATGTACAGTATTGGAGGAAGGGAGGCAACTCTGGCATTTTGTTGAGAAAGCTTAAAAATTGATTTTCAATGACTCTCAAATTTCAATTGTATATTTAATAATTTGTAAATTGTTGATCTTCATCAAAGTATGTTCCAGTTCTGTTTATTTTTATCCAGTGTTTTCAGTGTAGGAGATTATAACCTAATTATAAGAACCTCTGTTAAGAATCACATAATGAAGCTCCTCTCTAAAAACTACAGCAGAGCTCATCAATTTTATTTTTGTGTCAGTGTCAAATGAGTGTCCTGATCTGTTACCCTAAAAAAATCAAATGTTCAGTTATGTTTTTTTATTAGCGAATTGGTATACATGTTAGGACTTAGAATCCTTTGACACAATTTTGAAATAATCTGAAATAAAAAACAACAAAAAACGATAAAGTCTTTTTGTGACACTTTCACATATTCTAGTTATGCATAATATGCCACTAACATTTTTCAGATGAGATAGGCGTATTAGAAAGTGTGAAGGCAGCCAGTGAAATTTACACACCTATATCCGGTACTGTTGTGTCTAGTAATAAAGCTGTGGAGGAGGACCCTACCCTTGTTAACAAGTCCTGCTACGACAAAGGTAAGTCAAATCAGGATGTGTCAAATAAGTGTTTGTCGACAAGTCCTGTTACTGTAATTAGGGTGTGTCTACAAATCCTGTTACTGTAATCAGGGTGTGTCTACAAGTCCTGTTACTGTTATCAGGGCGTGTCTACACGTCCTGTTACTGTAATTAGGATGTGTCTACAAGTCCTGTTACTGTAATTAGGGTGTTTCTTCAAGTCCTCCAATCTGTGTTTGTCTACAAGTCCTGTTACAATCAGGTTTGTTCTACAAGTCCTGTTACAATCAGGGTGTTTCCACAAGTACTAGTCCTTTTACAATCAGGGTGTGTCCAATCAGTGTTTGTCGACGAGTTCTGTTATTTTAATTAAGGGTGTGTCTACAAGTCCTGTTACAATTAGGGTGCTTCCACAAGTACTAGTCCTTTTACAATCAGGGTGTGTCCAATCAGTGTTTGTCGACACGTCATGTTACTGTAATTAGGGAGTGTCTACAAGTCCTGTTACAATCAGGGTGTTTCCAATCTGTATTTGTCAACAAGTCCTGTTACTGTAATTAGGGTGTTTCTACAAGTCCTGTTACAATCAGAGTGTTTCCAATCTGTGTTTGTCTACAAGTCCTGTTACAATCAGGGTGTTTCCAATCTGTATTTGTCAACAAGTCCTGTTACTGTAATTAGGGTGTGTCTACAAGTCCTGTTACTGTAATTAGGGTGTTTCTACAAGTCCTGTTACAATCAGAGTGTTTCCAATCTGTGTTTGTCTACAAGTCCTGTTACAATCAGGGTTGTTCCACAAGTCCTGTTACAATCAGGGTGTTTCCACAAGTACTAGTCCTTTTACAATCAGGGTGTGTCCAATCAGTGTTTGTCGACGAGTCCTGTTATTGTAATTAAGGGTGTGTCTACAAGTCCTGTTACAATCAGGGTTGTTCCACAAGTCCTGTTACTGTAATTAAGGGTGTGTCTACAAGTCCTGTTACTGTAATTAGGGTGTGTCTACAAGTCCTGTTACTGTAATCCGGGTGTGTCCAATCAGTGTTTGTCGACAAGTCATGTTACTGTAATTAGGGTGTGTCTACAAGTCCTGTTACAATCAGGGTGTTTCCAATCTGTATTTGTCAACAAGTCCTGTCACTGTAATTAGGGTGTGTCTACAAGTCCTGTTACAATTAGGGTGCTTCCACAAGTACTAGTCCTTTTACAATCAGTGTGTGTCCAATCAGTGTTTGTCGACAAGTCCTGTTATTGTAATTAAGGGTGTGTCTACAAGTCCTGTTACAATCAGGGTTGGTCCACAAGTCCTGTTACAATCAGGGTGTTTCCACAAGTACTAGTCCTTTTACAATCAGGGTGTGTCCAATGAGTGTTTGTCGACAAGTCCTGTTACTGTAATTAGGGTATGTCTACAAGTCCTGTTAATATCAGGGTGTGTCCAATCAGTGTTTGTCAACAAGTCCTGTTACTGTAATTAGGGTGTGTATACAAGTCCTGGTACAATCAGGGTGTTTCCACAAGTACTAGTCCTTTAACAATCAGGTTGTGTCCAATCAGTGTTTGTCGACCCGTCCTGTTATTGTAATTAAGGGTGTGTCTACAAGTCCTGTTACAATCAGGGTGTTTCCAATGTGTTTGTCAACAAGTCCTGTTACTGTAATTAGGGTGTTTCTACAAGCCCTGTTACAATCAGGGAGTTTCCAATCTGTTTGTCAACAAGTCCTGTTACTGTAATTAGGGTGTCTACAAGTCCTGTTACAATCAGTGTGCTTCCACAAGTCCTGTTACTGTAATTAAGGGTGTGTCTTCAAGTCCTGTTACTGTAATTAGTGTGTGTCTACAAGTCCTGTTACTGTAATCAGGGTGTGTCGAATCAGTGTTTGTCAACAAGTCCTGTTACTGTAATTAGGGTGTGTATACAAGTCCTGGTACAATCAGGGTGTTTCCACAAGTACTAGTCCTTTTACAATCAGGGTGTGTCCAATGAGTGTTTGTCGACAAGTCCTGTTACTGTAATTAGGGTGTGTCTACAAGTCCTGTTACTGTAATCAGGGTGTGTCAAATCAGTGTTTGTCGACAAGTCCTGTTACTGTAATTAGGGTGTTTCTACAAGTCCTGTTACAATCAGGGTGTTTCCAATCTGTTTGTCAACAAGTCCTGTTACTGTAATTAGGGTGTCTACAAGTCCTGTTACAATCAGGGTGCTTCCACAAGTCCTGTTACTGTAATTAAGGGTGTGTCTACAAGACTTGTTACCGTAATTAGAGTGTGTCTACAAGTCCTGTTACTGTAATCAGGGTGTGTCAAATCAGTGTTTGTCGACAAGTCCTGTTACTGTAATTAGGGTGTCTACAAGTCCTGTTACAATCAGGGTGCTTCCACAAGTCCTGTTACTGTAATTAAGGGTGTGTCTACAAGACCTGTTACTGTAATCAGGGTGTGTCAAATCAGTGTTTGTCGACAAGTCCTGTTACTGTAATTAGAGTGTGTCTACAAGTCCTGTTACTGTAATCAGGGCGTGTCAAATCAGTGTTTGTCGACAAGTCCTGTTACTGTAATTAGGGTGTTTCTTCAAGTCCTGTTACAATCAGGGTGTTTCCACAAGTCCTGTTACAATCAGAGTGTGTCCAAAATTCCTATTACCAACAGGGTGTGTCCACAAGTCCTGTTATAAGTTATAATCAGGGTATGTCCATAATTAGGGCCCCGTATCGGAGATACAGGTGCCCTATAGTAATCACTCTGTCTGTCCGTCCACAAATTTTGTTCCTGGCTAATAACTTTGGTATTAATTGACCGAATTACATGAAACTTATTCAAGATGTTCCGTTCACAAAAATACACACTCAGGTAAAAAGTCAAGGTCAAAGGTCAAGGTCATAAGGTTCAAATGTCCAGGTCAAATTTTGCATCTTTTCACTGATGAGCATTTTGTAATGACATGATAAAGAAAAGTTGATCAGAATCAAACAAGGAGTGAACTGACCGAAGGTCAAGGTCATAGGTCAAGGTCAAATTTTGTAGCTTTTCACTAATGAGCATTTTATTACATGAAGCAAAGTTGGTTGAAATTAAACTAAGAGACACACTAAGGTAAAAAGTCGAGGTCAATGGTCAAGGTCATTATGTTCAAAGGTCAAGGTCTATTTTTGATTTTTTTGCACTGATGAACATTTTGTTATGACACTATGAAGCAATGTTGGTCAGAATTAAATAAGGAGTCAACTGAACAAAGGTCAAGGTCAAATTTAGTATCATTTCACTGATGAACATTTTGTTATAACACTAAAGCTTTGAAGCAATGTTGTTCAGAATTAAACAAGGAGTCAACTGACCAAAGGTCAAGGTCACTGGGTCAATGCCAAGGTCAGCACCGAGTCAAATGACCTAAGGTCAAGGTACAGGGTTCAAAGGTTCAAGGTAAAGTTTTGTATTTTTCACTGATGGACATTTTGTTATGATATTATGAAGCAAAGTTGGTTGGAATCAAAGAAAAAGTCAACTTACCAAAAATCAGGGTCACTGAGTGAAAGGTCAAGGTCATTTGGGTCCAAAGGTCAAAGACAAAGTGGATCTTTGACTTTGACCCTGGCTCTTGATGGAGGAGGTATTTAAAGTGAAATAAAATACATGTATATCAAAGCTAACAAATGAGTATTGCACCGGTATTTACATTCCTGTTAGCCTAGCAAATATGGAGGTGGAAGGAAACAAGACTCACATCATAGTACATGTTAAATGTATATTTTGCTTCCATGCAATTATTTTTGAAGTCCAAATATCAGACGTCAAGATCAGCTATATGGGCAGATTGCTTCTTGATGATTATGTCAGATATATTGCCACAAGACGGGGCCTTTACTGACATGTCAGTGTTCTAGTTCCTGTTACCATCAGGGCGTGTCCACAATTCCTGTTACCATCAGGTCGTGTCCACAATTCCTGTTACAATCAGAGTGTGTCCATAAGTCCTTTAACAATCGGGGCATGTCCACAAGTCCTGTAACAATCATAATTGTGTCCACAAGTCCTGTAACAATCCCATTTGTGTCCACAAGTCCTGTAACAATCACATTTGTGTCCACAAGTCCTGTAACAATCCCATTTGTGTCCATAAGTCCTGTTACCGTCAGGGGGTGTCCACAATTCCTGTTACCATCAGGTCGTGTCCACAATTCCTGTTACCATCAGGGTGTGTCCACAAGTCCTGTAACAATCATATTTGTGTCCACAAGTCCTGTAACAATCACATTTGTGTCCATAAGTCCTGTTACCGTCAGGGTGTGTCCACAATTCCTGTTACCATCAGGGCGTGTCCACAATTCCTGCTACAATCAAAGTGTGTCCATAAGTCCTTTAACAATCGGGGTATGTCCGCAAGTCCTGTAACAATCACATTTGTGTCCACAAGTCCTGTAACAATCATATTTGTGTCCACAAGTCCTGTAACAATCACATTTGTGTCCACAAGTCCTGTTACCGTCGGGCTGTGTCCACAATTCCTGTTACCATCAGGGTGTGTCCACAAGTCCTGTAACAATCACATTTGTGTCCACAAGTCCTGTAACAATCACATTCGTGTCCACAAGTCCTGTTACAATCAGGGAGAGATGACCGGACCAGTTACAATCAGGGTGTGTTGACCGGTCCAGTTACAATCAGGGTGTGTTGACGGGTCCTGTTATCATTGTTATGATCAAGATAATGTAAACAATTTGACCAAACATTAGCCATATTTTTTATAATAAATAGAATGAAGCTAAGCAAATTTATTTGTGTTTCTGGTTATACTACGTATACCTACATATTGTTTTGGTGTCTGACCCTAAACATTTTAGTCAATTTTGAAAGAAGCACTGATAAAGTCAAGATCACTCTCCCTTATAAATCATATCCCAAGGTGTCTCTAATGAGGGATATCTGAAGTGCATGAACAATTTTCTCCACATTTTTGTGCTCAAAAGAAGCATTTACCACACTAATCATATATACATTTTGTATATATATATGCAAGCATAATGATTATAACTAATTCACCCTTTAAATGCAGTGATTTACATAAATATTTTTATTCAATTTACAGGGTGGCTGTTTAAACTGGAGTTATCAGACACGGGGGAGCTAGATGGATTGATGAATGAAGATGCTTATAATGACTTCTTAAAGACAATAGAATGAGTGTGACAAGTAATTGGTTTAGCTGACAATCTTTATCCCACTGTGTAGCTACTTCCTTGGGGGTTAGATTTTACTGTTGTTGTTTTATGCAGAACTTTTGGAGTGTATGAAGAAATGTGTGCATTCAAATATATTTAGTATTAAAGTAATTACAACCTCAGAGAAATAAAAACATCCAAACCAAACAAATGTTTGTGCCAGTAATATTTAAACGTATATTATGTATGTAAAAGTTTGTAAGATCTAGATCTAAAAATGCTATTCTGTTTATACTGCATCCAGTTCATCTGCTTAAAGAAGTACAAAACAGGATAGTATTTATCAATTTTGCATTTATCATCTTGTGATAGCAGAGGACCTTGCTAAGCAGGGATGTGTTTGTTGTTGTAATAGTTTCTTTCTGTAAGGAAAAGATATTGCAGTAATCATTTTGTAAAGCCCAAACTCAACTTTGCGAACTGTAATTTTTATACCAAAGAAGTTCCATAGTATGCTGTTTATTTTGCTCATATAAAATTGTATGTTTGATAATAAAAAAATAAGTTATAAAATACTGCGGTGAATTATGGTTGAGGAAAATACGTAATACAATGATAGACATGATGCAACTGGTGTAGCTCTTTCCAGTGTTCTCATTAAAAGCCGGTCGTCGGCAAAACTAGCCTGCTATTCATAAACTTTGAAACAAGCTTTTTTTTCAGAATTCGTATAGAGCAATGTTATAGTATGTGAAAATTGAACTCGCTATTCTTTTCAAGTCAACCACCTATTCAAAACTTGATATGAACACTGTCTTTACATAAAAAATCATCAATAACCTACTGAAGTGTCGGTAATAAACTTGACATCTTGACTATGTTTGATAAGAATATGAAATGACTACACCTCAAACAAGCCTACCATACACTTTAGGGTAAAGCCTGTTGTGTTTATATTATGTGTTTATATCTACCTTGTACATGTATCAGGTGTCCACTCCTAACAGATAAATCTTGTAAGGTTTTTAACTGAAAGTCATCTGTGTAAAACTGTTAAGTGAGTGGGAATCCCCAAAAATGTAAACAACACAAATTGTCTTGATATGCAAATAAAGAATGTAACGTACAACCACCTGAAATAACAAACAAAATTGGTGGGCTCTTTGCTCGATATCAAAAAGTTGTGTTAAAACTGTGGGCTACCCATGGCACTTCTTTACTCAACAATTACGCAGGCTTGTGTTTCCTTTCCAATCACCTTGTTTCACAATAAATTTCCAGTTGAAACATCTCTTTAATCCTTTCATCACTGTAGACCATAATGGACTCATCCATATCAACACAAGTTTGAATCTACTAAAATTATATAGGGGTGAAAGGTTCAATACTAGTTACCATAATTGGGAATTCAGAATTCGTTTTCAATACATCAGGACCACATTAATGATTACTCTTTTAACACTAACAGAGGAATGTAGAAAAGTCATTATAATTAGAACTGGCATTGGAATCGGTTACAGTCTGAACTAAGAGAGTAATATGGTAAGATACAGCAGGGGATCTGTTATCTGCATTATAATACCCAAGATATGAAGCAATCAAATAATGATTGGGCTATTACAGAATTGACGAGCGGTGGGAAGCATTTTTTCAGAGGCCCCACCATGCAATGAATGTTGAAATTGATTTACCAAAGAAATAGTAGCTAGTTTTAGCCCCACCACCCATAATATATTATTTTAGGTGCCTCCCTCCTCCTCAATGTAATTTGCTATGGATTAGCCCTTATTTTATTTTACAAAAATGACTTCTTTCCTTTCTGATCTGAGATGGGCATTAATAGAAATAACCTTACAGGAGGAAAGACAATAGAATGATGGAATATGAAAAATATCTATATGCATATATATATTGTATGTTGATGCTCAGGAAATGTAGTTATCATTCTATTTGGTACAGCTATTGGAATCTCAGGAAATAAATCTAGATAATTATTTCCACTATTATCCACATTTATGATGAATCTCTTACAGATAGTCTACAAAATATGTGAGACATATCAAGACCTCAAGGTCTTGGAGTATCACATCATTATATGTTGCATGAACTGTCTAGTGAAACTAGTAAGGAGGAGATTTGGTTTTGTTTACATCTAAATTGAACACTGCAAGGTGAATGAAATATTGCTCAGTCCTTTAATGCTTAGTTGTGACACATGCATGGTTTTGTAAAAAAATAAAATAAGATTTTAAGACTTGTTCCATCAATCGTGTATGAAATAGAACACCTTTAAAAATAATACATAGGAAAGTATTTTTACTACACTAGACGAGTACATGGTTATAATATTAAAGAAAAGCAGTTACAGTGTTAATATCCTGGTCTTCTCACTTTAAAATCTCAACACATAGGAGAGTTCCAGCACAAGGTGGCGCTGCACTTGAAATTTTGCCTGCACTGCATTTAAGAATTCTTGCATGTTGATGTATTTGAGATTTTCAAGATAATAGATTATACTTCTACTTTTATATGTAATATGAAGTGCTGAAAATAGACCACAACATTGGGGTCGAAATAATTATTAGCTTTAAAGCACAATGACTTAGATAACTATCTCCTGGTCTGAGGTTATTGGATATTTCTATTAGAATGAAGTTGATGCATTTAAAATACATGCAATAGATATTTCATAAAAAAGGTATTTAAGTTATTGTATTTTTTATGCTTTATTTAACATGTTTGCATGCTTTAGTTTGATTACTTTGAGGAATATTGTAATCTCCCCAATATTTTGCCGTTTATCAATATTAGTTTGGTTACAAATGAAGTATGAGTGGAAGTTCTGTGTCCAAATTGTCCATTATGTCTTTCAAAGATAACATTTAATAAACCTTATATGCATACATACATATTTTGGTTGAGTGTTATAATGTTTGTTACTAATCTAAACCATTAAAACAAACCATTAAAACCCATATCCTTGTGATTTGAACCCTTTTAATCTATAAAACAAGTAATTATTGTATATTGGTGTAAGATTTAGGTAGGTTTCTCTGTAATCTAAAATACATCTGTAATAGATGCTCCTAAGGTATTTCGAAGTATTATATTTGTGTTTAGGTGATAAAGAAATAAAGAAATACTTAATTGAAAAAAATTGACAGCCCTAGATATACAAAGTATCACAACAGATGTGTAAAAAAGTTATTAAAAAAATAGCGTTGTGGAGCCACAGATGAAAACAAAGCATATGATAAATGGCTTATAAACGTTTCAATGATACAGATGTGTAGAGTAGTGATGGAATGAACCTTATCTACAAGTTTTCTATTACTCCACTGTATCTTTTTTGCATGTACAGTAATTTAATTACCTCTACTGAATTTTGTTTTTGACAAACTGGTGCAACTGGGCAAGTGAATAACCGTTGACCAGGTAGCTTTGATTGAAGTGACCGTCCTAGGATCCTTGTCTGAACCCATTGTATTTTTAGCTCACCTGGTACAAATTGCCGGTGAGTTTGTGTTATACATGGTGTATCGTCCGTCAACATTTTGCTTGAACAACTTCTTAAAAACTGGATGACCTAGGGTCATGATATTTTGCCAATATGTATCTGGGACGTATTGCCATAAACTTTCCTCAAAAGGATGACCTTGATGTATGTTGAAGGTTACAGGGATCAAAAATGTGTTATAATCTTTGAACAACTTCTGAATGACATGCTTATATGTAGTGCTATATATTTTCCTAAAATAAATTACCTTGACCTACTTTCAAGGTCACATGCTTTAAATAGTAAAAACCTTTAAACAACACTTTCCGAATAACCGAGAGGCCCATGGCAATGGTAGTTGGCCAGTACAAGTAGGTACCTTGCATGGAGTGCTATAAAATTTCTCCGAATAAATGACCTTTACTTACATCAAAGGTCACGGGTGTAATATGTGACAACCTTTTAAACAACTTCTGCATAACCAGAAGGACCTGAGTGATGATATTTGACAATAGCATGCTGAGGTTTGAGTTATATAAAGTTTCCTCCAAAAAATCCCCTTGACCTGCTTTTGAGGTCGCAGGGGTCAAATATGTTAAAATATTCAGCCAACTTATTCTCAATTATTAAAAAGCCCAGGTTGATGAGATAATTTGTATGCCAAGTATAATAATTGGGTGAAGGGCTAAAAACTTTTTATTTCAACAATTGACTTGGACCCACTTTCAAGGTCACTGGGGTAAAATGTTTACAACTTCTGATTAACCAAAAGGCCCAGGGTGCTTGCCAGTAGGAGGCTGGGGTAAGAGACTACTATGTTTTAATCACCCTGCGTCCGTGGTCCGTCATCTGTCCGTAAACAATTCTTGTTATCAGTATTGCTCAAGAAGTACCAAAGGGATCTTTCTCAAATTTTATATGTAGGTTCCCCTTGGTCCTTAGCTGTGCAGGGCAACTTTTGAGACTGATCGGATAACCAACATGGCCGACAGGCAGCCATCTTGGATTTTGATATTGAAAGTTTGTTATCGCTATTTCTCAAGAAGCACCGGAGGGATCTTTCTGTGCAGGGCAACTTTTGAGACTGATCGGATAAAGAACATGGCCGACAGGCAGCCATCTTGGATATTGATAGTGTAGGTTTGTTACCGCTATTTCTCCGGAAGAACTAGAGGGATCTTTCTTAAATTTTATATGTAGGTTCCCCTTGGTCCTATAGCTGTGCAGGGTTATTTTAGAGGCTGATTGGATAAACAACATGGCTGACAGGCAGCCATCTTGGATATTGATATTGAAAGTTTGTTATCGCTATTTCTCGGGAAGTATCAGAGGGATCTTTCTCAAATATATATGTAGGTTCCCCTTGGTCCTTAGCTGTGGATGGCAGCTTTTGAGACTGATCGGATAAAGAACATGGCCGACAGGCAGCCATCTTGGATATTGATAGTGTAGGTTTGTTACCACTATTTCTCCGGAAGAACTAGAGGGATCTTTCTTAAATTTTATATGTAGGTTCCCCTTGGTCCTATAGCTGTGCAGGGTTATTTTAGAGGCTGATCATCGGATAAACAACATGGCTGACAGGCAGCCATCTTGGATTTTGATATTGAAAGTTTGTTATCGCTATTTCTCGGGAAGTATCAGAGGGATCTTTCTCAAATATATATGTAGGTTCCCCTTGGTCCTTAGCTGTGGATGGCAGCTTTTGAGACTGATCGGATAAAGAACATGGCCGACAGGCAGCCATCTTGGATATTGATAGTGTAGGTTTGTTACCACTATTTCTCCAGAAGAACTAGGGGGATCTTTCTTAAATTTTATATGTAGGTTCCCCTTGGTCCTATAGCTGTGCAGGGTAATTTTAGAGGCTGATTGGATAAACAACATGGCCGACAGGCAGCCATCTTAGATTTTGATAGTGAAAGTTTGTTATCACTATTTCTCGGGAAGTACGGGAGGGATCTTTCTCAAATTTTAAATGTAGGTTCCCCTTGATCCCTCATTGTGCATGACATATTTTGAGACTGATCATAAAAACAAAATGGATTAAAAGAAGAACTAAACAGATCTTATATTGCAATGATCGATTCTATTTTTCTCACATTAAGTACTGTACTAGTAAATATGTGAAATGACAAACTCACTTTGAAGGTTGGCCTTCATACACATCAGTATTAAGTTTAGATCAAAAGTTACCTCAAGGTGCATTTACTGTTAACATGACTCGATCAAACAGATTAGAGGAAAGAAGAAAAAAGATCGAACTGACAAAGAACTAATGAAGATGGTACAAAGGTGGGCGCCAAGATCCCTCTGGGATCTCTTGTTTCAGTTGGTTGACCTTCATCCACTTTCACGGTCACCTAGTTCAAAGGTTTAAAAAATGTTCAAACAACTTCTGAACAACCAAAAGGCCAAGGGTAATGATATCTGGCCAGTATCATGCTGGGATGAGTTACCTTGACCAACACTCAAGGTCGAAGAGTCAAATGTGTAAACTCTTAAAACAACTTCTCAACTATCAGAAGACCCAGGGTGATAATATATGCCCAGAAGAATACTGGGATGAAGGGCTGCAAAGTTTGTTCAAACGAATGACCTTAACTTAGTTTCAAGGTCAATGGGTTCAAATGCTTATGAAATCCTCAAACAACTTCTGAATAACCAAAGAGGCATACTATAATATATAGTTTATTTGGCATAAAAGTATCATCAAGTGAAAACCGCATGCATAAAAGTAACAATCTCGGAACAGACAATGAATTAAAAAGGAGAAATATTGTTCACGTCCTTTATATATATAAATGGACATGACTCGGAAGATAAAAAGTAACGCAATATTTTAGAAGAATAAACTATCTTTATTTATCTAAAATTACAAATACTACAACGATACTATTTGTGTTGGTAAAAAGGTGGAATGAATCAAAATTTCACATAGTTTTAGGAAAATATGGAATTAAATAAAACGACTGCATACATATTTGAGTGTGGTACAAAGCACTTGGTAATGATAATATGATAATAGGTAAACATTGGTAAATACCACTAGAACATCAATCAATCAATTATAAGATATTTGTCCCGTGAGAACCTCGTGAATAACACCGGCTTCTCCCCAACTCGGGAACCATCGGCACTTTCCGGCTTATTTACGAAAAGAACCACATTTGAAACCATATATAGTTATATATGCAAGATATGATCTTTATTTTGTATGAAGTATTATCTTGATTATGCTCTGTCGCACCCAGTATTATCAAACTATAATTATTCTGACAGGGAGATTAAAATGGTTCATATTTTAAATAGATGAAAGTGTTATCAAAACATAATTTGATCTCCATGTGTAATTAAAAGAATTTTCTAGCAATAAGATGTAAAAATTATGTAGGTACTAAAATTATCAATTTCAGAAAGGTATCAAAAAAGGAACATTTGTGAACTTGAATTGCTGAACTAGTATATAGAGGATATTCAATGGTGTCTTTAGTAATAACACATATATTTCACGAGTGTGGCTAATATTTTGATATTTTTACACGAGTGCGCAGCACGAGTTAAAAATATCAAAATATTTGCCACACGATTTGGTATTACTGAAGACACCATTACATGTTCTATTTATTGCATTTTTAAAGCACAAAACATGGAAAATGTAATGCATTAAAAAAGGGCGGGAATCAGAAGCGTAATAATTAGCGCCATATTCTAATGACGTCACGCTTGACAACAATGCTGCGCGCCATTTTGAATGGGATACTCAACACAATTCCGACGTTTTCTGCTATTTTCTGGTATGATTGCTTATACAAATGTAATTAATTGTATATTTATGTAAATACTTAAGTGTGTGTACCAAACTTTTACCATAACAACCACTTATTCTACCGTCGCTTCATTTGAATCTGAACAAAAAAACGTTGCCTTTGAATGCAGCAAATAGAAGAAACCATTATGATTGGTCAATACCAAAAAGTTATATTTTCACACTGTGAAAATATCACTTTTGATATTTGTCACAGTGTGAAAGATATCAGTTTTATCAAGTTGATAGAATCCGTTATTTCACTGGCAAAAATGTAATAAAATGCTTTATTTGTACACGTTATGTCGTAGATACAATCGAACCAAGGAGTTTCATTGAATAGACATTATGTAATTATATCAAAATCTCTTTCAGTTAAAAACGCAGACGTTGGGTAACTTAACTACGTATATGTTATTTGTGCAGAATACCAAAATACTGATATTAATTAAGTACGCCGGAACCGCAGCTATTTGGGAAAACTGAAACGGTACAACTTTAGTACATTTTTTGCAAATTTTGTATCCGGTATCAAAAGAAATAGGAAGATTTGTTCAGGTATCATTAAATTCACCATTTTTTTAGAATTTGTTGTGTCTCCTCATGTTAGTCCAAAACAAGCAGGTTTATGTAATACCTTTTCAGAAATAAGAATGATGGATCATTATATAAAGTCTCGTTTTAACTTGTTCTGAATATTGACATATAGTTAAAGAAAAACATGTTTACTCAAACACTAAAAAAAAGCAACTGTCAATTTCTTTAAATGATAATATCGTGCAGATTTGAAATGAAGAGCAAAAAGAACCCTGGCTAATTTTCACATTTTTTAGAGTGAATCTACACGAAGTCTTTTTAGTGATAATTTGTATTAATACTTGATTTTTCAGATGAGATTATTTAGTCATCATTTATCCTAGGAGGATATTTTTTGCTTATAATGTCAATGATGGTTGAATAACAATAACAATGTAAATTACATTAAACCATATTTCATTGTAAAAATCTGTAAGTCCTATTGAGGATAACTTAAAACATATAATACGCCTTGACCTTTGACCCGTAAATTGATGTAGTAGGAAAGAATAGCAACGTACTGTTTTCTCTTCTAATGTACATATTAAAGGTTCAACTGAAATATGTGTAAATCGATTTACATCAAAGTAAGATGTTTTTTATATGAAAAATGAATTGATACTTCTTCCACAATTTTAGATGTTAATTCATGTTAAAAGTCCTTTTATACTTAACAAATTTCCCATAAGATTGAAGCTTCACTATTCAGAGGTATGGAAAAGAAAAACTCACCTGGTGTCAAAAATAATAAACAGCACAAATATCCTTTTATATAAACCTGGTGAAGCTTTCATCAAACTATTACGTCTACATTAATATCATCGAATGATCTTAAAAGAAAATTCAGTATGCAATATTTTCTCGTTAGTAACTACAAATCAGGATTTCCTGTTTTAAAATGGCCATAGTAGGAACATCACGCACAGCAACTCTGATTATGATTGCCTCAAAATAAAAGTTGATCCATCATTCTTAACTTTAACGAGGTGTTGTTATTTTAAAATTTATTTTGTTTTCAAAATAAAAATCAAACATTAAAGGGCGAACTAACAATAATTAACTACCAATCCATTTCAACTAAGAGAGTAAATGTCAACACATCTAATACTAGGTAAACAGAATTTTTGAAATTTTAGAACCGAAGAAATCTAACCATTTGTGAATGGAAATTCTGTGATAAATGCAACCAGCTATATATGCGTACTCGATTCATTATTTTACTATATATAAACCGTTCTTTTGATTGTCAATGCAATGCTATCGTTATTAAACTTGTAATGCATAAAGGGAAGTAACTCGTGCGACTCTAATACTTTGTAAAACCTAACGCACAATAAAAAAAACAATGTATACCTTATATTGTTTTTCAAATATCTTTTCGTTTCAATCACGGTTGCAATTTAATTAAAAATAGTATTCCGGCAAAACAGGCTGTTTTTATAAAACCTGCAATTGATATATCAATTGAAAGCACGGGGTTCTATGATTCGGGTTAATTTGTAAGGCCCGAACAGGTTCGTATTGCCATAGTCACGTGGGCTTTTCAGCAAAAAACAGGCCCAGAATCTGGTCGCCTATTGCGGCACATTTCTGTGTATTTCTCCACATCGTTGAAAATGCTTCGTAGTCTTCCAAAGAAAAGTCCTAAAATGAAAAAAAGGAAAAGAAAACAACTTATTACATTGTATCTTGATCATTATTGTCAAAGTGCAAAACAAATACTGATTACCCATAGTATGAGTGGTACATATTTAGAAGTTGAAAATAGCAATAGGAAAATGAATAACAAGTCAAGAAGAAAATAGCTGCAGACAACTAAACACACACACATATATATATAGTCACTCAGTCAAAGGCATGACTTTTTCTCAGTACCATCCTCGATAATCGAGGGGTTGCGATCACTTTCGATCTCTTCACCCCTGGAATATGTCATAGCAAAATCGAAGGCTCAGTGTCCATCACATTGTGAATGAGACGAAAAGACTAGTTTGATCCTTTGTCTAGTTTGATGTACATCAAAAGAATCTGTCGGTCGTGTAATGGTAAAATTGAAGTTGGTGTCACTCCTCTGAATTCGTCGAAGGAAAGATATCAGCCTAGCGATTGGTCAGGTTTTTTTTTTTTACCTGAGATCAATCAAATAGCTAGCTATATAGCCGCGTGCCTTCAATTTGACTATGACATATTCCAGGGGTACAGAGAGCGAAAGTGAGCGTAACCCCTGGATATTGAGGATGGCTCAGTACATGCTATTTTTGTCTAGTTATTATTCGTTGCATTGTCTCGTTGAACAAACAGTCACTGCAAAGGCAGTTTGACTGTCTGCCTTGGATCATGGCGGTTACCCAAATGCAAGTATAAAATTAGACGAACATGTCTAGATAAGTTAATTACGAATGCTGGCCGAGGTAGAATCGTTGCCCCTCCATGGTAGACAGTTTTCATCCCTGATACTTACGTGTCTCCACCAGAGACGTGTTTTTTTAACTTTGCTATTCTTGTATTGCTCGTTTCAATTGTTAATTCAATTTAGAGTGTCGACAGGATGGCTGATGTTGCGAGTAAAACTTTTTCAGCGCAACCAAGCCTCATGGTGGTTCGGATTTGGTGTTCCCCTTTTATTTGCACGCTTGTTATTTTGGTACCGTCTTGTTTGTTTATAGAAGTGCTATTTATGTAATGATAATAGCATATTAAGTCCATAATAAACTAGATTTACATTATGGCTACTTCGTGCCACTTTCGTATGAAGGGAGATAGCTAAGAGTACATCTCACTTCAATCTAGAGTATCTTTCTCAATTAATTAAAACATCAATCGATTTGTATGCATCGTTTTGCCCGAATAGCAGGTGATGAATCACCACCGTCTGGCCGAACAGACTTACCTCAATATATTCCTCTCTTCGAGTAACTAGTCGGTCTAATTCTTGAGTTGTCGTTTTGATGAATAAATCTGTTTTATTCTCCGTTTCTATCTGAACGAAGCCGGCTTCTTCCAGCGTCTGAGGAAAGAAATATACATTAGCGCACCAATAGTGCATTGACTTTCGCGATATGGCTTTTTCAAACCTCCCCACGAGGACAAAAATTCAAGTATCACCAAACCTTCATTTCTGCTGTGACATAAGATTATGTGAAAATTATTGATGGTACTTGAAAGCTACGGTCGATTTTTAACAAAATAATGTGCGAAACAAATATGTACTCGCAAAAAGTGGTTAAAAATTTTAAAATGGAGAAAATTTGATCCTACTTGTTATAAATTCTATTCCACTTATGCAGACAATATACAATACATCTTGGTTTTACCCATATGACACATCACGTGTTTTTATCATTATGAACTATTCTATATCATCAACAGATCAGCTTATATAAAGTACCATGTTCTGTAGAGTCCCTTCAGCGCATCCTCAATCTACAGCACTGTCAAGCTATCGACAATATTTATAGCTCTGCATTTATTTGACTTTTACCATAATAAAAAGCACCATAAAACCCGTTTCCAATTTTGTTAAAATGCTGATTAGAATCTCAAAGAAAACAATCGTTCTTATTTCTTATCTATTTTTCCTTTTATTCATATTGTCTGTATAATCTCTTTATAAAACCGACATATTTGGTGGCCGTGCTTACAGAGCAGTACTCTCGTTGTGAAAGGATGCTGTACCCAAACGTCTTTACGTAATCCTTGAACTGCTGTGTATGCTCTCCCTCGCTGCAACAGTAATCCGATATCAGTACCTGGCCTCCAGGCTTTAAGAACGTCTGCAAAGCAACACACAAGTGTGAAGTATTACCCATTTGACTGGTGAATCTGATAAAAAAAAAATCCTACTCAATAAGATACATTCATGAAATAAAAACATATAATCACTTTTATTTCCGCGATAACCTCATTTCGTGAACTGTCACTTCAATTTGTTTATCGCGAATATCTGAATTTGCGATAAAGAGGAAGATATTTAATAAATGAAAGTAATTAGTTTGGAAGAATATTCGCAAACCAATTAAACTCACGGGTGAATCGCTTCATGAATTGATGTAAACATAATTTCCTCGCGAAGATTAAATGATTATCAATATCGACTTAATAACATTGTTTTTTTGAGTGTAAAAGGTACAATGCTGGCTCTCTGAACGGTCTTAAACGGGTCGATTGAGTTAAAAATGAATAAATTTGTTTCGAATTTAGCTACATGTAATGTATACTTATTCAACTACTAACCTGTAATTATTATCATTGAATCAGCAGGTTCCATACGTTGCAGACTTTTTTGTCAGTTTATGAATATAATTAACTCTCTATACACACACTTCATAGAGATAGCTACCTTAAACCTTTGGAAGAGCTGGAGTTTGCCAGCAATGTGGAGAATTGTATCTCTACTGAAGATGATGTCAAAGTAATCTGCTGGGTACTCTCTTCTCGTAGCATCAGCCACCTCAAAGTCGACCTCCTACAGGTGAACGAGGGCAAAGATCAGTGAGCAACTGGCATGTAGGTAAATGGCAGGAAGGTTAAACTCATTTACCTCTGAAATTTCATAGTGAACTATTCCAACTTTTGAATTGGAGGAGTTAAAATGTGTCTTCAGGGGCGAATGAGTTAAGACGATTACCGTGCAGAAGATACCGTAACATATATTTATATCTGATTTTCAATTTGTCAACCAATCAAGTTTTAAAAGGGTGCATTTACAAATTATATTTTAATAGCTTAGAGACTACATTTATATGTATAAGCACGATAGTAATGCTGTATGGTGGTAGCATGTTTGTTGATGATGGTGTTGTTGTAGCGGTGGAGATATAGGGAGGGGTAACCTCCATGTAGGATGGTAAAATATATAAAAGTATTACCTGTTATTCATAATCTCAAAAATGTAGGTAAGCTCTTCCAGATACCAAGCATTTTGTTTTTAGTAAGTAACATATTACTTTTATACTTCTAAAGAATAGAACGATCATAAAACTGAAAAAAACACTATCGCACAATTGTGAAGTTATTCATTAATTTGATTGGTGAAATAATATTTAACTTTATAAAGTATGTATCAATGATTGATACAAACCGATGAAACTACTCATCTTAACAATGTACCAGTTGGTTGGTGTATACAGCTGGAGGGTATCACTCTCATATCAATGTACCAGTTGGTTGGTGTATACAGCTGGAGGTGATACAAACCGATGAAACTACTCATCTTAACAATGTACCAGTTGGTTGGTGTATACAGCTGGAGGGTTTCACTCTCATAACAATGTACCAGTTGGTTGGTGTATACAGCTGCAGGGAATCACTCTCATAACAATGTACCAGTTGGTTGGTGTATGCAGCTGCAGGGAATCACTCTCATAACAATGTACCAGTTGGTTGGTGTATGCAGCTGCAGGGAATCACTCTCATAACAATGTACCAGTTGGTTGGTGTATGCAGCTGCAGGGAATCACTCTCATAACAATGTACCAGTTGGTTGGTGTATGCAGCTGGAGGGAATCACTCTCATAACAGCGTACCATTTGGTTGGTGTATACAGCTGGAGGGATTCGCTCTCAGAACAACAAACCAATTGGTTGGTGTATACAGCTGGAGGGAATCACTCACAGAACAATGTACCAGTTGGTTGGTGTATACAGCTGCAGGGAATCACTCTCATAACAATGTACCAGTTGGTTGGTGTATACAGCTGCAGGGAATCACTCTCATAACAATGTACCAGTTGGTTGGTGTATACAGCTGGATGGATTCGCTCTCATAACAACAAACCAATTGGTTGGTGTATAAAGCTGGAGGGAATCACTCTCATAACAGTGTACCAGTTGGTTGTTGTATACAGCTGGAGGGTATCACTCTCATAACAATGTAACAGTTGGTTGGTGTATACAGCTGGAGGGAATCGCTTTCTTAACAATGTACCAGTTGGTTGGTGTATACAGCTGGATGGATTCGCTCTCATAACAACAAACCAATTGGTTGGTGTATACAGCTGGAGGGAATCACTCACAGAACAATGTACCAGTTGGTTGGTGTATACAGCTGCAGGGAATCACTCTCATAACAATGTACCAGTTGGTTGGTGTATACAGCTGGAGGTGATACAAACCGATGAAACTACTCATCTTAACAATGTACCAGTTGGTTGGTGTACACAGCTGGAGGGAATCACTCTCAAAACAATGTACCAGTCGGTTGGTGTATACAGCTGGAGGGAATCGCTCTCATAACAATGTACCAGTTGGTTGGTGTACACAGCTGGAGGGTATCACTCTCATAACAATGTAACAGTTGGTTGGTGTATACAGCTGGAGGGAATCGCTCTCATAACAATGTACCAGTTGGTTGGTGTACACAGCTGGAGGGAATCACTCTCATAACAGCGTACCATTTGGTTGGTGTATACAGCTGGAGGGATTCGCTCTCATAACAACAAACCAATATTGATACAAACCGATGAAACTACTCATCTTAACAATGTACCAGTTGGTTGGTGTATACAGCTGGAGGGAATCACTCTCATAACAGCGTACCATTTGGTTGGTGTATACAGCTGGAGGGAATCACTCTCATAACAAAGTACCATTTGGTTGGTGTATACAGCTGGAGGGAATCACTCTCAAAACAATGTACCAGTTGGTTGGTGTATACAGCTGGAGGGAATCGCTCCCATAAGAATGTACCAGTTGGTTGGTGTATACAGCTGGAGGGAATCACTCTCATAACGATGTACCAGTTGGTTGGTGTATACAGCTGGAGGGTTTCACTCTCATAACAATGTACCAGTTGGTTGGTGTATACAGCTGGAGGAATTCGCTCTCATAACAACAAACCAATTGGTTGGTGTATACAGCTGGAGGGAATCACTCTGAAAACAATGTACCAGTTGGTTGGTGTATACAGCTGGAGGGAATCACTCTCATAACAAATTACCATTTGGTTGGTGATGCAGCTGCAGGGAATCACTCTCATAACAATGTACCAGTTGGTTGGTGTATACAGCTGCAAGGAATCAATCTCATAACAACATCTGTTAAGGGGGCTACTATAACCTATATAACTCCCGCGCGTGATGTAGACACTTATAGAACCTATTTAACTCCCGACCGTGATGTAGACAGAGGAATCCCAACCTCATGATATGAGTTTTGCCGAGTGGTCAATTTTATCCTGAGGTTTCTTTCTACATTAAATAGGAATAATTAAGACCTGGTTTCTTCCATACACTTATGTAGAACTTGTTTGATGGTGAACCTAGTGCCCCGAGCCATCCTTAGTAGTGCATTTATTGAATATGCGTCCAAATTAATACCGTAACCCTGGTAACACTGAATAAAGTGATGACGCAGTGGTGACAATTTAAGAATAGTGGCACGCGTTAGCTGTCTTTTCCGTCGATAAGGTAATAGCTTTATGCACCTGTGTGGGAGAAAACGCCGTGTTTGACATGTGTACTCGATGAGTACATATAGTGTTCCGTTGCCTGTGAATGAAATATGACTTCTAACATTTATTTAAGCTTGCATTATTTAGAAGAATGAACCTCCGCATGTTTAGGTCATTTACTTTAGGCTCACATCAGCACGATGTACCGTTATAAAGTACACGCAACATTCAAGTTTGTCAATTATTCATGCTGCAGACCGCTGGTACGTACGTTGTTGCACTGGTGCTACACTGATTCTACCGGTAGGTGTGATTATTACGTACTTAGCACAACCGAAATCAATCGAGTGTTTAAATATTTAAATCTAATTGCAACATTACTTTCCAGGAACAAGTGAGATCTTTTTACATGATGGTGGTATAACGTTTCTATTATCTTAAGATGGTTTGATTTGAAGCTCAAAAGTGTATGTGGTACGATCGATATGTATCACACACAAAAAACACACAGGTTTAGTACCGAGCAAGAAATAGCATTTCTTCGTCATTTCTTCGTAGGAGACAAGTCAAAAGATTTAGTTTCATTTACATTGCATGGGAAATATATGATAACATCCATATTTCTGTATCATAAGAAATCATACATTCTAAGGTTCGCTATAACTACCTTCGTGTACGCTGTAGCATGGTTTTCATTGACGTAGTTTTGTAAAGTTATGAATTATTAAATTTCAGTATTTCTCAGTGTAAGGTAATTAGAACGTTATTATCGCCAAAGTTAATTGGGTATAGGTCTTTCATGGACTAGTAATTTTAGTCTGACTGCCTAACTACCTTGGTTAATTGATCTTGGCAACATATTACCGTCATGACAATATCAATATTCCTAAAGTTATCATTAGAATGCATTCACTACTAGTATTATCTCGTATGTCCTGTCTTCAGCGTTTTATCTGCCTCCTTTTAATACATTTCTTGTCAACAAAAGCGTATAAATAATGAATGGTAATTAAATAAAACCATGCTTAATATCTCATTGCATACTCCCTTCTCCAAACAGCTGCTGTAAATCCGTGGTTCATTTCTAGGATATAGGGATTCGATTAACTTCAGGAAATGACAAGGTTTTGTGTCATCTAGGTCAATAATATTTCGATGTTACTATACGTTATCAAATTTCTGCGTATGCTTATTCTTGCGGGCGATAGTTATTCCAGCTATATATAAATATCAACCGCTGTTTTTGTCGGAGTAAAACGTTCGCCAGATATTTGAATTTTTGGATGTTCCTTTTCTGCGACTTCACGCAGAAAATAAAAATGACATGCTCAGACAATTTTACAAAAAGAAGGTTGATAGAGAAAATATTTCGAAATAAATATAAACAAATAAATGAAAAAAACTTCAAGGGTCGAAGTCAGGAGCTGTACACTGTCAAGCTTACGCTACACCGATGTTGCTATCTAGGAAGTAACTCTAAACCAGGACAAACAGTTACCATAGTTACTTCATCTTCGATATAAGGGGGAAATACCAGCTACTTGCTATATCATATAAACCCACACACTAGCAGATACATTAGTAAGTACTGTTAACATTCCTTACCACTTCTGAGATGCCCATTTCTCTTGCCCGCTCCCTCGCGATGTCGATCATATTGGACGAGAGATCCATGGCGACAACTTTAACACCAAACTCCTGACATAAAAATAATCAGACTGTCAAAAATTATTTTTGAAGATTTTTTTACGAAGACAATGGTCGCACATTTTGTCATACAATTGATATCCAAGTATATATAATGTTTATGCATTGAATAATATTACCACTTAGCAGTATGGACCCATTCATATTTTGATTGGTATAGATGGTGAGCAAGTCAATATCAAACGAAACACAGTGTATATGATGATGTCCTACCTTAGCCATATAAAATGCATTACCGCCAATGCCACATCCAACATCCAGCACTTTCTGTCCTGGACGTAGACACAGTTTCTTCAGAAATTCCTGAAAAGATGACAGTATATAAGGTTTACAGCATAGAAATCTACACAGAAATATGAACGTAACACATACAGGATTGCACCTTAAGTATTTGGAAATAGATACATATGACTCTGCACCATACATCCATCGTAACAGTTACAAGATTCTTTAAGCAAAATCTTCATTTTGTTTTATAGAGTGTCGTATATATAAAGAATTTACACGAGTTTCAGTTTCATATGATTTTTTTCCGAACGAGTAAAATGTAAGACTGAACTGAAATAGCAAATATTGACATTTTGACTCCCTTTGATGTAGTGACGTCATATGCTGTGACGTTATGAAGTGGCCTGTTATGATTTCACATTTAAAACAATGCTAATCTGCAGCCAATCACAGCTCTGTTATATTTCTTGTAATGGAAGGTATGGCACAGATAATAGATAAGTTATGTGATAAATACATACATAAAATGAAACGATTCAGTTTGATACGCTACTATTTTCGAATTCCTTACACATTTCTGGTTACTTTGCCATTTGAAATGTTTGATATAGAGACAATGTAATGAATACTTTTTGAATCGATAAAATAGCAGTTTAGTATGATTTATAAATAACTCCAATGATGATTTCGTATCAAAGGAGTCTTTGAAAGGAAAGACATTACGGTCAGCTTTGATAGCAAAGTCAAGATAACCAGAAGATAACCACATCCAAATTAAACAAACTGATGGTGATTACTCAAATAATAATAATAATAATAATAATATCTTTTATGGATCCAGGGATACATATTTAGACATGTCTAATTTACAATATGGCCCTGTATCAATACACATAGGCTACATGAAAGACATTTGCAGATTACAATACATGTGTATTAAATACAAATACAATACTTATTTAAAAAGTATATTGTTATATCATAAAGTAAGTACCAAACTAAAGTTTTGAGAAAAAATCTTGAAGGTATTTGCAGCAACACTACACGCATTTCCGATATTTTCATTCAATCCATTCAATAAAACAGAACATGTGTACACAAATGAACGTTTAAAATAATAAGTTCTAGCAGTGGGGATATAAAACTTATTTGAAACGGATGACCTTGTATTTCTAAAACTGACATCCTTGACATAGGTAAACAGATTACTTAAAAAAACTTGGAGTATCCCCATTTAAAATTTTGTAAGCAATAAGTGCTTTCCTAAAAAATAAATAATCTTCTATTGGCAGCCACTTTAACTGTTTAAAAAACCAAAATGGAAGGGGGGAAATGTTTCTTATATTTAACAAAACTCTAGCTGCCCTTTTTTGAAGTTTGGAGATTTTATGAATATATAATTTGTTACTAGCCTCACTCAAGACTACAGAACAATAGATAAAATGTGGGAAAACTATACTTTGATATATTTTACTGAGAACATCATTAGACATGGAAGGTCGTAACCTTTGAAGAACACCAATCGTTTTCGAAATTTGCTTTGATATGTAATCAATATGGTCTTTCAATGACAGACAACAGTCGACAAAAACAGCAAGTAGTTTTGCACAGTGTACAGTTTCTATAATTAAGTTATCAACAGTAATGTTCAACTCACGACATTTAGATAACATTTGAGACGATCACATCAACATGCACTGAGATTTGTTCAGATTAAGACTAAGTTTGTTTTCTCTCATCCACTGAATTGTACATGCTAAGTCTTCTATCATTTGTTTTTCTAAAAGCTCTACTGTTTTGTTCCTAACACTTTGTAAGGTGTCATCTGCATACATTACTACAGTAGAATGTTTCAGACATTTAGGGCAGTCATTAATATTTAAAATGAAAAGCAGAGGCCCAAGTTGGTAAATTTGTAGTTTTGTTAAAGGTTTTGAATGTACATTTACCCTTTCGGTGTAGATCTACGTATGCTCGAAACATCTTAAAAACTCTGACATTCGGGGTCCCATATTGATTTGTAACACGCAGAGCACTGTTTTTGATTATTTTTATTTTTATTCATTATTCTTTTATAAAAGTTCCGCAAGGTACGTTTTTTAAATTGCTTTATCAAAACTATTTTCAGTTTAGAAAAGAATGGTTCCAATCCACATTTACAGTTTTTGACAGTGGTACGGGGATTTTTTACAGCTTGTACTTTACATCCATACACATATCACCAATGATTGTATAGTATCAGTGAAGGAGCATTACATGAAGTATCTAGGTGGGATCACTTCACCAGAAGTAGATTGTCAAAACAATTGAATTTTGAATTATTTACGATCTAGCCGCATGCCTATGTAGATTTTTAATCAATACCATTTTTAATGATGTCTAGGTATTTTTCATACCATTTGCTACAAAATATTTATCGACGGACCACATTGATTTAGTGCGGTATGATGCTTTTGCTGATCGTGTGTTTGGCGCAGGTAACAATAGACCTTGCAGACAAACGTGCATTGTGAAACACTAAAATAGTAGTTGACTACTCAATATCAATAATGTTTTGTCCGAATCGAAAAAGAAAGTTAATGATAGCTTAATAGTATTGAGGTAAATCCTCGTCAAATTTGAGGGATCATGAATCTCTGATTGTCTATTGTACGGGGCAATGTTAAGGAATGGTGCATGAAACTAAAAACGATGCTACTTATTCCGTCGATACAATACTTAGCGAACACATGTCGTCTTTCATAGAAAAACAACAACAAACTTATTACAATCTAACTATACAAAGGGTCATATATTGCAGAACTGTATTTGAAATTGCATCTGATCAATAAAATAGTGTTTGAAAATCTACAATGCAAACCTGTGACGAATTTTTTGATAATAGCAAACATTGTTTACAGCAAACATGTCGCCAACATTATTCATCTATGGTATTTCTATCAATGATTTTGAACGCAAAAAATCTGTAATAAAATGTTCAACTGTAAATGGTTCATTACAAAGGGACTCAGAAAGGTTGGTTGTTCTGCTTGAAATGGGAGTGTTAAGACTTGGCTTAACTATCAAAAATACGTGGGGTCTGCCTGATGCGAAATATGAACTCAATTTCCCATAAGTCAAAACAGAAACGTAGTAAGCTAAAACTAAACCTGAAGTACTCATTCATTGATACAGTCCAATGCAGTGCTACGTACGTACCTTAGTTGCAGTCAGTCCACCAGCGCTAACAAATGTCCTCCCAAATATACCTTCCAGCTGCCGAATCCTTACTTTAGTATACAATTGGTTATTGAGTATTTCCTGTAATGTTGTAAATGTCATGTCTTTCTTTAGCTTCCTCTTAACCTTTTGAAGTAACCAAACCATCTTTCTGTCTGCTTCATTTTCTCGTTGTGACTGAAATAGAAATGCATTTAATGTCAATAACGTATAGATAAAAAATCAAATAATGTATTACTACGTTGTATAAAAGGACAACCAGACAAGAAAAATATAAAAGAGTTCAAACTGGAGAAAGGACATCATGATTATTAAATAGGGATAAAACTACATGTCATAATTTGGTCTCTGAAGTTAACTATTGTGAATATTTTCATTTGAAGAAATGGGGATTTCCTTTTATGTTTTTGATATCAATTACTTTAATATATCGTTCTTTGCATTTTTATGATTAGAATACGAAAGGTTGTCACCGTATACAGCATCCCTTTTTTATATTTTTTGAATTCCTTAATCTTATATTTTGGATAACTGTATTGAACATTCTGAGGTTTTTAAAATAAAAATACTATTGATTTTAATTATTTCACAATCATTTTTAATAATGAGGTTTATCTTTTCAATTGTTAACTTTTCGAAGAATTTAATCACAAGTCATTAACGTGGGATTAGCAGCTACTTAATCTACTCTTTGCTGTATGTTCTTTGTGTAGTTGTGTGTAAATAGAGGTTTCTTTCTCATCGATCAATGGTTGGTTATCGTATTTATCTAACTCGAGTTAGTTGATTTTCAAATTGAATAAAGACAAGATTTTTACAATTTGAAAATTAACAACGATAGTTGGATAAACATTAGGACCAACGATCATTAGTTTGAGGACCATTTTCTCCCACAACGTTCAGATTTTATTTCTAGAAAAACATCATTATTCTGGGAATACATCATTCCTGTTCCCGTTCGATGGAACAATTGGCATAACCTATGACGTAGAATTGTAAGATGACGTCGCATGCATTGTTACTTGACATCATGATCCTAAGATTGACATATGAAATCACGTCCAGATTTTTACCAATAGCTGGTACATTAACCAAAATATTTACAAATTCTTAGTATTGTTATCCAAAGAGTTGGAACGAGGAAACTTATAGCGGTTGTGAGAGAAAACAAAAATACAGATGATATTTCCTCGCAAATTACTGTGAAAGTTATTACATCAAGTAAAGAGAACTACAAAGGTAAATTACTCTATACTTTTTTGAGTTTGTTGACAAATTTCCTCAAATGCATTACGCACACAGATACACGAAGATTTTATCCTGACTGTAGTACTTTAAAAAGAATCCTCTGCTGTCAGCCCAATACGGTTTGAACAAATTCTGACAAGAGCATGGACATTTGAATAACAGTAATCATTAATAGTTGAGGTGAAAAAAAGGTAAATTATACATAAATTCCCAATTAGAGTAGTTAGTGTTCACAACATTAATTTGATAATTAATTATCAGAAAGTATATTTAACTACGGGTTGATAATATAATTGGTTCTCTATAATTATAGAGTATTGGTTGGTTTCTCCAGTGATAGTGTAGACAAAACTCGAAAGATTTGATGGTTTTTGATAACATCATCTCTGGTGATAGGCTGTTCAAGATGTCAACAGTTCTGTGACAAAATACATTCTTTATCATGTTTAGGCGCGTTCCATCCTTGAATAGTTTATACTCATGACCACTTGTAACAGTATTGTTCTTCTTTCATGACATGAAATTGGACACTTCGGGATGACATTTCCTTGTCATTATTTTACATGTCTCCGCTGACGGGTCTGTAAGCCAATGTTGGGAGCTGCAATACCTCAAGTCTCTCTGGGTAGGACATATCTGTCATACCCGGTATCAGTTTAGTTGCTCTTCTCTGGGCGTTTCCAATGGCTTCTTTATGTTTTATCAGGTGCGGGCTCCCCACTTGGTTGGCATATTTAAGATGAGGTCTTACGAGTCCTCTGTATAGAGCATTGGATACATTCTAGTCCATATATTCCATAAGATATCTTGTTTTGTTCTGATGTTCTATTTCGTCAAACATACCACTACTGGACACCAATATGTGGGGCAGATTGATGGTGAACTTTTTAATGCTTTCAATTTTGTATTATCTGAAGTCAAAGTTATGCGTTCCATTTCTACAGAACTCCGCACAGTAGTTATATTATATGAGCATGTCATGTGATGTAGCAGGCCAAATGCCTTATTTCAAACATGGAAGTGTGTGAAGGTATTTTTTCGTTAATTTCAGGATGAGATAAAGCTCCAATGATTGAATTATGTAACCATACGTACTGAAAATGGTCGGCTGTTAGGTCTGATTAAAACCACATCCAGACCGAAGACTTCTTCTAGCTGCCTTCCCGGGCAGGTAGTAGAGGTTATACTCCAGAGATCGTCCACACACTGATGTTCGTTGTTCTCTAGTGAGAAATTCAAAACGTGGAAATTCAACAAAACAATAACAGGTAAAGCATGGCTTATCAATCTTAACGAATTTGCAGCGTCTTAACTGCAACTCGAGTAATAATTATGAACATTTACCTTTGTATTCTGACAACTTATTGTGAAAGTAAGTTGTGAGAGGAACACATCATACTTTGTTAAAAACTTCTTTCTTCAAAATCTTTGTTAAGTTTGTCACTGATAACAATAAAAATATAGCCAAAGCCAGGTTGAAATACTATGAAATACTACTATGTGTAGATAAACTATACCTTTGCCTTGAGTGATTGTCTGCAAGAAGAATACGTATCCATTTTCCCGTAACCATGACAATGACTGTTTTAGAAACCTTTGGTGATCGTCGTTATTAAGGCTTATGCGGTGATCATAAATGAGCAGATCTCCACTGTCGAACGAAAACAAATACACTAAATCAAAACACATGACATCTCTTGTAGCATTTGTATTACAAACCGGGTATATCCAGTTACTGAACAATCCTATTCTTACTACATGGTTGTACCGTATATATAAATATATTTTACCAGCGAAATTTCAAACATGATCAATTTGATAAACTTGTACCTTCAATACAGTAAATATATTCAAAATATAAAAAAAAAAATCATCGTGGATTACTGATGTCACTCAAGTGCTACTCATACAGGCAAAATCAATTTATGTATAAGTGTTTGTTATCTTTAGAAACATTATGATCATTTGTTGAGGGCAGATTTGATGTGATTCTGTTAATTTCTGTCAGATGTATGTTCGTTGGGGCAAATAATAGAAAGTAAGATCCATGCAAAAAAAAAAGAGACATTTACATACTGCTTCTGCATATTTGCCGGCTCATCAAATTAATTCACATTTAACTTTAGATAATATTTCAACAGGAATATTATTCAATCATTCACCAGGAGGATATAATAAGCCAGTGGATAGATACATGGGCAGTTTGGATACCAACCGGCGAACACTTCAAAGATTGCATGCTTGAAAACTATGAAACCAATTTTGGTATTGCCAGATGATGGATAATAAAAAGAAAATACCTGTAACTGAGCGAGATCGGGTTACCTCGGTCGAGGGTTAAGATTCTGTAACAAAATCCCAACCGAGGCGTACAGAACCTTAGCCCGAGACTGAGATAACCCGATCTCGCTCAGTTACATGTAATTGATTTTTTTTCTTCGCCTTTTAGCTCGAAAAGAACTATTCAATTTTGCTAAAAGCTACAAGTCTCCCGCCTTGGCCTCAAAGGATAATGACCTCTTCACTTCTAAAGCTACATTTGAATGCATCCGCGCAAGATGTAGACCGTCCTTACATAGAACGTATTTCACAGTGTAGATTATATTTTATCTACAACATCATATATCTAACAACATCAAAAATATACATATAACAAAACAGAACATGTCTTATGCAAATTGTCAATTTCAAGCAGTTAACGTGCGGATGAATACATCGCAGTGTACAGATTCCGCGAAATGTCACGTAAAGGTACAAGACTGATCGGACAAGATAGACAAATCTAGCATGGGGTATGCCTAGGGTATATCTGTCTGAGGTGCGAAAATATATGCGTACATACTTAACCAGTATTCACTTTTCTCTTTTGTACTTTTCATTGTCAACGCCAGTATATCAATAACACGTATTGAATACATACTGTACCGGCTCTTCAAAATACACAATAACTATTTCTTTTCCTTCTTGCAGACGAACATTTGAGCAAACGTTGCCGCGAAACTTTATTGTACTCCAAATATACTTAAATCAGCACAGTACAGCTTTAAGGATCCCTGTACCACTACCTTAACCGCAAATATAACGTGTATTTCTTCACGTGCATGATAATCATTTCTGCATAACATCCCTCCTAGCAAAAATGTGTATGAAAAACAATAAAGGGGAAAAAAAAATATACTGATATCAACAACAGCGTTCTGAGAGGAGCATACACATTCTGCGGGGAAAGACAGAGATTCGAACTCTGGATCTCCGATCTCCGATCCCATAGCGGCGCTTAAGGAACAGCGTTGGTTCCCTGATCCTGTAAATTTTTATTTATCTCCAAAACAAAATTAAGGGAAGGTTACAGTTTGTATGCAAAATTCCAATGAAATTCTCAATGTCTTTTCTCAAATGAGGCAGGGATTTCTAAACGCCATGATCTATATTACGCGTTTTATTGCAAATCAGATCTTTTGCAGTCGTCATCAACACCGGATGTCTACGTTTCAATGTCCATTTTTTCTCCTTTTTTTCTAACAAATTCCTTTTTGTGTTTCCTTCAATTTATCGCCATAACCCTTTATAATGCCAAAACTCTGTGAAAATGGTGGTGGTATTACTGTAATTGTTTTCTATGTCTTAAATCTTTTGTGATCTGTCTAGCTGTTGGTATTAAGGAGACCACAGGCCTGTTTGTATGTCCATCACTGAAACCGTGTATGCTTTCGGGACCACCCGAAATCGTCTTCTATTGTTATATATGGGTTTCTTAATTACTTCCCTTCATATTGCTAGCTATTAAGTCCCTTCTTTTTGTGTTTCAGTATGTACAGTATAGTAATGTTACCCTTAGAAAATGCTTTTTACCAATTGTGCTATAACTATAAGATAAACGCTCAACTAGCTTTACTCCACTTATGTTTGTAAATATTCGTTAGAATATACCTAAAATAAATGACAAAGCCGCTGGAATAAGAAAAATCAAAGGCTGTATTAAAACAATAACAAAAACAGCAACAAAACAGAAGAATTCGAGGACTCACCAAAAGAAAAAAAAACGAGTAAGGGGACAAAACTACCACGCAAACACTCCTCTAAAACCACTGTGTATACATTTCAGATTTCGTTTCTATATGTTTTACGTCTTCTCAACAAGGTCATGTGAAGGCGTGTGCTGGACGACATCATCAACAAGAACATGTAGGAGAGCAAAGAAAGTGAAGGTCACAAGTATGGTAATTGGGTCATACGATCTCTCATAAGAGACAGACATCACAGAAGAAACCCAGATTGTACAATGGCCCTCACATCAGTATTTCTTTACCACATGCACTCGGATACAACAGCTATATTTTTCTCCGAAGCTGTACATTGTTTATTTCAAAGTTAAAGGTCTATTCTTTCCCTAATCATCACATGATTTTCTTCAGCTCAATACGCTATAGGGTTTAATAAATGCACTCCATACTATACAATTTGATATTCAAGCACGCGGAGAGGATAAAATCGAAAATAACGCGTACTCATATAAGTCTTATTGTATTGACGGTAAAGGGAGGTCGACTCAATAGAGAAAACATAAACTTGTTACTGTTACAGTGTGCATGTTCGCCAATATCCTATGGTCGATGTTCGTGCTAATTCTGATTAAGAACAAAGTCACATATCAGAAATCACAGAACGAAGCTTTGTTGATATTAATGCGTTTTTACACAAATGTGATAACACACTTCGGTCTATCTCGTTACACTGTTTAATTCTAACTAACCATGGGGTAATTTCATTTGGTAGATTAGCGTCGAGCAGTTTGTTCATAGGCTCAGATAGACACACTGTCTAGCTTATGTCATGACATATCATATAACACAGGCAAAAATGGCGGCAGATAAAATATAATTAGATATTAATGAAATTTTGATAGGATATCAATGGTTTATTTAATAAGTTTACTTAAAGATTGAACGAAAGAAAGCAAGTTTGATAGAGCTAAACGTAATCATCCCTTTTATATGGAAGGATACTAGATCCATCGTAGCTTCCTTGTTGTTTTGATTAACAAGAATGGATAGCATACAATATCCACACAGATATGAAACGTTGACGGTTGGTATATACCACCAAACAGGGAATGAACCGACCGACGCGTTACGGCACCAACGCACCGTGGTAATCACCTACATCTATCTAACTGATTAAATTTGCTATATATAGAACACACCATTGTTATGTTACCTATATACACACAGGAGATGTAGCTAATGGTCAAATGACTAGTATAGGTATTTACATGTAACTTATATGCACTTGGCGCATTATACATTATGTAGCTTTATCTTTATAATACATGTAAACACCTGGTCCACCAGAATGTATACTTGATATTCTGATTGACTTTAATACCAGATACATGCAATGTACCAGAAGGATAAATTCTTCGGTTCTCTATGTTTAAAATATATAGAAAGTAATGGTTGTGAAGAAAAACGTAAAATAGGTCTTTGGAAACCATAGAATGTCAGGTAGGACAAGTACATCTATAACACGCGTGTGGGATAGACCTGTATATGTATGAGACGTATTATATGCTCTTCAATATATTTGTATAGTTACCCATAGACTACAGTGGTAAATAAACTGTGAAAAACGTTCTACAATTTATGGAGAAAGTCTTGTATTTCCTGTTCACAGTGTAATGAATAGGCCTTCAAAAGTTGCCAGAAACAATTAGCGTCCATCTTGATTCTCCGCATGTGTCTAACATGAACATATCGAGTTGCATTACATAGTACTTAGTATCATTTCGCAACAGTCATTGCAACTAAATGTACCACTGTATTATTTGTAATATTAAATCAATATATTTTACGTAAAGAAAACAAATCGCTTCCTTACGTTGACCCACTGGTCCTGCTAGGATGATGCACTATTGTAAGAAACTGTTCTATTTTCACCCGTATTCATTATATAAAACCTTGGTTGGTTTTCTACGGAAGAGGGAGTTGTATGTCCCACTGACATTGACAAATATACAGGAACCAAACGTTTAAATTTAGGACAGCCATCTAGATTTAAGTATAATTTAGGACAGTCATCTAGATTTAGGTATAATTTAGGACAGTCATCTAAATTTAAGTATAATTTAGGACAGCCATCTAGATTTAAGTATAATTTAGGGCAGCCATCTAGATTTAAGTATAAATTTAAGGCAGTCATCTAGATTTAAGTATAATTTAGGACAGTCATCTAGATTTAAGTATAATTTAGGACAGTCATCTAGATTTAAGTATAAATTTAGGGCGGCCATCTAGATTTAAATATAATTTAGGGCAGCCATCTAGATTTAAGTATAAATTTAGGACAGCCATCTAGATTAAGTATAAATTCGGTCAGATTGTTATAATTGCCATTATAAAGGACTTGTACGATCGAAAAATGTGAACATCATCATTTAAGGGGGGGGGGGGACGACAGGATTGGGTTCGGATTTATATGTAACGTGATGCAATTCGACTGACCGGGCCATATGTCAGACCAAACGTCAATCAGACCATTGATCGCTACCATGTGGAGGTCACTGACCCATAATTGACGTTACGAATTCATTAATTTGGTACACACTAATGTGTTTTATCTACACCATTGTCATGATCAAATACGACAAAAGGGAGCTTATTATGGTAAAATGTTTGGTTATTTGGTTGTTTTTCAAATATCAAGCGACAATCTTACTCATTTTGTTCGACAAAAACTTGCATATGATAAACAAAAACAGCCTATTCATTAAAAAAACAGGCAAAACAAAGTTAGAAAATGAAACATGTTTTGAGGCAGTATAATTTGTATTTCTTTTGGCCACACGGCATTTAATATGCACATTCTTCTGCCTAATTACTTAGAGCAAATATTAAATAATGCGGGTATAATTGCTATCTTAAACCATAATCCATCAGCATTCCTTTTAATTCCATTTTTTGAAAACGTAAATATGTCTATCTTTAATCAATTTACAAGTACAAATTTACAAATGACCAAACGGAAACTGATCAATTCCATAAGAGGAGCCGACTGATGATGTAGATTTCATCGCGATTACACAGTGTTTTTCCAGGAAATTAACTCTAACCAGTAGCGACATCAATATACACCTATTTCTCTTAAGGGCAATCCGATTATAACCTCACTACAAATAACCTGGTATTGTTTAGTACACCAATTAGTGAGACGTAGCTATAACGTGGAAATAAAGGCACTATAGAGTTACTAATAAATCACCACTGCTACATATATATATATATATATAGTGCGGAAAATATTAACTTCATTCCACAGTTCTCCCATCCCAAAGATGTAATTAAGGTGCAGACAAATTCATCATCTTCTGTATGAACTAATTGAATTGAAATGCTATTATTCTGACGCGAAATAATGCGTTACTTCTTTAGTTACCTCGTTTTGTCTCAAAAATGATTTATTAGATCATTACTTTATAGATAGTGCCTTATGATTTAATGTTATTGAAATAAATATTGATGGGCAGACGTACCTAGCAGCTTTAAACATCTAGGTAAGATAGAATTGTTACACCGGCAATGTAAATGTATTGCTCTGCCAAATTGACTTCAGAAACATCAGAACTATATATAAATGTGCGATCGTATTCAACAATCACTATCCACATAATAAAAAGCAATACATTGTGAAAGGAATATTGTAAGAACTGAAGACTCCTCATTTCCTTAACTGGAATGAATCAGCAATCGCCGAGGAGGTTGGATTCGAATCCAAATGTACAGTCATATTTCACATATTTCACAGGTTTTATACCAAAATAATTGGGGGAAACATTCAATCGTTATAAATTACACCTGACAGCTGGATAACATCTATCGAATTTAATCAAGACGTTGGCGCGCTAAAACATGCCGGTATCCTATTTTTTCAGAGTACCCGCATCGTTGCTCTCTTTCACGCTCAACCAAAAAACTGGCAAACTTTTTGTACTTTTTCGGTAACACATTTTTAACTTCGGCAGCGAGCAAAACTAGTTCGCCATAAAAGAGTGCGCTTACCGATTGACTCCACATACGAGGTTAGCATAAGTTTTGTGGAATGTGTTTTAGGTAACAATGAGTGGTGTCATGTCTGTAAAACGGTAACAGAAGCTGCTGTTGAATATGTAACAATTACTCTGAAATATGACTCGAACTATCATACCAGACACTGCATGTGTTATAGAAAATGCTCACTCGTCCCTTTCTACAGCGTTGTGTTGATTTTGTGGACCTGCGTTGTATTCACTATTGTTTTTGGTATATCATTTAACTGTTCTTTGATTTCTCTAAACCTGCGCTTAAGGTCGATTTGTTGTGCAAATTCTATCATACAATCAATTTGCATTAAATAGTTTCAAAGACATTGTAAAAACATTTTAAGATAATTTGCAATTCACTTTTTATTCACCCCAAGATAAGTGGAAACTCTCTAAGTGAAATATCCCAGACAAATAAGCAGTACTGAAATTATTGCGTATTTTTAACGAACACTTGTTAAGATCAATGTTTATTATTTGTTATAAAAATCATTCAATACATATGGGGTTATGTACTTTGTAATGATTCAGAAATGTACGCGTACCTATTTTCAGCGATCATGATTTTCCTGGAGTCGTCGAGGACAGGTGGGAAGTTCGTTAATCGTGTAGCGTTGGAGTGATTGCATAGCTCCCCCGGATCAATAGTGATGACTTGTGCGGCCCTCACAGCTACTTCGGAAGCGCAAAGTCTGTAAATAGGTTAACAGTTACTGAGTATAAAAGTTATTACTGAAACATAAATTGTAGAGTTCCAGGGACGGTACAGAAGGTTTAAAGTAACTGTTGCTAATTTCATGCATTTAGAATTATCTTTCAAATTAGGTTTTGCACCTTAATTATTAGGAAAGGGATTACGAACACCTCGTTAACAATAGAGATCTATTTTTAGTGGATCTACACACGCAGCGTATCTGATTGTAGGGCTAGGCTTGTCATACACAATTGATTACTCATAAAGCGTCATCAATATGTGGCGAAAAGGAGACGTCACGGTGACGTTAATTTGTGTATGGTAATGAATTCATCTCACGTTTTACAAATTAAATCGTTATAGATCACTGTATATGGTAAATAAAAGAACGCCTGCTCACTTTTTGTTGCTTTTCGTTGGTTTACGTTCGGTTAAAATTACATTGACAAAGGAAGAAGGGTAGACGTTGAACGAACTGCACGCTATTCAGTCACAATATCACAGGGTGGAGTTCAATCGTTACAAAAAATGTAGGACAACAAATACTTCATGCATAATTTTGTTTTTATCTAAAACTATCTTTGTTGAGTACTATCGTGATGATTCCCTAAAAATTGTACCCATATCATTTTAACGTAATGCACCATACAGTATTGGAGCTTAAGTGAACCATATAGAAAGCCGTTGTTTCATTATTTCATTTCTCGAGAGGATTCCGACTGATACCTAAATGTATGTATTTGTAGTATTCGTCTGGTCTGATGATTCTGTTTATTGTTTATAATGTTAGTGGGTTTGCCCTTTGCTGGTAAAAGATTACCAAGTATACATACATCTTATAAATTACCGAACCTTCGACGAAATATTTGTCTGAGTGATATACATTATGCAGATAAGAGAAAATATTAAAAATTGTTGCATATATATACAGGATGTATATTATTGTTTATCAGTTTCAGCATTACAGAACGACATATTATATAAAACGTATGATTAGTCGATTATTTTCAATATCAAAGTAGGCGTCATTAATAGCATGACGTCACATCCACGGCTGTTCGAACTCAAATATTTCCTAACGTCTACACGGACAATTGTTGGGAAAAATAAAACATGTCCCTTGTGTGTTTTCATTAACAAAACACGACAGAGTAAAACATGTCCCTTGTGTGTTTTCATTAACAAAACACGACAGTGTAAAACATGTCCCTTGTGTGTTTTCATTAACAAAACACGACAGTGTAAAACATGTCCCTTGTGTGTTTTCATTAACAAAACACGACAGTGTAAAACATGTCCCTTGTGTGTTTTCATTAACAAAACACGACAGTGTAAAACATGTCCCTTGTGTGTTTTCATTAACAAAACACGACAGTGTAAAACATGTCCCTTGTGTGTTTTCATTAACAAAACACGACAGTGTAAAACATGTCCCTTGTGTGTTTTCATTAACAAAACACGACAGTGTAAAACATGTCCCTTGTGTGTTTTCATTAACAAAACACGACAGTGTAAAACATGTCCCTTGTGTGTTTTCATTAACAAAACACGACAGTGTAAAACATGTCCCTTGTGTGTTTTCATTAACAAAACACGACAGTGTAAAACATGTCCCTTGTGTGTTTTCATTAACAAAACACGACAGTGTAAAACATGTCCCTTGTGTGTTTTCATTAACNGCTGAATTTAATATATAAACCCGAATCCTGTTTAAATTGTATAATATGATGTTAATTATCGATTTTTCTTTGAGTTTGTAACCTATAGTACCGCCTGTGGGTGAAAATACTATTGCATGCCAAACAAGTCAGGCTGATATGGCATGTAACCTTTAACGTCATCAACTGTATATCCTCTGTCGTTATTTAAATAAAATTAATTGACGCCTGACACGTTATGTTTAATTAAATTTTCAAAAATCGATATTTTCCTTATGTGAAAATAACACTCCATGAAAATTGAAAGCAATATTGCAGAATTCTGGTACCTTGCTGTGCTCCCAATCAGAATAACTATTTTCCCGTCAAAACCTGGAAGATATGACGTCACTTCCTTTAGAAGATTATGAGCTACATCACCAGTATCTCTTGATGAAAATGTCCCGTCTTCTATTTTGTCGTTTATTGTCGCCATAGATTAATATTTAACTTTCCATTCCTGTAATACATGTACAAAATAACTTGTAGTTGTTATTATCAATCGGAACTGTAATTAACTGATGCTTATGTAATTGCACTGTATAGGTAGAATAATAAACTACATTAATTCATGGGCTATATCTCCTCTGCCTAACAGGAGCTGTTTAAATATGTGTCTATAACCGTAATCTTAAACAACGCTAGAAATGAATCATATTTTATGCCATTTTGTATGCAATATCCATTCCAATCAAACATCTTTTAATTTTAAATCGTGTTTAATTTCTGTGAAGAGAATCAGACAATTGAACATAATGCCGACATGAAAAAATAATATGGCAAAATTGGTGCAACCGATGATACCGGAATGGACAAAATTAGCATATGGTGTAGTAAATGTTAACTGTGTTTGGCTTTGGACAGAGTTATCAATTTCTTAATAGGTGCTTCCTTTTTATGTATTTGTAGCGATCATCTTTGAAACGCAATCGCTAACGACAAAGCGAAGATGAATTGTATTAAAGTGTTTTTTTTTTATCTTTGCAAATGATAATTTTGCGTTAATAACAAATATCTTGCAAATACGGAAATTACGTTAAAGCTTGTTATTGTCCATTTTGCAAAATATCTATGCAATCACTTTTATGCTTTGCGTTTAATCCTTCGAGACACAAAGTTGTTTTACTAAGTTGTTTGATTCCTTCATCCAAGAGTTTTACACGCAACATTGACAACCTCAATTATATGATTTGATCATATGTCGTAAATGGTTCATAAAATAAACTGATTATCATTTTGAAATTAACAAGAAGAATTATTTAGAATACTAATCAATTATAATCGTTATACAAAGGATCAGTCATACGTGACAAAGGATAAGTCATAAGTGACAAAGAAAAACTGAAGAAATGTATTTTGGTACTTAGTATAGATACATACTACTTAACCTATCAATTCTTTTTCAGCATGGAAAAGAATTGACCAATATATGATCAAGGATGTTTGTTTTTCAATGTCATATATAGTGATATCATAAACATAACCTCTATACAATTACTCTTTTCCTTCGGAAAAGCAGCATTAGATAAGAAACTTTTTTTTTATTATTTGGACATTTCAGTCATTCGTTTTCAATTGGACAATGATGATAATATAACATTAAATGCTATATAAAAGTTAAACTGCCCGGCAAATGAATTCAATATAATGGTTTGTTAAATGGTTGTTGTACGAATTAGTATTACATAGTTATTTATAGAATTGATATTTTTACAATCCCATTGAGAAGCCCTCAAAGAAATCTACTAAGCCAAATGTGTTGTTATGTACAAGTACCAGTAACACGTGGATGTTTTTGATATGGTACATTGTAACAGCAACGACTGGCTTACCCGTTGACAGTTAAAAATGTTACCGAGTGGAATAGTGTGCTTTGTATTGTATTTCAGTGACGTAAAGTCATATTCGCGCTATCGTAAGAAAGCAAATATATTAGCATACTTCGTCTGCATACATACACTCATTTACGCATGCATAGCACGTGGGTAGGGTATTTCTTTAATGAACTAAGCTGTTAATAGGTTTAAACTCTATACAACCAACCAACCAACAAATCGGAAAAACTGTTCGGCATTTTCCGTTATGTTATGCTAATTGGATAGCAATGATGACATCACGTAAAATCCAAAACGAATAAAAATTCCTGATTGTTTTTCATTTGACGTTTGTCGCCTTACGGACCTGATAGACAAAGAAAACCTTATCTTTCTCCCGCGAAAACGGTTGTTACATTATTTGATAAAAACTGATTATAATATATCATTAAACAGCTCGGTTACTCTTAATTGACTTTCCTGTGATCTGTTGATAAATCTGTTTGACTTTGACATAACAGCACTCAGAATCACTTACTTTTACTGGAATCATGCATGTTTGTTTCACTTGTTCTGATATTTCTTGTGTATGTTTGATTATATACTCATAAATGGCTTTGCACTACTGGTTACCTGTCTAGTTATTTTCAATCGAACAAAACATGTCCAAAACTGCACAAAATATGTATGAAGGTGTCTGAAAGAACAGACATAAGGACATTTTAAATATTTATATAATTCTATTTCGGAATGATATACCTCAGTGGGTGTTGAAATAAGTTCAAAATGAACTTTTTCGTAATATGTTGGACTTCAATCGTGGTGATTCATCGGGTAAGATAAACTCACTTGTGAAGTTAAGATAAAAGAGTTTAAAACTATGAGACTTGCTTAACATCTATGTAGATATGGTAATTTTATAACGTTTTACAAGCTGGATGGATGATTGACAACATTTCTGGGTACCTAAGTATTTTATTAACCAAATTCTTTGTTTGTTTGTTTGTTTGTTTGATTTTGTTTAACGTCCTATCAACAGCTAAGGTCATTTAAGGACGTCCTCCCCTGTGTGCAAGATGCATGCGTGCAGTGTATGTGTGTGTATCTTGGGAGGCTGCGATATGTTCGTGTTTGTCTCCTTGTGATAGCGCGGAACTGATGCCGACTTTATAGGGCTACCTCGCTGAAACGTACTGCCGAAGACACCCAGCAGGACGCCCCACCCGGTCACATTATACTGACAACGGGCGAACCAGTCGTTCCACTCCTAATTTGCTGAGCGTTAAGCAGGAGTAGAAACTTCCATTTTTAAAGACTTTGGTATGTCTCGGCCAGGGGACAGAACCCAAAGCCTTCCTCACAAGGGCGAACGCTCAACAAATGGCCAAAAGTGAGGCATTGTCAAGGTAGACATTAGGAAGAAGAAAGTTATTTAGAAAGGAGAGAAGAGATAAGGTCCCAAATTTAGTCGCCTCTTACGATCATGCAATTGGGGGCAGCAGGTACAATTCTTACGCCCTACCTGCAAGGACATAACCAAATTCAAAAGGCAAATCTACGCCATCGTCATCTATGAATAAAATTATACTATACACTTTACGAACTGCACGAAATGTTTCCTTGGTGAGCATAAACATTGGAAAAAGTACAAATGCACAAACAATTTGTATATTTTAATATCTAACTTTATGAACTCTTTTTTTACATGTCCCTTTCTTCTTTGACTGTACATGTATTTCGGAACATTTTATAAATGTATTTGTACTTTAAACCTATCTATGAGTCCTTCATAGATAAATGAGTTTCAATGTTAACCATGTTTGGTTATCTACAACGGTATCTGAGATTTTTAAATATTTACTTCCTAACTTTAAATTTGCAGATTATTTCAGTATCTACGCCACAACGTAGTTGACTCTTCAGGTAAACTTTCTGTCGTAGATGTTCTTGTTAAACTTATAGCAGAACTTTAACGTGTCAGGGTTTATAAAAAAACATTTTAAAAACATATTTCTGTTCGTTTTAAAATTTTGCAACTAATGAATAGTTGTATTCCGTCTTTGCGTATTGCAGAGTTATCTTCTCTTGTGACCAGGTATTGATCGTTACGTCATTGGTTTGTGAGAGGATCGTCATCAATTTTTGAGAAAACGACGTAATTTTCTCACACAAACCAATGACGTAACAATCAATACCTGCTCCCAAGAGAAGATAAATCTGCAATACGCAAAGACGGAAAAAGCATCTCACCTGTTTTACACGTTTCGGAATACTTTAGAAATAGATTTCATTATTTTGACATTGAGTACAACTGATGAGTCTTAAATGGACAACTTGGACCTGTGGTGAGCATTACATTATTTGATTTTGCTTTAATGTCGACTTACGTGAGATTTGATTGTGTTTCTTTCCTTCGTAATTAAGTCATAATATTCTGATAGTCTCTTTGCTGGATTTATATTTTTATCACTAAGCTTGTCGTCAATGCAATAATTTTTAAGAAATGATGTATCAAGTTCATCATAGATTTACACATATCGCTGATAATCTGAGGTATACCATTTGGTCGTTTCCATTGTTTCGTAAATAATGTTTTCCCCAATAACATTCTAGTACCACTAAGCATGTGACCGTTAATTATTTGAAAAATAACCTGATATTATATTTCCGATATTAACAAAGAGGTTTCTTATTCTATAAATATCAAACTTGTCTCTTCGTAGGTCGAGTGTTTATACTACCCAGACATTTTCAGTAATCATAACCAATTTTCTTAAAAATGCATGTGATTTTTACATGAATGCAACCAATCGAGGCGACAACCAGATAGTATGTGTTGCTGTGACAGTCCTGTATTATTTACATTGTAGTCTTTACCTTTCTTTAAAAACAGCTTACTTATTCAAACCAATGTAGTTTCCAATATCAGGAAACGGGCTAAGCATGACTGGTAACGAACCAATACCTGCTTGTTTGTGTATAATAAACTGGAAATCCCAATGCTTGTAGGGTTTTATAGTTCTTTGAAATGTCACATTTTTTAGAAGGGAAATATTGACATTTTGTGTTTACATAAATCAATTAAAAGAGGATACCTGATACATATTTTAAGATATGTTATCGATTAATTACAACGAGTTTGCTTAATGCTGCATTGTCATTTACGTGCGTATATCAAAGTTGCAATTTAAAACTAAGTAATCATAAAATCCTTGTTTTCGTATTGCCACGCTGTATATAATATGATATTATTGTCCAATATATACTTAAATGTACATTTGAAATTTAGTGCAATAAACAGTCATAACAAAATTGCGTATTGTTATAACATTATTTTTGTAAGCTGCAGTTGAAACACGTGCAATAAAGATTCGGTGAAATGTCTATATACTACAATATAGTACTTAGTACTTACCGACACTGCTCAGTCATACTCTACCAAACACCATCTCACCACTTGGCTTGTGTTGATATGATTTGCCGCGGAAACATTGTACCCTGCACATCTCTGCTCCAATTACCACAGTCGGCGTATAGCAGCACACGCTATGACTACAAGTCGCTGATCATTACATTCATTCACCGACGACACGAAAGATGCATGTCCTAACAAGGTGTAAGTCATATACCAGGTCACGTGACAGCCAGTAGACTGGAAACGATTGAAATGCCAAATTTTGATATTTTTAACGTGGAGATAAAGAAAGTACACAGTGTCATATTAGGGTCGATATAGCTACGATACGCTTCCAACGACGTCTACACTCATCGCGGAACAATAATAAAGTACTGTAAGTTGGGCTGTGTAGAACGTGATCGCACAGTGACGAGTGAATGCGACGCCTCGCTAGCAAAGATTGTGGAAAGGTACATAGAAGGCGGCAGCAGGCATGCCAAGACAATATGGACAGAGGCTAATTTCTGATTGAACACACTAATCAATTAACTCACTTCCGTATATGTGTAATACCAGGCACAGATCGAAAGCAATACATTTCGTCCAATATTGTGCCGCTCCAATTCATTCTAAAGCTTTATATTCGATGTAAAGGTGACACACCCTACAAACTAACGTATGAAGGACTAGGATGTAGTTGGCGATAGGATAAGGTTTATTGAGAGTAAGATTCAGCAGATATTTGTATTAAAAGGTATGTCACAGGTTTTCACATAGGGATGAGATAATAACAATTCGGAACGCTGCCGGCACTTGGCAGGGCAGATGTTTCAATTAGTCTTGCTCCTTTGTGATAATCCTACAGACAATTTAACTCATAGATAATATAATTACGTTTGTGTGCACACATTGTAATTTGTTTTAATTGTATATTAATGGCATATAGCACATACGGACAAAACTTGGGTAAGAACATTTTTTCTGATAACCCTATATGTGTAGTATTATTTTTGCTGATTCTGATGCACCGCTTTTGAAACATAAGTAACATGATAAAGACCATCATGAAAAGTGATCCAAAAGGGAAAAATGCGATCGTTCAGAAACATCAAAGCAGACATCGGTCAACGTGGTATATTTTGATTGATACGAAAGTGACAATGCTCTCAGCACTATCGCCGTCCAGATGCATATATTTATACGTACATGTATCATAGATGTAATTATCTGATATATTTGCCCAGCTTTCTAAATATCTGTAATGTTCTGTATGTTTTTTTTTTTAAATATCACAACTTCTTAACGCATGTAACATGGAAGCATTAAGATTTTAAACCTTAATTGCCTTATGTTATGGTCTACTTATTGATTGGCTTTGTTCATTAAACTCGTCAGCAAATCCTTTTGAAACATGATTCGGTTTATGCCATAAACTGCGCACAGATAGTGTAGTATCAAAATTACATAATTCATAAGAAAATGTTTTATATTATTAGAGCTAAATGTAGGTTTTTACGTTTTGCTGGTCTAACTCTTATTGCTGATCAACAGCTAATGGAAACACTTGCAACAGGTGTTTTCGAGAGATGCAGGCTGATAAAGACTGAGTAAGTTTGCCATCATGATGTCATGGGGACATCTGTTTTTGCCTTAGGCAATGTAGAGATCGATATTGTGTTAGCATGCTCATTAGAGTGACATGTAGCTTCTTTACCCCTAAACCGGTTCTCTTGGATCTGACCTAAATTTAAATACCAAGTGTCGTCGATAAAGCAGACGACGCTTATCCTTCCGGAACATCTGGGCCCGTATTCATGAAACAGTTCTCATGTTCATACTTCTGTGGTCAGACCCAATTTATTGTAGTAATATATCACTTATATCATTTGAGACAGCCAAAAAGTCAAAGGTCACCACTGAGAATAGAAATCTACATAAAGTCTCTCTGAAATTCAAAAACGTCATGAAAAAAATGTGATGTGTAATAGATTTATAAGCAAAACAGGAAAACGGACGTGAGGCACAACGTTTATTAAAAAGAGATTGGCTAAAAAGAGGGGTATATATACATGTAAAGGTTGTCACTTTATTTCTACATGTAAAGGTTGTCGCTTTATTTCCCTACCACATTCAGATGGCATTCATATGAGCTATGAATGTCATTTCCCAATCGTTGACGTCTTCCTAATTGTGTGACGTCATATTTGGGATCAAAATACTTCAAATCGGTTAATATAATGTTTTCAGTTGATATTCATACAATGTTGTCAAGAAGAATGCCTACTGGAAATTGCACATGAATGCAAACTGGAAGCATTTCAGTGCTTAACATATGTCATTCAAGGTTCTGCGTACGAACCAACATATACAATAAACGCGATATCCCAAATATACTTAAATCGCCTTCGCGTATACCACACGTCAACGATTCTTCTGTTCACCTGTTCTGCTCCAAGCTGATCCTGGCTAAGTGTAAGCGCTGAGACGTCCTACTGCAGTGCTTGTTGTAGTTATAGCTGCTACTGAGCCGCTGTTCCTTTCCCATCACAGGGGACTTCCTGCTTTATCGTTAAACGTCATGCCAACGTCTGCGTGCCTCCTAGACGTTACACAGACTAAATCGTTTCACATATTTGAATTAAATTTAACACGTTTATTTCTTGAATAGTTGCTGTTTCATTAGATGCGCCTTAGGAGTTGTATATGATTATTTTAGGTGTGTTTTGTATTATAATGATTTAGTATTACGATGTAACCATGTGGCCGTACTTCATAATACTCACACTTTACTTAGTATTGATATTAACATTAACCACTACTCCTTTCGTTTTGGGAATCCTTAAAATTAAGAGTTTTTATGCACTCGACTTTTGTTTCAACACTAATTTAGCATAACTTTGGATTTTCAAAATGATTTACATTACAACATACAGCTATTCCGTCGTCCTTCTGGACTCCTAGTAGTTTTAATTAAGAAACATGGATATTTTTGCACTCGACAACGAGGAAATGATTTATGTGGCGGCAGTACATTGAAGCTGGAACCTGTGATACCATTGTCATTGATATAGCTAGGCGCCACCCTAGCCTTTCTGAACATGACATAAGGTATACGGAGGTACAGAAGCAGCACGCCGACTGACCGAGACAGTCTTCATTTAGTCATCTAATCTTATGAACTGGTCTACTTACGTCACTGGTCGTTAACGCATCGAATCATATCACGACACAGACAATATGACATGCACCAATCTAGTGTTAAAGGGAACTATACATCGATACGTGTTTATCAGTACAGATGGCAACAACAGTAAGAATACGGTAGACTCGATATGAAATGTAGTAACATATTAAATGATATATCAATAGAAAAGACAATATTTAAAGTATGGAGTTTGGATTGGTCTCTACGGTATTTCTGTTGGCTACATGATTTATTTGTTAAATACAACGCATTAAGGCAGTGGCTTATTTTATTCGGGGTCAATAGTTGAACATCGTTCGGAGAACATCCCATAAGGAACCTTGTCCCACTGCACTGTGTTTTTTCCTATAAACAGTAGCCCCCTTCCCTTAACTTTTGATATCACTATAAACAGTTAGCTAACTCCTCCGTTGACGAGGTAGCTATGTCGGTTAGAGCAATAACATAACAATCTGGAGCCGATTTAAGAAACCGTTCTCCTGCTCAAACTCAGATTCCGTGTTCAAGTCTAATTTCTTGTCTGAGTAATAAATTCGTAAAAAATCACAAATTCTCGTCAATGATTTTAAAGACTTTTCAAGCTAAATACCATTTTTGTTATTTACACTGACTTTCTGACCGTGCCAGATGATTTCAGTGAGTAATAAGAAAGTTGGTTTGAGCACTGAATCCAGGCTTGAGCACGAGAACGGTTTCAGAAATACGGACCCAGGTTTTAAAATCTCATAAAGTCTTACACTCAGAACATTATTGTTGATTATATTTTGTTTATAACATCTTCATTTATTTAAAAAAAAAACCGCAAGGTATGGGTTTTTTCAGACATGATTTAGTAAGTCTATAGTCAGGTCCGATAAAACAGTTTCCAACATCTAACCTACAGTTTCTGGCAGTCGTACGGGATACCTTAAAATATTAAAGATTTCTTCTATCTACAGGTTAGATTGTTGGTTTGCAAATCAATCTTATATCCTTTAAACACAGTGTATAAACTTGTCTTTTAGATGGAACAAAATACTTTTCAGTGCTAAACATATCTGCCTATCTAGACAATGAACTTGTTCTCAAATCCGAATATAATTCGTTAACAGATCGCCATAAAATAATATAATTTTCGTAGTCAGTACACACGCTAAGTGAAATGCTACATGGCGTTGAACGTCATATAATACACACGCTAAGTGAAATGCTACATGGCGTTGTACATAAGATAATCTACACGCTAAGTGAAATGTTACATGGCGTTGTACATTAGATAATCTACACGCTAAGTGAGATGTTACATGGCGTTGAACATTAGATAATCCGCACGCTAAGTGAAATATTACATGAAGTTCTACATTAGATAATCCACACGCTAAGTGAAATGTTACATGAAGTTCTACATTAGATAATCTACACGCTAAGTGAAATGTTACATGGCGTTGTACATTAGATAATCCACACGCTAAATGAAATATTACATGGCGTTGTACATTAGATAATCCACACGCTAAGTGAAATGTTACATGGCGATGTACATTAGATAATCCAAACGCTAAGTGAAATGTTACATGGCGTTGTACATTAGATAATCCTCACGCTAAATGAAATGTTACATGAAGTTCTACATTAGATAATCCACACGCTAAGTGAAATGTTACATGAAGTTCTACATTAGACAATTTACACGCTAAGTGAAATTCTACATGAAATTCTACATTAGACAATCTACACGCTAAGTGAAATGTTGCATGGCGTTGTACATTAGATAATCCACACGCTAAGTGAAATGTTACATGAAGTTCTACATTAGACAATCTACACGCTAAGTGAAATGTTACATGGCGTTGTGCATAAGATAATCCATACGCTAAGTGAAATGCGATATGAGGTTCTACATTAGATAATCCACACACTAAGTGAAACGTTATATTAAATGTTCAACACGGTAAATGAAGCTTTCCATGTTGTTTAAGTGAAGTTCTTTATTAAAGAGCAAAAATACTAAATGAAGTACTATATTAATAATTTAC